GGGGGGGGGGGCGAACACCTTGACGTCTAACTTCTCTAATGACCCGCTCGAGGGTTTGGCTGCGCGAGCCTCCCTCTGTGCTCAGCGCGCGTGCCGTGCCGTATGCGGCTCGCCAACGCGACTCTTAGCGCGATATGCGCGTCGAAGCAGCAACACTTTGATGGGTGCTCCCCTTTCCCCATCATATCGGGCAATATTGAAGCAATGCATTGTGATTTGATCCATCAACATCATCCTGTCAGGCGCATGCGTACGGCGCGCACTTCTTCCTCGCGTTCCAAAACGTCGATCATGGAGCGAAGCTCGACGAAGGCTTCTAGCTTCGAACCTTGAACCCCACATAGCGTCTACGGCACGAAACCAGCTACGTACATGAGAACGGAATGGGTTACAGTGGACGATTGGAAGGGATGCTCCTCGTCCATTCGGTTCGAGCCAGGCGCATAGGAGCTCTCTGCTCCTCCTGGACCGCCTCAGAAGCGCTAAGCATGTAGCATCTCTGGATGTTCACGACCCGATAGTGTCAGATCACAGTAGCGCACCATGCTCCATCCTTTTCCCACCCTCAGCATGTGCACCACCGATGCGTGTCGACGCATCCATATCCTCGACCCAGACGACGCATTGCATCGTTAGGCTCTTCGCCAAGCTGTCGCTAGAAGGTGCCAGACACACGTGTGTGTCGACGGGAGAAATGTTCGCCGCATGCTCCACAAACTACACTCGATGCGGTATCGATCGAAGCGAGTGCACCCCCCCCCCCCCCCCCAGAGAGGCAATTTCGAGCGGAATGGCACGTTTTCGCGTAGATCGAAATGCGATCTGTTCGACCTGTCGTGTCGCTTTAGGTCTGCTAGCGCCAAATGCTCAGGAGGATGTTACACGGACGAGCCTTTGCGCTGCGCGCTACGTGCGCAGGCCGGTTCGCTTCAGCGCCAGCATGTCGAGTCGCTATGGTACACAGCAGCATGTTCCGCCATAGCACATCTCGTACCTTGTCGCGCTCGAGCACAAACGGCCTCCGAAAGGTATAAGATGGAGCACCTCGAGCTCGTCATTCCCAACCAATCTCTCCTCATCAAACACAATCCACTCCTCTCTCCTCTCTCTCTCTTCTCTCTCAAAAAAACTTAAAAACCCCTCTCTCGGTTCTAAACCACCAAAACTCTAATCAAAATGCAGTTCGCTCGCTTCGCCATCTTCACCGCACTCGTTGCCAGCGCCGTCATGGCCGCTCCCTCTCCCCAAGTCGGCGGTGAGGTCACGCCAGACACCAACACTGCTGCCAGCTCTAACGGCTCTTGCTCCGTCGGCACTGCTCAATGCTGCGGCACCACCAAGTCTGGCGATGACGCCAAGGACCTCGGAGCTCTGCTCGGCTTCACCGACCTGGTCGGAACTCTTGGTCTCTCTTGCCAAAAGATCCCCATCAACATCATTGGCGCTGCTGCCAACGTTGACAACCAGTGCAAGCAGACCGTGAGTGACACTTGAGAGCGATCGAGCTCTGTTTCCTTCCAGAATGACACCTGTTGATCACACCCTTCTCAACCTGCTCTCTCATAGCCCGTCTGCTGCACTGGCGAGCGTCACAACGGCCTCGTCCAGGTCGGCTGCACTCCTCTCCCCATCAACTAAGCGGGTCGATCACGACTACGCGCAGGGGCAGAGATAGAGTTTCACTTTTCATCTTCTGACACAAGGCCGCTCCACGGGACCAGGCAGAAGACCAGAGAGAGAGACGATAAGAGAGAGAAGAGGGATCAACCTCCTCGACTCGTCCATCACTCGATGGCATCCCCCCTCCGCTCGCTTCATTCGATCGGACAGTCTTGAATCTTTACACCATTCTTCTGCATTTGTAATCCTTTTACAATCCATCCACCAAACCTAATTCCATCCGCACCCCTACTCACCGCAACCCCCTCGCACCTTTCAATCGCATGCCATCTTTCTCACCCCTACACCCCTCATCTTGTTCGACCAGATCTTCTTGACGACACTTTTTGAACGATGACCATTCTTCTCTCTGTTTTGCTTGTTAGCATGAATAGTGTGATTGTCGTAGTCGGCGCATAAATTTGCGCAAATTCCCATGGCCAATGTGGCATGCGCTCCATTCGTTCGTGATTGTGAGAGTCCCGCTCACCTGCCCGTCAATGCCTGCGCTTTGCGATAGTTCGCGACACGGTCGATCGCCGCGCGCGCATCGACAGAACCTTGATCCGCGCTCGTAGCGATGAAAAAGTCAAGCCCGTCTGAAGGGATAGCAGAAGCGCGGCATGGATCATTACATCTGACGTGTAAATTGTTCCACGAATATAGCGGGGCCCGCGCTGCTCTGATTGCCCGCAATGGAGAGACACGCTTTGCACACGGTGCGTTGAAGCCGAGCGCACGTCTACACCGTCATCCGTGAATACCCTTCGTTTTGGTGCTTTGCGAACGGCTCATCGGAGAGAAACACACTGTGACTTGCGACTGGACTTTGGTGAGGCCGGACATCTTACGAAATAGGCAAAGTGCTGAGGATGAAGCGTAACATGAAACACATTCGCTGGACTTTTGTTGTGTAGCAGTGTCGCGCAGGTCTTGACCGACGATCCTCCAAAAAGCACCGCCGCGCAAGCGATTCATGATTCACGATTGTAAAGCAGTCGTCGCTCTCATCACCCCCTTCGACACTTACCGCCGTTCATTTTCATTTTCATTTTCATTCTTTTTGTTCTTCCAACTGCTTCTTCTTCGTTTCACGCTTCTTATAGTGCAACTATCCTATCGGATGCCTCGCACGCAAAGGCAGAACAGGATCTCGCTGCGCCTGTACATAAGGCCGATCAAAGCAGCAAGCACACCCGCTCCGAATCGCGGGCGTCGCGCGGGTCGTGTTGGGGGGGTGTCGCTTTAGACGGTCGAAACACACACAAATCACGAATGTCTAGAATATTGCCTGCCGACCGACCTCTTCTGAATTCAATTCTGAATCAAATGCATCTCCATCACGACACTCACGTGACTGTTCGTTTTGATGACTGCTGGCGGATGTCCGCGGAGCCTTTGGGCAAAACGCGACGCGCGACGTACGCGCCAAAGCGTGACTGGATGAACTCGTGACTGCAGTTCGTGCAGCTTCACTTTTGACTCTCGACTCTCGACTGCCCGCCCATCCCCTTCCACGATGCGAGGGAGCGGCTGGATGTCACAGAGCGGTCGGTGTACGGCTACACGTCTTGTCGTCGTCAGTCACCCTCACCCTGATGAATACCGTCGAGTCGTGAGTGCGAGCTCGAGTGCGAGTCACAGTCGTGCGTGCTTCTCGGGCTCGGCCGCTCTATGAATCGCCTGACCCTTCCTCGGCCCTCCTCATCAACGGCACGGCACGGCACGGCACGCCTTCACACCTCATCGCCCTGCTCGCCCAAATTCACAACCACATCCACGTAACGCACGCAAACCGCAAACCGATCTGGATCATCTGTATGCGTTCAGCATGACGATGGAGCTGAGCGGGAGAGAAGAAGCGGGCTCGGGAGCAGGGCAGAAGAGAGCTCACGCAAGCCAGTCTCTCCTCGACTCCCACTCCCAGCCTGAGCGCAGCACCAGCAACTCGATGCTCTCCCGCGATGATGGCACTTCCAAGGCGTCTCACCTCTCCCTCCGCACACCCTCCAGCTCGAGCGCCACGTCGCTCTCTCGAGAATTTTCGTTCCCCTATCCGCAAGCTTATCCCATCCAGTTGGACCTCATGCGAAACATTTTCGAATGCGCGGAACAGGGTAAAGTGGCGGTGCTGGAAAGTCCTACGGGCACGGGCAAAAGCTTGAGCTTGATCTGCGCGACGCTCACTTGGCTTGAGAGGAATGGACAGAGAGGTTCGTTGGGTGTGCTGGAGGGTCCGAAGGCGCGTGAGCTTGGTGAGTATCGGTGTCCTCGTGCGCGTGTATGCGTGTGTGCGTGTGGGCGTGCGAGCGTGCGCGGGTGAAGGGTGAAGGGCCCTCATGCTCATGCTCCTCTGCTTTGCGACCCCTCACATCCAGCATCCACCTCGACAGCCAGCATCACATCCAGCAGCGCCGCTGATGATGCTGAGCCGGACTGGGTGCGAGCGCACGCTCAAGCCCGTGCGAGAGCGGACGAGCAGAGGGGTCAGGTGGAGTTGAGGCAGAGGATAGCTAGAGCGCGGCAAGCGCAGCAGAAGGAAAAGAATTCCTCAATGGCGATGGAGAGGAAGAGTGCTGCAAAGTGGAACAAAAAGAAGAAGCGAGTGAGTGAGGTGCAGGTGCAGGTGCAGGTGCAGCGTCGCATTCCGGTGACGTGGAACTGCACTTGGCTCACGCCTTCGAGTCTTCCTCTCACCCTCGCAGCGCACGACGACGACGACGACGAGCGACGCCGCATCCGAATTCGAATCGGATTCCTACCTGCTCTCCAGCGGTTCAGGAGACGAAACATCTCGTCCGATCCCATCCGACGATTCTGCCTTTCTCTCTTCCGAAGTCCAAGCGCTCTTGGCTCAACTACGAGCTGGTGCCAGTGGATCATCATCGGCGCGCAAGGGAGGTCCGACCTGGGGATCCGCGATGAAGGAGGAGGATGAAGATGAACCTGCTACGCTGCCGCAAGTGTTTTATGCTAGTAGGACGCACTCGCAGTTGATGCAATTCGTGGCAGAGGTCAAGAAGACGAAGTTCGGAAAGGATTGGATGGAAAGCGAGGAGAAGCGAGACGAGCGGCAGGAGCGGGTGAAAGAGGAGAATACGAGATGCGTCTGTTTGGCTAGCAGGAAACAGATGTGCATCAATGAAGAGGTCATACGTACGGGAGAGACAAAGGGCATGGAGGCCATGAACGAAAAGTGCAGGGATCTGGCAAAGGGTGCGTACGCGCACCAGTGCTGCGACCCGCTGATGTGCGCGGCGTTGTGGCTACTGCGATTGACGTCGTCTTCACATCTCCCTCTTCCACCTCTGCATCGCTGCATTGCTCGACCGGCTCACTCGCTCACATGCTCGCTCACCCACTCACCCACCCACTCACTCACTCACTTACTGACTCACCCACCCACTCACTCGCTCACTCACTCACTCACTCACTACGCAAGCAGGCAAAGGCAAAAAGCGCTGCGAATACCTGCCTGCACAGGATGCGCAAGGCCGATCGCAGATTCTGGATTATCGCGATCGAGCCTTTTCGCGCGTCTCGGACTTGGAAGATTTGGTTGTGCTGGGCAAAGAGATGGGCGTGTGTCCCTACTACGCATCGCGCGCAGCTGCACGGACCGCCCAGTTGGTGGCTTTGCCTTACAATTTGCTGCTCAGCCAGACTTCGAGAGAAACTCTGGGCACGAGTTTGGACGGGGCAGTGGTGGTGCTGGATGAGGCGCACAATGTCATCGATACGGTGTTGGAGGGAGGTAAGGTACACGTGGATGAGGCTATGCTACGCGTGGCAAAGGAGCAGATCCAAACGTACCTCGAGAAATTCGCATCGAGACTCAAGGGCGTCAACGAGGTCAGACTGAGGGAATTCAGAACCGTCATTGAAGCTCTGCTCAAGTTTGCGCGCGAATGGGCAGGCAGAGCAAAGAGTGGGAAAGAGGGCGGAAAGCAGGAGCAGATGTTGAAAGGCGCTGAAGTGATGAAGAGAATTGGAGGAACCCTCGACCAGATCAATCTCGTCGCTTTGCACGCTCATCTGAGACAATCTCAGATTGCTAGAAAGGTGAGCTGATTGGTGATGCTGATGCGCGAATTTCAGCTTCTTTCGCGCGCGATCCTTCCCTGGACTGCCTCAATTTGCCTCGACTTGTAGGAAAGGGGCGCTAACTCTCCCAGTCTTCATTCGCATCACGACCAGGTCAGCGGGTATGCAGATAAACAAGCCATGAAAGCTCGAGCGGGCAATGCGGAGGGACGAACGGCTCGCAGCGCAATCAGCTGCATGCACGCCATTCAGTCGTTCATACTCGCCCTCTCAAACAGCAACGAAGATGGAAGGGTCTTCATTTCGATCGAAGAGATCCAACGTGAAGCGGCATTTGCCGTGCACTCCGGAACGTCAGACAGACCCCACGGAGTCGGTGCGGCGAGCGCGAGCGCTGCTTTGCGTCAGAGGCAGCGAGGTTCGGAGCAGGATGAAGAGAGCGTGGTCCATCTGCGGTACCAGCTACTCAACCCTCAAGAAGCATTTAAACCTATTCTTGAAAAGGCCAGATCGGTCATTCTTGCTGGAGGAACGATGGAGCCTGTGAGTGTCCATTTCGGTCTGTACACGAAGGCCAAGGTATGCTTATCATCGACTTGCAAAGCTAAAGCCTCTCTTGACTGCTGCCTTTGGCGCTGCTTAGATCTCAGACTTTACCACACAGCTCTTTCCGCAGATCGACCCGCAAAGATTTCACAGATTCAGCTGCGGACATATCATCCCCGCCCGGAACTTGCTCGCGGCCATCGTGCCTAGCGGACCTAGAGGCACAACATTCGAATTCAAGTATGAGTCTAGGGGCGACATCAACGTTGTGAGTCACATCATAAGGCATCTTAAAAGTCTTAGAATGAACCACGTTTTGGACAAGACTCAACCATCTACTTCTCGATTTGCCTCGCTCGATGTTGCGATGCCTTTTCGTCCTCCCTGGATGGCCATTCGATACCTCCTCACTTGCATTTGCCCAACTCATTCAGCTGGACGATTTAGCCAGTGCTCTTTCCAACTACTGCAACATCGTACCGCATGGCCTTGTCGTCTTCTTGCCCAGCTACGCCTTTTTGGAAAGCGCGACGCGAAGGTGGAAAGAGAGTGGGGCGCTGAATAGATTGGGCAACAAAAAGAAGGTGAGCGGTGCGCTCTCGTTACAACTTGATCTTTGCAAGGAGAGGATAGGATGCCGTTCAAGGCAGTCAATTTGTCGACTCACCCCAGACATGCCTTGATAGATCTTCTTTGAACCGAAGAATGCGACGGATGTGGATCGGTTGCTTGAAGAGTACAGAGCGGCGATCGATGCGGCGGACCAAATCCCGACTGGGGTGAGTACGTCGACTGTTTACAGGATGAAACGAGCGACATGGTACTGGCGGTCGACAAGTACTCATTCTCATAGTTGCAACCGTCATTGGCCTCGCTCAAGCAGGGCGTACCGGCAAGGACGGGCTCCATGCTGCTGGCCGTGGTGGGCGCGAAACTTTCAGAGGGAATCAATTTTTCGGACAGATTGGCTAGAGCGGTCATCATGGTCGGCATGCCCTTTGCCAATGCTGCAAGTGTGGAGCTCAAGGAGCGCATGAAGTGAGTCGAGCTGGCGGCTCTTCAGGAGCGAGCGGGGTCGTGCATCTGAACAGGGCATTGCCAAGAGCCGGCGATTTGATCGGGATGCTAACTGGACATGCTCCAAAATTTCCTGCAGCTATGTACGAACTTTGGCCAAGACTTCATCACTGGACTTAGCGTCCACAGAGAAGGATGCCGTGAGTGAAATGGACGACAGGCTCGCGGGTGATTGCTAGCGTGTCGGTCTGGTCATTCGCTGATCCCTTGTCATGCTCGCCGAACAGGGCCAAGAACTGTACATTAATCTGTGCATGAAAGCCGTCAATCAATCCATCGGTAAGCATGCGTGCTGATTCGCTCCCGGCGCTATGACGGCAGAGGGATCCGACGCTGATGCGCCCACGCTCTTGTGATCGCAGGCAGAGCGATACGTCACCAGAACGATTATGTGAGCTCGTGTTGCGCCTGCGGCCTCTTCGAGGACGTCTTGCTCCCTCTGGACTTTTCGCTGACCCAAACCCCCCTCTCTCTTGCTCTTCCTTAGGCCGCTCTGATCCTGCTCGACAAGCGATTCGCTCGTGCGGATATACGCGCCCGTCTACCAGGTTGTCAGTCCCTTCTTTTGGCCCCCACTCATCTCGCCTCCTTGCGCGTCTCTTGCCGACATTACGCTGACGCAGCACTCCTTCACTCCGCTCTCTCATATTTGCCGACCTCCTGATCCATGAAAAGGGATTCGAGACTCGACCAGGACGTTTGATCGATTCGGACCGTCCATAGCTGCTACTGGTGCCTTTTTTCGCGACAAGCGCGGGCAATGAGGCAAGAAGAGAGACGCGAAACGTTTTTGTGTGGGATCGACACGACGAAACTACCTTGCATTTTCTTTGTATACTACAAGTATCAAAAATCATCCTGTACCATCAAACTTCAATGTCCCACAGCTTCTCTACTAGCTCCAGCACCTTTTGGCATCTTTCTCTGCCCATCCAGCGCTCCGTTTCCGACTTCCGTCATTCCTGCAGCCTTTGCATCCTTTTTCTTGTCCGTCCCCGCAATCTCGGCCTTTGTGAAAGCGTGCGGTGCGACCTGCATGATCCATTCCGGCTTGACCTCCATGCACTGTCGCATATAATTGCGCGACGTTTCGACTGGAGAGAAGGAGGGGGGGGGGGCGGGCAAAAGCGAGTATTTTGAGACGAAATGCAAAGATGACAAGAAAGAAGAGGAGGACTCGACTCGACTTACCAAGTTCGTAGTAGAGGAGGAACTTGGACGGTGGAATTTGTTTGAAAAGACACGAACTCGGATCTGTGGCGGGATTGCAAACGCGTAGCAAATGATCATGATAACAATTTGGAGCAAAAGATGATCGAAGGAAGTGTCATGCTCAGATTCAGCTTGGAAGCGTTTCTTTTTGGGCTCACGAAGGAATAAGGCCGCTTCGATACTCACGTATATGAACGGTAGCGGCCTGCTTGATAGCTCGATAGCTTTCGCCTCCTTTTTGAATCGTGGCGGTATTCATGAAAAAGCCGCTAAGCAGGGCTTTCTGAATAGGCGTGACATCGCTGGAATCCTTGTTGCTCTGCAAGACGACTTCTGCCCTCTCGGCCAATTGGGCCAGCTGATCCCTGATATCTCGAACCCTGTTGAGCACTTTGGGTTGAACGAAATTTTCCATGCAAAAGCTGAAAGAGTATCCGGATTCGACCCACTGCTCCCAAATGTTCAAGAGCGTAAAGTGATCTCCTCCCGCACGAACAAAACTGGCCCTAGCCTTGTCCGCATGCAACTTCTTCTCCTTTGGACGAAAAAAGATGGAGGAGGATTCTTGAAGCATGGAAACGATGGAGAGCACTTCGTCTGTGCATCCAAACGTCTCGCTGGCAAGTATAGCTTTGCTCAGTGCGGGATCGATTGGAAATTCAGCCTGTCTCCTTCCCAATTTCGTCAGCTCTCCTCGATCGTTGAAGGAGCCTAGAGCGTACAGCAGTTCAAAAGACCGCATCAACGTGTCCGTTGGCGGCGGATCTAAAAAGTCAAAGTTGTACAAATCGTCGATGCCGACAGATTTGAGCAGCAGAACCACGTTGGCCAGATTGGTACGCTGAATCTCCGGCGTCGTGTGCGCTTCCATCTCGTTCTCGAACGCCCACTTTGTGAAGAGTCGGAAAGCTTTGCCTGGTCCCACACGACCTGCTCTGCCCGCTCTTTGATCTGCCGAGGCTCGAGAGCACTATGAAGAGGGAAGGGATGCGGGCAAGAATTTGATGCACAGAGATCAAGGCATCAACAACAGTCTGTAGCACGTAATCGGAATTCCGCACGCAGAGCTGAGCCACTCACCGGCACGACGGTCAAAGAGGACATGCCGGTCCTGGGATTGTAAGAATTTTGCTTGACGAAGCCGGGGTCGATGACAAAGACGACTCCATCGATGGTGATGGAAGTTTCTGCGATGTTCGTAGCCAGCACGACCTATCGAGTGGGGCGCATTCACGTGGACGGGCAGAGTGTCAGCACCCTACACAACACGTCCGCATGAAAGTCGGGCCGCTCTGAAGCACGCGTACCTTTCTAGCGCCCTTCGGAGTGGGCTCAAAGATTTTCGCTTGCATTTCGCTAGGCAGATTAGCATAGATAGGACAGACGATCAGTTCGCCAATCTTGTTCCCCAATGCTCTGGAAGTCTCTTGCAGATTCTCCATGGCCACATCGATCTCGTCTTGACCGGTCAGAAAGACCAAAATGTCGCCTGCAGGTTGCGTCGTGTGGATCTGAAAGACGGTGGTTATGGCCGCGTGAAGGTAGTTGGCTTCGGGTTGAGAGGTGTAGTGAATGTCTACGGGGAAGCGTCGACCGGGTACTGTAAACCCGTCCATGCACAGGGAGAATTGGAAACGCGATCAACAACATGCAGCGTGCAAATGCGTCCTGCATCCACCACGACTCACCGAAAAAGATTGGCGCATCGTCAAAGAACTCGCTGAACTTATCTGCATTGATGGTAGCGCTGCTGATGATCAATTTGAGATCCGGTCTGAACCTAGCCACATCCTTGACCAGTCCAAAGAGGATATCCGTAGAGAGGGTTCTTTCGTGCGCTTCGTCGATGATCAGCGCCGAGTAGCCTGCCAAATCCGGTTCGGTGAGGAATTCTCGAAGGAGCATACCGTCCGTCATGTATTTCAGCACGGTCACGTCCGACGTGCAATCTTCGAAGCGGATGCTGTGGCGCGCGTGTCGGCGTGGAGAGGATGATGGGGTCGGGTGAGAGCAGGAAAAGGGATCGTAGCAGAGACAACAAGACTCACCTGTATCCGCATTCCCTGCCCAACCTCACCCCCATCTCTTCGGCAACCCTAGCCGCTACGCTCATGGCAGCCACACGTCTAGGTTGCGTGCATCCCACCTTCATCCCATCCTTTGTGTATCCCGCCTCGTGCAAAAATTGGGGCAACTGCGTCGTCTTTCCGCTACCCGTCTCGCCCACCACGATCAGCACCTGATTGCCCGCAATGGCGTCCAGCAATTCCTCTCGAAGCGCATAGACGGGCAAGGATTTTCTCACCTGCTCGATCGACGAGACTCGAGCTTCGGCTTCTTTGATCTGAGCTTGCAAAGCGGCATCTTTGGAGGAGAGGGATGCGAAAGCGTCCGCCAATTTCTCGGGAGAATCCATGAGGAATTCAATGCGTTGAGAATCGTCGAACACGTACTCGTACGCTTCTTCTTCCTCTGCTTGTGCCAACGTCGTTCCTGCTATACCGCCATCTCCTGCGCGCAACGGTGCGATGCGAGACTTTTCAATCTGCTCCCGCTCAAAGAGGTCCACGTCTGTGATGTGATTCTTTTGCGCCAATCGCTCGTTGCGCGAATCTTCGTCTGTGGCGATGCGCGGGAGAGAGAGAGAGAGAGAGAGAGAGGGCGCGTGTGAGTTGTATGCGCGACGCGACGCGACGCTGCGGCTTGATCCATCGCACTCACACCTCTGATACAGAGCTTGTTCCTTCTTCTTGCTGTCCAATCTTCCCTTTTCGGTAATGTAATCCTCGGGCATCACGTACTTGTCCTCATCCTCATCGATTCCCGCCCTCTCTTCCGCAATCCTGAGCACCTCCTTCTTGTATTCCAGCTCTCTCCTCTCCCTCTTTGTCGCCTTGATACCGCGCAGATACCTCTCCTCATCCGCCACTTCCATGCGCAACAATTCCAACTGCTGAACGCTGCGCTTTGCCAAATATTCCTGACGAGAACGTTGACGCAGATCGGGCATGGCTAAGCGACGCGCACCCGCATCTTCAGCCAATAATCGACGAGCTTCTATTTCGGGATTGGATTTGGATGATCGATCCTCGATCAATCGCTTGCTGCTCGATGACCCGCTATCGCGCTCCCGCATACGTCGACTGAATTCGTCCCGCTCCTGCGCATCTTGCAATCGCGCCTTTTCCAATCGAACATCTTCCGACTCTTCTTCTGATCCCGCTGCCTCTTCTCGTCCGCGCTTCCTTCCTCGCTCCACGTCTTCTTCTCCTTGGTCTGCTGTCGCTGCCGCCAGTCGAGCCTTTTTCTTTTTGCGCTTTTCAGGCTTGATAGACAGACTTTCCATCTCATCGGCATCGTCCAGCAACAAACCATATCTCTGTCTCTCTCGTTGCATAGGCAGCGCAGCGGTGCTAGCAGACGCAGAGGGGGTCTGGATGGAAGCGACGGCCGAGGCCGGTCGATCCGCACGTTGCCACAAACCCTTGACGAATGCTTGACCTTCCAGATTGTCGGGCAAGCCCAATGAAGAGAGGGAAGAGGAGAGTGCGGAGAGGGAAGAGCTTTGAGTGGCTGTTAGCAGAAGGTAGTCGATCATGGAGGAATCGGATAGACCGAAGAGGGACATGGAGTGGTCAGACACCCAACGTCGAAGCGTCGCATTGCTGCTGCTGCTGTTGCTGGACATGATCGCGAGTGCGAGAAGGGGGTTGCGGGTGAGCGCCTTGATGAGATGGTGCAAGAGAAGGAGGAGGAGGTCGTCGAGGGTGGAGGTTGAGGATGAGGCCAGGCTGAGCTGAGCTGAGCTGAGCTGAGCTGAGCTGAGCTGATATGTCAGTGGACGAATGAGCGGCCACTACGCTCGAGCTCACGTTGAGCTTGCAAGGCGTCGTCGCAGGATAGAAAGATCTTTGAAGGCGGAAAAGCTGAGGCATTGCGTGGAAGTGATGCGGACAATCTGAATCAAGTCTCGAGCACTCGTGACTGGTCACGAGTTACCCACGACTGAGTTTTGAGTCGAGAGTGGCACGCAACCATCCCAGGTGCATGCATGGATCGTGGATGATGTTGCTGTTTTCCCCCCGCTAGCGCGTCACGTGATGCATGCTGCTGGTCGCTCGCTTGCCCTGAACGAACGCGTGACGGACGTGTGCGCGTTCAACGACAAGGATGTGATCGCGTGTTACGGTCAAAGTGGCCTACGAAGCCTCCACGAGCACATGTACATCAAATAGAAGCCTACACTCGTGACCACTCTATCACGAACTGCATCATTCACTTTATGATTGTATATCGATCGAACGGGATGTCCACAGTGCAAAGGGCAGTAGTACAGTGGCATGCACTGCTTAGGCGCACCAGCACGTGCCTCCATCAACAACGACCAGACTTGAGTCGACAAACTCAAGAATTCGGCTCCAGTCGAGCGGAGGGGATCGATTCGCGATTCGATTGCATTCAAATCCTCGCATGCGGACGCGACGTTTCACGACTTGGACGTCCTGCTGCGAAGGTTCAAGCGTGCACATGCCAGACATACAAAAGATGAGAAACTACGCTTCGAAGGACTCTCGAGACGACTTCACGAGGCATAGGCATTGCCTGCCCAGGGTATGTATGCTCTGCCGCCGACGCGCTCGAATCGAAGAGATGTTAATTGATATCGAAGCACAAAATTGAGCTCTCATTCGGATTTCGAATATCGAGATGGCATGCTGACACCATGCAAACCGTACGTCTGCCCCGTCGAAACGTCCCACGTACCGCGAGGACTTTGAATCACGTCGTTCGCCAAAGTCAAGAGTAGCAGCCCGCTGAACTTCTCACACACCCCGCTTCATCTTCGTGCTTCTCGAAGGCCCGGTATGGGCAATCAATGAATACAATAACTACTCTTTTCTCTTTGTCCCAAGCCATTTGACTGCCCCACCGTCGGTCGGTCCCTACACGCCAGCCACAGAGCATGACCACGCTCTTACCGAAGCGCTGCCAGCAATCGTGACTGAAAAACCCGCACCGAGCCCGTGGTACTTGCTTTCGACTGAAGCAAATGAGCGTGTCTGGCTGTTGCGTCGACTTTGTGAGATATGTGGCCTTGATAGTCGGCGACACAGTAGGCGTGCGCTGCGATGCGTCAGGAAGTCTTGCACAGTCGTGCTCTTTTCGCAGGGGCTCATGTCGTCAAGACACCGTGCAGCTGCTGCAGCTATAGCAGACGGAGCAGGGGGTGACACTGTGACAGGCTCATATCAAGAGCCTTTCTGCAAGTCACGAATCTTGGATGCGCACGCAGGCGGATTCGAATTCGGGAAGTTCGAGTGCGTGGCTTACCGTAAATGAAGCCAATTTGCAGCCCGTATAGATATAGACAGAGAGTCAGAGCGACGACTCCCCGCGTCGCCGTCCACTTTCATTTCCAGCTTTGATTGCAACCCTCGAGATTGACTGTGACTACACATATGTGACGAGATTTGAGGGCAGTCACAGTCAGGAATGTCCCATCCATCCATCCATCCATCCATCCATCCATCCATTCTGAGCGTGAGCGCGACTGGAAACCGCAAGCACGCCAACACGCTGATCACCATGCTGCCTCTACAACAGCGACGAGCATCTCAGACGCTCACTTTGCAACCGGCCCAGGAAAATCTGCTCCCCGTGTGGGCACGCACAGCTTCGTCCGGGATGTCGTGAGCTGTATATATGCACTCAAACTCAAGACTCGGAAGCACGAAAACAATCAAGAATACATGAATACGAAGCTGCTTACATCGACATCATAATCTTAATCGCAATCCTCTATATCGAATCGTTGATCATCGAATGCAACCAGTCTGAGCATGAGTGCAAGCGCGAGGGAGCCTCAATGCTACGGCGGACGATCTTGGATGGCAGGATATATCAAATACAAACGTGTAAATCAAGGCGTCATGTCCACAGCGAAGCAAGAACCCACGGTAAAGCTGCACTCGTGCATGACTGAAACATATGACCTCGTGTATATGCACAAAAGCCGTCATTGCTCGGCTACTACTAGCTTGCCATCAATTTGTTCTGAATCATTCACATTCTCCTTCGTCTTGATTGTGACTTCCAAGACACGCTCGTTCGGCGTTTGGGCGCGATGATCAAGCAGGTCTCAGTGGATGCGCATCATCGTGTATTGCTGTCTCGCACCGCCAGATCAGGTCTCAGAAGAAAATTGCGAGTCTCGGCTCTTGCATGACGAGGGCGCATCAAGAAGGGCCGCACCATGCCTAGACTAATCAGAGCAGGTCAATGAGAAATTTCGCAGCGCAGATCCGTCAAGCAAGCACATTTAAGATTCAATTCCTAATTCTGATTCAGATTGTGAAACAACGTTTGAGTTGCTGCTGGCGTACGTGTTTAGGGACCGAGGAATGCGAAAGAGGAACATTCTTGACTCTGATTTGAGGGTATAAAGTGCGACTCGGGAGGCATAGAAAGCGCTTTCAATGCCTGTATAGGATCCGCCCCTTTGCGGAAGGTTTGACGTCAGTGTGAGTCTTGTCTCAGTGACGAACTTCATTCAGCTCTGACTACCGTCCACATCGATTCAAGCCTTCATATCTACCTGTAAATGAATAATGCTGACCCGCTCTTGCGCCACCACGCCCCCTCGAATCCTGACGCAAATACCGATGACTTGGGAATGATCGAAGCATGAAATCACTGAATGAGAATCTTCCACGATCAGCCATCGGTGACTCGCAGTGCGGCTCCATCGTCCGGCACTCTATCGATCCAACAAAGAGGCTCAAAGACGAGTCGAACACCTTGCGATCGAGACGACCCGCTGCCATTCACATTTCGAGGGTGCAATGTGCGTTGATACATACGAGTACCCGGTGTAGCGAGCTGCTGGAATCGAAGTGCAAAGCCGTTGCGGATCCGTCGTATTGTGTGGATTCGAAATGCGCCGTGAGATCTCGAAATGCATGTGAGACTCGAGATGTTTGTGACTTGATCATTGGCGACATCTCCTCGGTTTTGGGTCACTAAATGAGCAGCTAAGGAGGGCATCCATCCTCTCAACTCCAGAGTGGACAGCTATAAGAGTGAACGTCAAAGTGGGTTCTCTCCGCCGCACAGTGGTCACACAGGCCATACGCTACGCATCACCGACACCCTTTTCAGAGACTTCATCGACTGCCCATATCATCATGTTGTCGATATTCAAAGCTTTTCTCCTTTTTGCCCTGCTCATGTTCGCAACACAAGAGCTGAAGCCGGTGCTCTGCGTGCCGTCTTCTTCCTCCAAAGACATGATGCGCCTCGACGGTGAGAAATTTAGGGGAGCGTGTGCAATGGGCTTGTCTGACCGACTTTCGATACCTCGCATCTCCTCACAGGCCTTCACTACTTTCTCCACAAGCGTCATCCTACGTTCTGCTTTACGTGCGGCTGCCCCAGACCACCTTGCAACAGAGGCGAACTTCATCAGAGCGTTTTCAGCTCGGCTTTGGACGAGCGCACCGAGGATACGCGCATCATCCATCCTCGCGACGTCATGATCAATGAAGACGAAGCAATCGTGGAGGAGAGAGAGTCTCAAGGTAAAGCCCTACGATACGGAGATGCACTTTCTGACATTTCGCTTGCCATTCATCAAGAGGATCCGCCTCCCTGCTACAAGTGCGGATGCCCAACCCCTCCTTGCTCAGCAGCCACTAACAAGGACATTACGCTCCTCGATACGACGCTACGCACTGTGCAAGGCATCAGCGACCAGATTGTCGACCTCGAAGGGGACCTTCTGAAGCGTATGGCAGAGAAGAAAGCCCATCTTGACAGTCCCTCAGCTGGTGCGAGGGACGACACTCCACTCGAGGCCTGAGAAGATCCGCTCCGCCATGATCATCGAGCAGTCGCTCTCTACGTGGATATTCCATTTCAAGCCTCCAAGACAAGTTTCGCGCTAAATAGGGCTCTTGAGATTGCTTGCGAGCTGAACCATCCAGCACACCAACCATCTTCCTGGCAACCGGACAGGCGAGGCGAGGCGAGGCGCACCACTCGTGACTCGTGCCCATCGTCCATCCCACACCACACTACTCAGAGAAAACCAACTCCTTCCGCAGTTGCGTCCCATCTACCTCCGACAGAACGATCCAATCCCTCCCCAATCCTTGTGTGATGCTCTTGCATCATCAAATGCAGCCACCTCGTCCGCGTCCCCAAACCTCGAGTCTTTAGCGTTCAAAGATCCACACTCGAATCCGATGCCGTGTGCTGTGCGATGTGAACCTTGCAGCGCTGCAGCGCAGTCAATCGCAAGCCGGAATGTCAAGGATAGGAGCGCCTTTCGAGCATCGATCGTCGTACGTGTCGCGAGCAAGGGTCTTGTGCATGCGCGAACGAAACATTTCCGACAACTTTAGGCGCATCAGCCTACGAGATACGAGGCCCAGAGATCGTCTGCGCTTTCGAGGGACGGCCGTCACACCGTTGGGGGTCAGATCGCTGGACGCAAGCCGGCAATCGCGATCATCTTCCTGCTCTTCTGCGCGAGCGACGATCGATAGCGACGATCGATAGGGCCCGGATGGACTGCATCAATTGCAGATGGTGAGCCACGCGCTCGATCTTTGGTATGGCCACCAAAGCTAGCTCGGCAGAAGTGTGAGGGAACAAGAGGCAGAGAGGGCAAAGAATTCCGAGCAGAGGGCTGTACAACAAGGCAAAGTTCTCAGCGGAGTTTTGGAATCTTTATATGCTGGCCAGCATTGCTGTAATCCAGCTTATTGTACCACTTTGGCACGGTGACGCGACCTCTGTTCTGCCTAACTATCGCTCCGTTGTCCACAATCGTCTTCTTAAAGTCCGCATCCGCATTGAACGCTTTGGCCTCAGAAACAAATTCCTCGTGCTTGATCTTGGCAACGGCAGCTTTTTGCCTTTCTACCGCCGCCTTGGTCGCTTGTACTTGCGCTTTGGCGAGGTTGGGGTCAACGGGAGTCTGTCCGCCGGGTAGTGCCCCACCCTCCGTGCCATGTTTGCCAGCATCTGCAAGTCCTTTGACACCATCTATGAAAGTGGGTACCAGCGTAAGTCCGCCAATGACCACACCAGCGGTGCCTCCAACTAGACGCCGATCGAGCGCAGCCGGCTGCAATCAGTACCGGGGTCGACCGGCCAAAGTGACGGGATGCGTCGATCGAAGCAAAGTTGCAGCGCAGACCGCAAAAGTCGAGGGCCGCATCGAATGACGCACGGATCGATCGATCGATCGATCGATGAAAGTCAGTGTTGGAAGCAAAACAGAAAAGAATTCGATGACGTCGTGCCGTGTGTAAGACCAGCGTAGCACGTAAGACACAAATAGGGAAACAAAAAAGAAGGGGGGGTGGGGGGGGGGGTTAAAAGCCGCACCTTTGTCAGCAGACCCTTCCACACATTTGACTTGCAAACTTCTCAAGCCGGCGCTTCACGCACCGGAGTGCTCCCAGTTCTGACGACGCTCGATCGCTCCACGATAGCACTTTCAAGCTCCCTGTTCGACCCGCTTCTCCTTCTCAGCCGTCCACTTGGAAGTTTGCTAGGCGCTGGAGAAGGCTCCTTCGCAAGTGCGGGCGCATGTTCAGGTTGCTTTGCTTGCGCCTTCTTCTTGACCGGAGCTGGCGCAGGCTCGGATCCGAGCGCTTGCGCCTTGTCTGCAGCAGCTTGTTGCGCAGCAGCAGCTTTAGCTCTCCACTTGTTGACCGTCAGACCGAATTCCAGCTCCTTTTTCACGTCGAACGTGCTCGGATTGATGGTCGTTGGCGCTGCTTCCGCTTTGCCGCCTCCGTGGTGCATGAACATGGGTAGGAAAGAGAGTCCCATCAAGCCTGTCCCGACGGGTCCGCCAAGGGCTGGGAGCGCGCGTCTTTGTAGCCCGAGCGGGTTTTGTGAATCATGATTGGCAGCATGGCGGTCATTGAGCACTGTCTCGGATGTCGGCACCGGAGCAGCTGTGCATGGAGTCTGCGTAGATGCGCTGTGGCAGTATGAGAACAGTAGATCCAAAAGTTCAGCCCAACGCTCTTGGTATTCGCGTCTGAGAGGAAATATACTCACAAGAGCGCTAATGTGCTCAAGGCCCAAAAACCAGTGCCTCGCATATTCGGCTTGAAAGACCGAGTGTGGTCTGGCGACGCAATGAAGCGTACACAGAGAGGTGTAGAGTGAAAAAGAGACCAGCTCCTTGCGATGAATGCGTGCTTGTGAGATGTGATAGGTACGCCCAAAGAAGAGCGACGACCGGCGTCTCTTTGATACTTTGGCGAGGGATGCTGTTGTGCAGAGCAGCGAGCTGACCAGCAGCTAGTAGCAGCGTATAAATAGTCCGAGGAAAGTGATGGCATGAAGCGTTGCAAAGTGTAGGGAAAGGGGGAAGCTTTTGCGTGGACATGAATGGGGCAGAGACGCGTTATAAACACTCGCGAGTCCACTTTGGGTCCGACGCGGTGTTGTCAGGAACGCAAGAGTCTACCACGATGATGAATCTTCATCACCGCGTTCCACGCGCACGCCCAACGTCGCGGTAGTCAATATGGCGTCCCAAGCGCCTCTTTGAGCAGGCGTCGCGCCTTGATCGAGGACCGCGGTAGCCGGATGCGTTCTACGCGAGGGTGCGTCGCACCGCCTAGCGTGTTGACTGGCAGGCTGGGCAAGCCGAGCCTTGGGCCCATGCATTCACGATTGTGTTGTACTGGCTATGCCAGTGTCGACAAGGGGCGAGAGCGAAGTGTTGGCGAAGGTGAATGAAACGTAAGCCTTACTTTGACGTCCAAAAGTCGCAAACGGCGCAACACGAGCGTCTAGACTCGTGACTCACAGCTGATCTGGACCCCCGTGTCGCGCCTATCATTCTTGATTTCGGCGACGCTTGCACCTTGGAGCTAGGGCGCCACAGCTTTCCAAATGGAGCGCCAGCATCAATCAACTTTGTGCCCAGCACGTCGCCTCTGCATCAGCCAAAGTCGTGAGTACGGGGCGCATGCCGAGGGCGACGCGGCGCCCATCTACAATTCTTAATCGTCGCTCAAACGCCAGCGCCCTACGCCTTCCGCGTGTGTGCGAGTCAGAGTCACGTTCTGATCCATGATGCGATGCAACCAACATCAATCAGACAATTTGAATCAAAGAATCTTGAAACTTGAGTTTGAACATCCTTCTTTGCTGCTGCTGCGCTGCTGCTGCTTCTCCTTCGTTCTACGCGCGGAGTGAGGCCGCGCGGCGCATTGCTGTTTCAGCCCCGTCCCGTCGTACATGGGCTGCCCCAAACCGCCGGCTTTCGCATAGCTGCGCTCATCTTCCAATCGTCAACGGAAGATCTTTCTAAGCGGCTGCGGTAAATTGCGCCAAATGACTGCGCACGTGTTATCGAGGTTGCGATATATACGCCTAGTGAATCGTTCTGTGGAATGTCCATGCTGCTGACCAGCCAAGGGGCATCTGAAGCGGCCCGTTGCTCATTTGGGGTTGCTCTGCTCGATCGCGAGCACCCGGCAGGCCCTGAACAGATTCCGTGACGCGAGCAACGAGCGCGACATGACAATTTGGCGGCGCAACTCGTGCTCAAGGCACGTGCAAGTGATGAGGCGTAAGCCGTGACTCTTGCGGTCGCGAGGGCACAATGGAGTAGATGACCAATAGATTGCTCCGAAGCATAGACAGCGCTGCTATATTTCAAGAGGGAGGCTTGTCTCGTCTCTCTCTCTCTCTAGCGTTCCGGAAGACCTGCCGGTGTGACGATGAATTGAGGATGGAAGAGATGTGGAATGATCGAGATGAGCGAATGATGAGATGCGGAGAAAGCGCAAGACACGCCGTAAAAAGTTTGAATGAGCGGAGGTCCCTCCCTAGCTGGCATACAGTCGAGAATGCGGCTCTGCAGAAGCTACAATTGGCGTCGTGTCAGGCATCTTGGCGGCTTCTGTGGACCAGACTAGGCCAATCGCCCAAAGGGACTCCAAAAATGTTGGCAACAACGCCGTGCTTCGGCTTCTTGTTCTTACCGCGAAGAACGCCCAAGGGTGGAAGACGAGAAAGAGTTTTGGCCCTCGCAAAAAGCTTGATGTCATCCCATCGGTGCTCGAGCGCCTGAAACAGATCTGCCATGATCCTCCACACTTTCCCATCGAGGGAAGCGCCGAGCTCGAGCGTGGTGTCAACTTCGACCGTCCAGCTCTGCCTAGCGTCAAAGAGTAAGTCCGATGATTCGAGCTGCTCTGACCCATAGCCAGCTCCACGATTCGAGCTGCTGAGCACCGCCTTGCTCCAACGCTGGCCAAGATCCGAGCCTTGCTCGATAATGCTCAGGGCGCGACGCCAGAATGAAGAATCTGGCATTTCCCAATCCGAATCTTGCCGCGACTTTCCCATCGATTCGTGTTTGCCTGAGGCGACCTCTTCACCTGTGCTCGTGAAGTCGGCGCGGCGACGGTCGACGTCAGTGAGTGCTCCATGATCGCGCCCTGCGAGATCGTTTTCTACACTTTCGGAAAGTTTGACATCGCGACGTCCACTTGCGGAACTTTGCGCCAAAGAGCCGTCGCGATTGTGTGTATGAGCTTCGCTCAGGTCGTGTGCCAGAGGTGTGGAACGTCGAGCAAGGGCATCCTCCTCGCCGCGAGGGAGGAGTCCGAGATTGCGACGACACATCCAAGTGCCGTCTGGAAGGCTAAACTTGCTTGTGAGAAAAGAGACTGCTCTTGAGCGGTGCTGCGGACCGAAGCCCAGGTTATGTCCGCAGGAAACGCCGCCGGAAAGGTGGGAGGCACGCCATCTCGGCGAACGTGTACTGAGCGCGGAAATGGCACGTGCGACCTCGTTCAGCGTGGTGCGAGCCATCGACGCTGCACTGGAGAGTGACCGTTTCGCAAGAGTGACTTCACGTCGCTCAGAGGCAACCACTTTGGCCTTCTCAATCCTAGTGAGGGCACGGCGCCACAAGCCAGCTCTAGGGACCCGGAAGGAGGAGGCAGGACCTGGGTTGACATCCGCACCGAATAACTCGATAGGCGTTTGCTCCAGCGCATCGGGCAAGGCTATCCATCCGAAATGTGCAAGCCAAAGAGCGAATGATGCCGCATCCGAGGAGAACACGGCGCTCGCTTCTGTCGAGACCTGAGTGCGGTCCTGGGGCAATCTTTCGGTCGTGGTCAGCGCGCGACGTCGAAGAGAGCTACGCGGACGCGGCGCCAGATGAGCACCGTTGGGTTTGGTGGAAGATGTGGGCGATTTGCGATCATCATCGGACATCTGCCCACGCTTGTCGGGATGATGAGGCGATTTTGTAGGGTGTACAGCCAGATGAGTACTGTTGGAACTAGTCGAAGAGGTGGACGACTTCGGATCGTCATCCGACTTTCGCCCACGCTTGTCCGGATGGTGAGACGATTTCTTGGGCTCCCCAAACAGAGGCAAGTGTATGAGGCACTTGTCGTGCGCTTCCTCTTCCGCCTCCTCTTCTTCTGTTTTGTGTTTGCTACGACGCCAAAACAGCGTCCACAAGGATTTCCTGCAAAGTGTGATGGGGCCGTAGCCGAAGATGCTTCCGAAGCGCGCATCGATCTCCTCTTCGCGCCTGGACAGGATGTGGTCGCTAGAGAAGAGCGTCGCGAGGCTGTTGCGAGGCTTGGGCGGGTGCAACTGGCCTGCCGAATGTCTGGGCCTGAAGCGGGGTAAAAGCTGTCCTACGTCTGCGATACGGAACGAGTGGTCCTTCAGTTTTAGATGCTCCTTGACGTTGGCAACGCCGGCCCGCGTTTCCGCGCGTCTGTCGACATGTGCAGCCTCTTTGGTGATGAAAGCACGGCGATGCGACTCGCCAGACTCATCTGCAAGGCGTCGTCGAACGGTGCGTATGACTTATCAGTAGAGGGTCCTCCCTTCAGACGTGTGTCTACGCACCTGAGAATAAGCGCGGTTGGAACGTCTGCCGAGGTTGCGTTGAAGGTACTGGGGCAGCGAGACCTGCATTGATGCAAGCGGCAACAATCAGTAGCTCCACGATGATTTGCAGCACCTTCATACCGGCGAGAGGTGGCTTGGGAAAGGATACCAAAGGAAAAGACGTGGGCCTCAAGCGGTGTCTTGCGCCTTTTACAGACGCTCAGAGTGCTGAGCTTAGCAGAAGAGAAAAGGGAAAGAGTAGGGAAAAGTAGGAAGACAGAATCGGGGGAGGAGAGGCGGGCAAGAAACGAGCAAGCTTGGCGTGGCAAGAAGAACAACGCTTGGGATAGACTAGCGAATTTCGGATCGCGCGCCAAGCTGATCGTTTTTCGATGAGAGGCGAAGTTGTTGTAGCGAGTCAAGTACTTTGGTAGAGACGAGAGCACTTGGGCTTGTTCTGCAGAGTACCTTTGGAGCGGGAGAGTATGCGAGGATCTATGGACGGAAGTGTGCAACAGCTATTGATCAGGGAGCTCCGTTCCGCGACCGGCGAATCATGAATGGGACGAGAAAAGATGGCATGCGCTTCGCTCGATGCTTTATGGACCTGACTCGCGATGCGCTCTTTGCGTGGCCGGAATGCTGCGCGTTTTGTGCAGTCCACGTTCCAGAGGGAAGGTTACCGTTGCTTCAGTACCTACGACAAGGATGCACCGAGTGCACCTCGTCTGACCAGCTGACCAGCGTTCAGCGTTGCGCCCCTCACGTGGTGCAGACAATGACGACGCCCTGCAAGAGCCCGGTTCTGCGCAGCTGCGCACCTCGCGAACGTCGTGTCGAGCCGACGCAAGCGCTGCTGAATGCTTGTGCATTCCACAATGTACCTCGAGCTTTGGCACAAAGTGTTGACTAACGATTGCTCAGCAAGCTGAACATGCGTTGGACTTGGCTCGCACTTCGGTATCCGATCTGCGAGGCCAATGACTGCGTGCGTACCTGGGCCCCTTGCGAAGAGTCTCGGTGAAGCGCTTGTTCGAGATCCACATCGCTCGGCGAGCCTACTGCACGGAGTGTGCGCAGGCGCTGGCTGCTACATTGGCACGCAGGCTCCCAAACTGCTGCCGCTGCTGCTTCACGCCCAAACGTCTCGCGGTATCAAATCCGACACTTCAGCCCGACCTGACCCTGAGCAGGAACCACGTTCTTAGCTGAAGTACGCCATCGTGTCATGATGTTGCATTTGCAAAGTTCGCGATCGGCTTCGATGTTGGCTCTGAAGGGGCAAGAGCGAGCGCAAGCCTACCGACGAGTCGAGTACCTACGTCTACACGGCCCTCGGCATCGAGGATCGTACGGGACGCTCCGATCGGGTGCGTTGCTGGGCCGAAGGTCAGGAATGAAGACCACCGAGCGTGCCAGTCCTCTCTCGTAAGATCGGCGTTCCGAGCTGACGCGCTTGATCCATGTGCATCGCGTCGCGGTGCACACGACCATGTTATTGCTTCGCACCTCGACCACTTTCGCCTGGGGTCGTGAGAGCCAGACCACATCTACGACTCCGTGCCAGCTCATTTCCGCTTGCAGGAAAGCCTGTCTGCTAAGAGGATCGCATCGCTCACGAAGCTCCAGGAGGGCGTTTAGCATGCGCCATAAACACGTGAGCTAAGCATGGCAGACGAGGCCTACAAATGACGGCACTGATTGCACAGCGGCGTCAGATGGAGTGTTTGGGGGTTCGGAAATGCGGCGAAGCATGCTTGAATCGACGATACGTAGTCTTTCTGCGCCCTTTTCGCACGAGTTTGTCGCAGTGCGATCTGTGGGGATTAGCTGTGGCTGACCTGGTGCGTAAGGAGAGCCAAGCAGATCTGGCGATCAAGCATTGTGATTGGCGGAACGTGCGAATTTAGCGCCAACTCCTCTTGCCATGCCGCAGGGTCGAACCAATCATCCGACCTTGCCGATCGTCGGCGATGCGCGAGCTCCGCCAAAAAAACACTCGGCGCGATCTTCAACGTCGAAATGGCTGACGCGGTACGTGACCCTGTTTGGTTATGCTGCATCGCTGCAAGTTTCATGGTGAAGCAGGCAGTACCACCGGCGGGCAGGATCGCTTCCACTTATTCAGCTCCTACCACATTCAGCTGGATGTGTTCGCCAAGACAACAGGTTCCGTCCCGATCCTTTTTGATCAATCGGTGCATAACGAGCAGTAGATCGGTCGTCGCAAGGCCGCACGAATACCACCCGCGCCGGACCCGTGCTAGCGCTCAGCATAGTTGTTGCCTTGGCCTCCCCTCCTCCAGCAAAGGCAGCAGTAGCACCCCATCTACCCCATCTCATCTTCCACACCAAGCAAAGCAAGGCAAAGCAAATAATAAGCGTCCGATCCCTTCATCCCATTATTCGCGTTTCAAGTGCACGTCCTAGAGTCTAGCCTATCCTAGCGCACCAAGAGCATTAGCCACCGCCGCCTGCAGGTGGATCGTTCCGATACCCAAGAGGAAGAAGCTCATCGTCTTGGTTCCCAGCATGAAATCGTTGGCCAGTGTTCTATCCACGAGCAGGTCCACCGCGCAACTAATCTGTCTAGCCAGAGCAGTCCAACCAGCCGACGAAGCGGGCGCAGGAATTCCTAGACCCATAAAGATGGGAGAGAGCTGATCGGGCAAAGGTCCCAGGAGATCTCGCGATGCCCAGTAGGCCAGACGATCGAGCGTCGCTTGCGAGAGCAGCAAGAGCAAGATGGGATGCAGCGCCAACAAGATCGCAGCTTTTCCCATCGACCAGAAGCGCAGGCCGACAGTAGGCGCAGGCTCGGAAGAGGAGCGAGGTTGGAACAAATATAGTGGTGCTCCTAGCATGATACCGCTCAATGCAGCTAGGGAGAAATTGAGCGTGCTCACGCTCGCAACGAGCATTCCGGCATGTAGTAGCGTGAGCGCGTGAAGCGTAGGTGGCAAGGGCGAGGTTGTTCCCGGGGCACGGGTACGTTGCAGGGCGGCAAAGGTTACGCAAAGGAGCGCAAAGGCGCCAAGTAAGAGCACAGCGATCCATCGGATCTCGTCGCATCGCCAAAGGCCTTCTTTTGCGCATTGCAAAGGCGCGCTGCCCATTAAACACAGCGTTGCGGCCGCCAAAGCATGCATCGTCACAATGACAGTCAATGCTGTCCCAGTAGGTCTTTGCGTGCCGCTCAAGCTCTGATCCATCTTGGCTAGTCTGGAAGGAGTCAAGAGCGCACCGCTCGAGGCATACGCTTCCAGTAATGTCGCTCTGTAATGTTGCATCGTCGGTCTTCTGAGGGGTACATCCGCTGCTGCCGTCATGCTCGCCAGCACACCGTTCCCCGCGGTCGCCTTTGAGAGCGTCGAAACAGACCTGTTGATGAGCTCTTCAGCGCGCACTCTAGCTTCTCTGCCCTCTCTATTCCAGAGAAGCAGGCCGGCGCACGAGAGGGCTACGGCGGGAAGGATGGCCGTAGGTAGCAGCGTAGCAAATTGGACAAACTTGTCCGCTTCCGTGACGAGGTAAAAGAATTGCGAGTGGTGCAATCTTTCCAGCAGATTGGAAAAGCTTCGGATGTTGGACTCGATGATCCTTCCCAGTTGATAGAAGCCGTACGGACCGTTGGCTGGCGTGGCCGAGACGCCGATGGCGTCAATGTGGAAAGCGGTGAGCAGACCTGCGGGAGAGAGTGGGGTGGACATGGCCAATCTTCCAGCTTGTCTGGCCACATTTCTCATTCCCATCAAGTACCTCTTCGTCCCTCCCGCATCCCAATACTCTCTGTCCAACCATGTGGAAAGCGCTCCAAATGCCCTGTCCACCGCATAAGGCAGATCATCCTTGGAGGGAGAATCGAATCGGATGGGCACGTTGTCCACTCGTTGAGCTACGCGGACAAAAGTGTTCAGAACGTCCAGGTTAGGCTCTGCGCCATTGACGCCTTCGAAGGTAAGCTGCAGAGAGGAGAAGCTGTCGCTGGGATAGTCCAGGGAGAGACCTGTCCAGATCAAGGAGCGTGGAATTTGCAAGGCGTCTGCTTGCAGGTCTGAGGTGAGGCAGTACTATTAGACACGTCCGCGAGTGCCTGGCGACGAGCAGCAGCAGAAACTGACTTGCCTGCGAAGAGCCATAGTACTGGGTAAGCCAGGCGCGCGTAGCAGCCAACTCGTCGCCCTCGTCATCGTGAGGAAAGAGAAAGATGAAATCTTTTGACCAGTACTTGAACTCTGCGCGTGTGAAGGCGGGGACAAGTCGCGCCAGCGTCAATGTCGTGGGGTCAGTTGCAGAAGTGCAGAGCAACGAGCAGCAGCACTTGATGATTTGCACGTCATCCGCGTTCGTCACTCACGGCCCAAGAATCTAGCCAGAGTGAGGGCGAGCGCGACACCCCTAACATTATCCCTCTTCTCTTTCAATCTCTCGTACCACTCTCCTCTCGTCGCTGCGTCGCTTCCACCAGCAGCAGCAGCAGCGAATACTTGAGCATTCTCCTCGTCCGTGTGATTAGCAATGCTGCTTTTCCAAGGAGCTAGGATGAGGATGCTCTCCCTACCGTCAGACCGAGATGCTCTCAAGTGACCGTACGCGTTTGTTCCTGATCTCGTTCTCGTGCTGGTGTGCGAAGAGGAGGAGAAGGAGTAGGTGTAGCTTTGCGCGTGAGCGAATAGTCCGACAGATTCGAGTTCGGATGTGATGAAGCTGGCCCTGCTATTGTGGGCGCGTGTATGCGGTGTGCAATGTCAGCTCCAATCCCGTCAAGGAGCGCGCTAAGTCTAACCCCACACCTGATCACCAAAGATCTCACCTCTTTGCATCGTTGCCGCTCCGCAACACCTCATTCACCCTCTCAGCAGTCTTATCCGCCCACTCGACCTGCTGCCAATCCCAATAAAGTCTTCCAGCAGCCGGTTGCAGCGCATTCTCGTCCACATATGTTGCCCTATGAAAAGGTTTGTGCGGGATGGGAAGAGCAAAGAGGAGCAAGAAGGAGGAGATGAGAAGAAGAGGTGGGAGGATGGGCGGGAGATGGGACAAGGGTCGGAGCAGATGTAGAAGGAGCGCTCGACGGGCTGGACGCGTTGTGGCAGCGGCGGTGGTGGATGAAGCGACAGGCAAGGGATCGATGAGAATCTCTTCGTCGTCATCTTCATTCTCCTGCTCCTGCTCCTGCTCCTGCTCCAGCTCCTGCTTCTCTTGTTGATGCAGTCCAGCCACATCTCTGCGTCTTCTCACACTTCCCGCCATCTTCCTGCCCTCTGCACTTCCTCTACCCCTCCTTTTGCCGCTCTCGCGCTCCTCCTCCTCCTCCTCGATCTCGAGCACACTCGCCACGCTCCTCATGCCACTTGCAGGTGTGTTGTTGGGCGTGGGACTAAGTCTAGTAGATCTTCTGGGTGTGGCCGCAGATGTTCCCCTCACCCTCTTGCCCTCTTCCTCATCCGCGCTCCCGCTCAACGCTTCCGAGCTGAGCACGCTGGCGGATCGTCGTGCACCCGTGCCCGTGCCCGTGCCGGCGCTTGATCGGGGCATGATGGGGGAGATCGACAATTGGTGGAAAGAGGGTGTAGATCGAGCGCAGCTGATTCGTGAGACAGACAGACAGAAAGACAGACGTGGTGAAAGGCACGGCTTACGAGTCAAGTCGTCATGAACATGAAAAGGCTTGAATCAAAGTGACGCAAAAGGACGTGCGTGCACTCAGGACGACGCACCCAGCATCCACCCGCGCAAACGCGCGGATCGCGGGCACCGCGGCGCGTGCACCTGGTGCCATGCAGGTATATAGTCACGTAGTCACGTGAGTGCGCGCTCGGGCTGCCCGAAATTCTTCTAACGTTGACGCGTGAAGTTTGAGGTTTTTGGAATCTTGAATCACGAATGTGATTCGATTAATTTGAACGATTTCCGCGGCGTAAAGTCAGTCAGTCACGAGTCATCATGCAGTCAGTCAGAGTCAGTATAGGTAGTCATTATTCAAGTCATGAAGTTGCAGCAGATGTGCTCGATCGACGAATTGAGTGGCACGCAGCAATAACCTGGGGCCTTTTCTGCTCCCCTCCGCGCTCCCCCTCTCTTCCTCCCACCCCACCCAAATCTAGGCGTAGAGTGCGCGATCCACACTCAGGCCCATCTCCATCTCCAACCCCCCCGCTCTCCTTCACTCCGTCTTTGCATCAGGTCCAACTTCAGGGAGACGAATCGCAAGCAATGTCCTCCACAAAGGCCAACGAGAAGTCGAGATCGAGCAAATCGACGGGCATCACCTCTCGCGAAAGTCCAAGCGCCCACTCGGTCGACGCTCGACGTCGCAAACGACAAAAGGTCGCCGAGAGGAGCAGTAAAGAGCAAGAGTTTCATGCTCCTCCTCACTCACATCCTGCTGACGATGAGGGTGAGGGTGAGGATGAGGATGATGCGGATGGGAGCTTGGAGGAGCATGATGCGAGCGCCTTGGACTTGCTCAATGCTCTTGGAGCTGCATTTTGGGGTACGCGAGATGCTCAGCCGATCGTCTCCTCCACTCAACCCATCGAGGTGGCTGATCTTTCTTCCATGCAAGCTGCGCGAACACCACCGAGCCTGAAGCAGCAGGAGAAGCATCAGCAGCAGCAGCAGCAGCACCCTTCCTCCTCCTCCTCCTCAGATATCTCACCCACCTCTGCGACGTCAGAGAGAAACTCTTCAAAGAGCAAGGGCAAGCTGGAGCCGATGGGAAAGAAGGCGAGAGAGGTGCAAAATGTCGTCTTTGATCCTAGCGCTAGGAAGACGCAGCTGCCTGGCGCTGTCGCCACTGGCGGATTGGGTCGTTTCATGGTGAGCGAGGCGAGGCGAGCCGGCGCCTGGAGCGAATGGGCCAGCACCTGTGTTTGGGAGTCGTGCAGGCGTTGCGCCGGATTGGCGAGGGTGCACGCACGCGGCTTGCGCTGGCATGTGTAGGCGTTGCGCGTGTCCACTGAAAGACGGCTGCTTTCGGCGGGCGATGGGGTCAGCCAAATCGTGCGCTGCGCTTCTCCTTCTTCTTGCTAAGCACGCCCTTTTGCTCTCTCCTTCTTTCGCCAGTCATCCAAAGTACGCAGGCCTACGCAAGATGACGAGGCAGCAGCCTCTTTGCGCGACGAGCGGTCACGTTTCAAAGGAGAAGATGGCGAAGCCGAGTCTAATGAAGAGAAATCTCAAAAGAAGAATGACGTGTTGTTATCTCAGCTCTTGTCCAGCACGCTCTTTGCGCCGGGAGGCGAAAGGTCCATCTCTTCCACATCCGCATCCACTGGCAAACGGTCCTTGAACCACAAGGATACCGCAGCCAGGCTGATGGAGCTTTCCTCCTCCTCCTCCTCCTCCTCCTCCAAATCATCGGCATCGGGAGCAGCGGGACGGTCGAACAGGGTGACGGGTAGAGGTCTTGGTGAGAAGCTGTTGAGAGCGAACAAGCTCTCAGAGGTCCCTGCCAGCATTCGAACGGGCATCCGCTCAGCAGAGAGGCAAAAGCTGAAAGATAGAGTGGAGAGGGAAAAGGAAATGGGCAATTGGCACGCTTCCATCAAGCATCGGATCGGCAGAGAAGAGGGAGATGGATTGATTTTGGATGCGAGGAGGAACAGGGCAAAGGGGGGTGATGGGGATAGGGATGCAAAGGCGAGAAGAAAGGGATTGGGATTGGGAATGGGCAGCTTCAAAGGCGGAACGCTCAGATTGACGAGGGAGGAGGTGGGAAGAATAAGAGGAGAGGAGGAGTCGTTTGGTGGCAGGAGAGGTGCAAAGGCAGGTCAGAAGAGAAAAAAGTGAACGCGTAACCCCCCGCTCGCCCGGATCAAGATGTGCCCATTGGTTGGGTGGGGGCGGGGCATGAACAGATGCACGGGGGCGCAAAGCCCGTGAAGCGCTTCTGCAACCGCCCCTTTTTCCCGCACCCCCACTGCCAAGCGCCAATGTGCACACGATTCACCCTCGCGCCGCACGAACTTTGCGGGATGCTTGTATGGTCTGGCAGCGAAGAGCCGCCCCCCAAAGCAAGTGGCGAATGAGAGCCCCGATGCGACTCGCGGCGTTCGTCTTGGTTGCAACTGTCCGCCCCGCCCCGCCCACCACTCGAAAGTGTCAAATCGAGAGACGGGCTAGCAAGCCATTCTGCCCCACGCTTTGTTTGCTCATCCTGATCCGATTTCCGAACATGAATTTCCAGAGGAAGTATGAAGCGCATCGCTGATTTCAAGCACATGGCATGCGCGCAAGGAAGGGGGGGGGGAAAGGAGGGGGTGCGCAACATGCGCTACGATCACCTCAGCCATCCATTGCTTCCCTCTCACGCACCCAACGCGACACCTCTCAGACTCTTTGGCCTTCCGCTTTGCCATTCCCTTCATTTGTCCGCCTCCACACCATTTCACCCCCCGCCTTTTCCCGCCACATCGTCCCCTCACACACCTTGCGCCTTGCTTTTCCTTTCCCAGACCTGCATCGTGTGCGCGCGCGCGGAAAAGATCGAGCAGATGTGTACAGTGGGGGAGGCGTATGAATCCATCGTCAAAGCTCTGCATGGCCGCAAGGCGCGAGGAAGGGTGCGTCGCACAAGACTCACCTGTATATACGTCTCGCCGAGGAACAACATTTGCTTGTTGACTTCCTCCACAATAAGGTCTTGGATCTGCAACCACTTTTCCTCCCCTTGTTCTTTCTCCTCCTCCTCCTCCTCCTCGTCTTCCTCTTCTTCTTCTCGATCGCTAGCTCGTGCATCGACTCCCGCTGAGTGCTGCTGCTGCTGCTGAAGGTCGCGATGCGCACGCGTGTGCACCTGAGCTCGAAAGACGCTATTGTCCCGCACCGTCCCAGCCGTAGCTTCGTGCGTCACGTTGGCTACCAGATCATACGCCGCACTGAGCGCTGGATTCGTCGGATCTTCCACATCTGTCCGGGCCAGGGGAAAAAGGAAGATGGGAAAGGCACCGTCAAGATCCTCATCAGTCTCGTAGCGTTCGCGCATATCCTCTTCGCTCTTTGCCAAGCAACTCACAAGGTGCCCAATCGAAATCCCTAATCTGGAAATTAACAATCGTAGGATTTCTCTCCTCCGTAAATCCATTCCTGGTGAAGCGTCGGAAATGCAAAACGATGTACGGTGGTAGTCGGGTGATCTTGAACCTCCTGATGAGACCTTTTGCCTCTTGAAAAGATGTGCCGTCGTATTTGGAGAGCACGGAAGCCAGGCTGACTTGCGGAATGATGTTCTTTTCGATCACATCTTGAAAGACGGGCGGGGAAGGCAGATCCAGGGCTAGGTGGAAAAAGGGAGATGTTTGCGTCTGGATTTCTGCCGCGAAGCCCCGATGCGGTTTCGTTCCAAAAGAGGATGGGATAGGTCAGCCAAAGGGGGCAAAAATGCCGTCAAGACGTGCTCGAACTCTCCGACTAGATTTTGCTGCCCCACTGGCTCAGGCGATGGCTATGAGAGCTGCGGTAAAGCGGGCCGAGAGATCGGACCAGTCGGCAGACAGCTGCATGCGTACTTTTCCGCAGACAAGCTGATGGTCTCTTCTCAGAGCTCCCATTGGCTGGCCTGCGCATCAGCCAAGGCGCTCCTCCAAACAGCTTTCTACTAGCTATCAGAGCTCCCCATCCTACAACCTCAGCGTTTGCAGCAGCAGCAGCAGCAAGCTGGTGTTTGCTGGGAACCTCGACATATCGCCTAGCCTCCAGCTTTTGATCTTCCGCACGCAAATCGCCACCACCAACAACTCACCCTTTTCGATGTTGAATTTTTTGCCCCCAAGCGCATCCTCCTGACCACCCTCTCTCCTCCCATCCGCATCTCCTCCGCTGACCAATCCTGATCCGTCCGGCTCATCGTCGATATCTATACCGCTCCTCACAAAGACCTTTTGCGATTCGATGCGGATCTGACCTTGAAATGTTTCGGAGATGATGGCTGTGCGCGTCGGTCGGGGATTGGCAGGGGACGGAACGAAAAGAGAGAGAGAGAGAGAGAGAGAGAGAGAGAGAGAGAGAGAGAGAGAGAGAGAGAGAGAGAGAGAGAGAGAGAGAGGAAGTTGGGAGGTACAAACGGGACGGCTCAGCAGAAATTCAGGCTCGAAAAGGTCTCGCTAGATCCGTCCTCAACGTCAACCCTTGCTTTCCCCCCACAAAAGCGGGAAGTCACAAGGGGGGAGCAGGTGGGGGGAGGCGCAACTCACTCTGCCTCTTTTTTCCACCGCCCAAATCGACGTGCAGCGTGTTCAATAGCCAACCGAGGAACAAGATGGGATCCGACTGCTTCTCCACTCCAAAGACGCCTTTGGATCTCGCAATGACTTCCTGAGCAAATTCGTGAGGCGATACTTGAGCTTTGAACGCTTTGGCATTCCACATTCTCCTGAGGACCAGACTGAACAGACGCAGCAGTTCGGACCTGTTTGCGTGCTTTGGTGCGGATGCGGGTGCTTGAGATTGAGTTTTAAAAGGCGAAGAAGAATGTCGAGCTTGAGGATTGGAAGATGCTTGGGACTCCCTCTCTCGCTGAACGAAAGTGTGAAGCAAAAAGTAGTCCCGCACCGGCTTGATGTGCGCCATGATCTGCAGTACGACGTTGATGTAATCCGAGCGACCGCGCGTATTGTTGAGACCTACGAAGCCCGGAATGTATTGCTGCTTGTGCAGATCCAACTTGATGCCTTGTCCATCCAAACGCCGCACATCTTGGGCCGTGTAGACGGGATCCAGATTGTACACGACATCTCGCAGCGCATTCAAGGAGCTCTTGTTCGTCACCCTCTCTCCTTCTGGCAAGATCCAAATCTCGCCTGCTGCTGCGCTGCTCAACGTGCTGCTGCCGGACGTGTCGCGGAGATGATGGGCATGGGCATCCAGATTCAAAAAGACTCGATGATTGCACCCGATGGAATGAGCATACGCGGGCGATGAGATGCCTCTTCCTTGAAAGTACTTGCCGCACACGAGACAGCAGTACACGTGATGACGAGATAAGGTCACGCTGCATTGTCGCTCAAAGTCAAAGTCTAATCTGCTTCGATCGATCTGTGCGAAGCGAGAGAGAGAGAGAGAGAGAGAGAGAGAGAGAGAGAGGGAGTGTATGTGCGCAGGTGTGTGCATCAGAGTTGGGAGAAAGTAAGGCAGATGAGCGACAAGAGAGCCATCTGATACGACTCACAGTGTCGAGGTAGAGTTCCTGCACGTTGCTCTTATCCTTTTCATTGGCCATTCTGCTCCAATACTCCGCATCCAGCACATCTCCCTCTGCCTCTGCCTCTGCCTCTTCCTCTTGCCCACTTGCCGCACCATGGATGCCTGGCCGAGCAGTAGCAGTGGCGCTGGGTGGTAAGATATAAGAAGTATCACCATCCGATTCGAAAGAAGTGAAGGCTTGAGGTCGGGTCGTGTCCTGAGGATCTTCGGGAGGAGGGGGTGGTGGTGGAGGGGGAGCATCTGGTAGGGGCGCACTCTCGGGAGCGGGAGGAGGAGGAGGAGGAGCTTCTACTTCGACTTGCGGCTCGGATGGAGGAGGAGGTGCAGGTTCAGGTTCAGGTGCAGGTTCAGGTGCAGGTGCAGGTGCAGGTGCAGGTGCATCGTCTGACTGAACTCTTGCGTGCGCGCTGCCGCTGCCGCTGCGCTCAGAAACCGCGCCACCGCTCAGATCGCCATCGGCCTGCGACACTGATTCGGACAGCCTAACCCTCTTCGAAGGGCGTGCGCTGCTATTGCTGTTGCTGTTGCTGTTGCTGTTGCTGTTGCTGTTGCTGTTGCTATTGCTATTGCTGCTCTCGCTCTTGCTCTGCAAGGGTTCGACGCTCGAGGCTGACAAGGGGCCTGCTGCTGACGCCTCGGCTGCCGTCAAAGATTCGACTTGCGCCTTGGCCGATGATCGTGTCTTGCGAGGTGGCATGTCGCTTGCTGCTCAGCAGATGGCAATACGCTTCACACCTCTGTGTACGCCAAAGTCGTGCTCCACACTGTGCCGTGTGGAGTGAGGGGTGAGTGAGGGAGACTGCAAGGGGTTGGAAGAAGAGGAGTGAGTGCGAGTAGTCAAAGTCGGCAGTCAATGAGTCGTGAGTCATGCAAGCGTCTCGAGTCTTTGAGTCACAAGTCACAGTGTTGTTGCAAGAGTCGCCTTCAGTCAAGGGTGCGAATTGAGAGTCACGTGTCCATGCATGTGTTCTTCGCTCGCTCGCGTGCGTGCATGCATGCACACATACCGGTACGTACATGCAAACCCTGGCAAGCGGCCATGCATTCATCCTGCTAATGCTCCTTCATCCATGACCCACGACACGGATTTGCCTGCGACACGATTTGTGCACACCTTGCAAATACGCATGGCAAAGGAGAGGAGAGAGGAGGGGGGGGGGGCGATCAAACGTCCAAACACGGGAGACATGTCTCACTCGAACAAGAGACAAAGGATGGATGCGGGTGGTGGTGGTGGTGGTGGTGCAGCACATCGCAAGCAAGGCGCCAATTCGAAGAAGCGTTCACACTCGCATATCATCGACAAACCGCACGGCAAGGATGAAGCTTTGGCTCGGTTGTTGGCCTTGAACAGTGCGCAGATCGATGGGAAGAGGTTGGACAAAGGCGGCGGCGGCGGCGGCGGCGTGGGTGCAGATGATGCGTCCATCGGTTCTCTTGCCAAACAGCAGCAGAAAGAGAAAGAGAAAGAGGCAAGCGGTGAGGACGAGGGGCATCGCAGCACTGCTCCAGCATCCCATACACCTTCAAAGCCTGCCAAAGACTCACAGGCGCAAGGTAAAGAGAGCAAGCAGAACAACAAGAACAAGGGAAAGCAGCAACAGCATCAGCATCAGCAAGGTCAGATCAAGGGGAAGGAAGACCTGATGCCGGGTAGGAAGAGCGTCTTTCGACCGGTGCTCAGGAGCGGGCTAGAAATCGCTTGGTGAGTGGAAATGGACTTCATTGAATGTGGTGGGCGGTAGATGCTGTGTGCGAACAGGCGCTTCTGGACTGGCTGCAGGCGCAGCAATCGATGACGGGGAGAACAGGGCAAGAGCAATGCTGATCTGATCTGATACGGTCTTTATCCCCCTGAATCTCCCGTCGCCTTGCGCGAGGACAGGCCAGAGATCGCCCCGATTCATAGCGTACCCATCTTGCACACCCTGCTCGAGCTCCTCTTGCACTCTGCTCTAGATCCGCTGTTGAGGCCTGCCAAACCAGACTCGGACAGCTCCAAAGCGCGCAGACAGAGGAGGTTGACACTGCAGAAGAAGATGCAAGGAGGAGCGTCTCTCGTGCGAAGCTCAGAGAATGACCTGGTAGAGCGCCAGGATGGGACAGGGATGAAAGGGAAAGAAGAGAGAGGAGGGGATGAGATGCAGGAGGATCGGCATCACGAATGCCAGCAGCAGGACGTGCCGCGCACTAGAGAGGAGGACAGGCCTATCATCGCGGGTCTGAACAGCGTAACGCGGTACTTTGAACATCGAATAGCGGGGGCACGTGTACGTCTTGCCTCCACATCCCACTTGGGCCTGCGCTCAAATGATTCGATCGACGAAAAAAAGGGATGCGAGTCGGCCAAGGTAGAGACGCAGAACAGCGACGCACCGACGCTGTTGTTCGTCAATAAAGCGGACGTCGATCCTCCCTCTCTAATAGCCCATTTGCCAATGCTCTGCTGTGCACACAACGCCATATACGGCGCACTCTCCTCCCTAGGTCGTGGAGCAGTCGCAAATGAACGCGCGCGTGCAGAGCAAGACGCCCCTGTTCTTCTCGTTCCCTTAGGGCCCAGAGCAGAGCTGCACCTTTCAGCCGCGCTCAGACTCAGAAGAGTCACTGCTCTTCTCATTCGTCCCAGATTCCTACCCACCTCGTCCGACGGCAAAGTACTTGCCGAGCCTTTGCTCCGTCTACTGAGAAGCTCGACGTCGTTGAAAGAACCTCGATCGGATTGGTTGGACAGTGCGGCTCTCTCGGCTGTGCGCGAGGCCAGAGGCGGCGCCGCATCTTCCGCCAAGCCCAACTTAAGGGATGCCACGAGGGTATTGTCGAAAGAGCAGCCTTCAAGCAAGCAAGCGCGAGCAAATCCGGAAACTTCTTCATCCATGCATCCCTTTTACCCGACGCGCATCAAACATCTCAGATCTTCAGCTCCGGCAGATCTGAACGCGCACAAGGTGGCCAAAAAGATGAGCAGGGCAAAGAGAAAGGTGGAGGTGAAGGAAGCTGCTAGGCAGGAGAAGCAGAGGGTCAAAGAGGAACGCAGAAAAGAGAGGAATAGAAAGAGAAGAATGAGCGGAAAGAGGAGGAGAAAGAAGGCTGAGGAGAGAGATGCGAAGAGCAAGAGAGAGGGAGATGAGGATGCAGCCGCACGAGGAGACGTTCGGGCGTGATCCTGCTCTGCATCGTGGCGGTGCGCCTTCAGGGCACATCGAGCGACATTGCTGGTTGGAGGCAGGATAGGAAGATTGCTCGAGCTTATCCCGGCCAGTCGCGCGAAAAGGCGTGTTCGCGCCATGAGCGCGTGAATTGCCTCTCACTCTCCGGAGTCCACAACACTGCTCCGGCAAGCGGATGAGCGCCCAAACAGCCGATCGTCGCCCCATCGAGACTTGACATCCCAGCCTCTTTCAAAGGAAAGGCTCTTTGCCCGTCTCGACAACATTCGATGCTTGCCACATCAAGGCAGCTTTGAAAACCCAAGCGCGCTCCTTGGCCACTTTTGGTCAGCGCCCAGTCCTTCCTTGTAGAGCGACGAGAATAAGTGGAGTGCTGGCATGGACACACTTGACTCGCTCGTCTGGCCAACAGGACGACATCATGGTGTCAAGTGCATACTCACGGGGGACGCACTCAAGACGTGTTGTATTCGGTCGAAGGCGAACCTTGCGCTCGGCGCACATGCGCGCAGACGAGCAATGGCAATAGCCTGCTCTCTCCCGCCATTCGCTTCTACTCGTGAGGTTCACCACGAGACTTGACGGGCGTTCGAGGTGCCATTCAAACGCTGAAGCTGCGAAGAGCTTGCGAGTCGGTTGTGTTAGCGTCCCCGCCTTACTTCTCGGCCTCCTCATTTGATGTGCAAATAATGCTCCTTTGGGCGGCAAGGCGAGCGATGGCGCAACTGACTAGGGCAAAAACCCGCGCAACAATCGAATGCGCTCAGAGCACGGATCGGCTACGAATGCGATAAGAATGAATGAGCTCTTGCCCCACTCGTCTTCGTTACAAAGCAAATGGTGCTTTTGAAAAGGCTTGGGAGCTTGCGCTTGGCCGATCGTTGGGAGGACTTGCTGGTGGCGTGGGCGCGCGCTTTAGGCGCAGTCAACTTACTGCTTGGCTCTGCTGGGCTCTACAAAGCTGGTGCGGTGCTGCGCCGCCGCTGCCGCCCGTGGCTCGGGATGCGCAGGGTGGCGCGAGCCTCTTACGCCTAGGCCTATAGTAGGTATGGCAATGGTGTGGAATGGGTGGCAAGGAGGGTAGCATCATTGCCTCATAAAAAGCTCCCACCGATAGCTTTGTCCCTCTTCAGCTCCACCGCACACAGACAAAAGCACAAGACCGCTACGTATCCCTCTGCGAGGCGACCGGTACAACTCAACGCTGCGGACATAGCTGCGTTTCGACCATCCACACTCTTGTCTCCTAGACGAGCGACTAGCACAATCTCCGAAAAGCAATCCCATCGCTTGCTTTCGAGGAAAGATGAAACTTCTCAAGACTCTGCTCGTGCTTTGCTTGGCACTGGTGTGCCTCTCGACGCGCGTGTCTGCCGCACCCGTATCCATCTCTATCACCGTTCGCATGAACACGTTGAGCAGGATGGAGCAGCAGCTTTGTGCTTGCGTCAAGCAGATGCTGCAGCGTATTCGCATGCAAAGGATCCAAAGAATGATCAGTGAGTGAGGCGTACAAACGCCAAACTTTGGGGAGGGAGAAGCACACATATGCGCCCGCAGGCTGATCCCAATTCGCGCATTACAAGACGCGATCGTCAAAGATGTGCTCAGCGCAGATCCATTCGATCAGCGACGCTCTCAAGCTGCTCCGCTGGGAGTGGGACCAGGCATGCCCATATTCTGGAGACCCAGAATGAGACTCATCGCAGCTATCCCCGTTGTTCGTCAAGGCTCGACGATGCTAGCTCCAGCGATGGATGAAGAAGCTATCAAGGGCCTCAATTTGCAAGCTGATCAGAAAGGCGAACCTGCGCTGCAGGAGGACGCTTCGGACGACGATGCCGTTAGGTCTCGCAGCACGAGCGTCGCGTAAATAGGGTGCCCGTGTGAGGTCAGGCGTGCAGCAGAAAGAATCGACTGGCCCCTACGATTGGCGCCGAAATCTGAGAAAAAATCAAACACACAACTCAGCGCAATGACTGGCCACATGGCGCAGTGTGTTGATGTCGTTCGCGTACGCGCAGTCCCCACGCAGACGTAGTGTGACTTGCGATGGGAGATGGAGCCAGTTCCCTCCGACTTGCTTGCTCCGTGCTCCATGTGGCCTTCTTTTGACTTGCCGACCGAGGACGTGCTCAGCACAAGAGACAGCAGACACGGACATCCCACCGACGACGTAAACGATGAAGAGCAGCAGCAATCAGCCAGCGCAAATCCCGTTCGGTTCAAGAAAGCGGGCTTGATCTGGCCATGACGGTGTGTGGTGTTGATGGTTGACGCATTGTCCATTGCTCCATGGTGTCTTCAGTCGCGAGCGTGTTTGCCGTTCATTTCGCTTTGAGCGGCCTGCACAATCCTCATTAATGAAGCACACACTGCTCTGCGCGCGCCCGTGTTTGGTCGCACGGATCAGTCAATATGGACACAAAGACCACCAATACTCTTGAACAGAGCCACCTTCTCTCGCGCCCTGTCCCCTGGCTCTTCAGATACGACGTCAGGGCATGCTACGCATGATCAGCAAGAAATTTGACTGCAAATGATGCGTGTCGTGCGGCTCGCGCTAGACCATGACGGACGGAGGACAGGTCTAACCGCAAGCCGCCCGATGAGGCTCAAGACGCCTCGCTCTGACCATTTTGCTGCGGGGCCGTCGTGGGCAGAAATAGAAGACAAGACGAAGAATTGCCTCTCTCGTGGTCCGAATGAGGAAGGTTTGCGCAGCATCTGGTACGCCAACAGCCAATAGGGCGCGGTTAAATGGGCGAACACACAAACGCACCAGAAAGCTGTTTTGCCGAGCGCAGTCATTCCTTCGACATTCCTTTTTGCGAGGAACAAGTGGCGATTGGGACGAGGTTTCTCCGCGGCTGGCCTCTGCCAAATGCCGGAACTTGGTGTGCGACAGGTGAAGCTTGCAGGAGCAGGATGAAACAGGAATGGAGAAGAGCCAGGAGAGGGTGCGCGTGCTCCTGCTCGTGCTCGATCAGGCGCAGGCATGGGCGTCGAACACGTGGCGCGGCGCCGACGACAGGAACGAGCGGTATACACGACGCCGCGCATGGATGCATCATGACACCCGCGCGTTACACATGCTGCATTGGCTGATCTTGCGGCGTTTCCTTCTGTGCGCCCGTGATATCGGTACCTGGGGTTCATTTGGCGTTCTGCAATCTTGGGATGAATTCGCAACGAATGATTCGGGCGCAGTCCGACAATCTCCATCTTCCCAGTCACAATTCGAGCAGAAGCTTCCAGCATGGCCGAATGACCATTGCGAACTTTGAAGGCAGGGAGGATTCGCGTCTTACTATACGCCTGTCCAACACGGCTACCAACGGAGCTACATCCTGACGCTTCAAGGGCGGCCGTGCGTGGGGCATCGGTATGCTTACCTCAGATGCTCAAAGCCCATTCGGCGTCTGACAGCCCCTATTCGCCAATCAAGCTCCCCAGGCGTTGAGATGAGCTCATCGGCGACTTGCTTATATGCGTTGCGCAATGCAACTCAGTCTCCTCTTTTCTCCTTTCTGCTCCTCCATTATACCGTGTCAGATCTGATTCTCTTCTCAATCCACACTGCGTGTGGGTACTGCGACTCCTCTCACTCGCTCGAAGCGAGCAACACAAGCACGTTGATCGTGCCCACGTATCTTGATAGGCTACAGACTGAACTGTAGTTCTACGTCATTCTTCGCGAGAAACGATACGGTGCACGTCTATGGAAGAGACTGAAGCTCTCTTATCGACCACGTACCGACGAGCTGCCAGGCGCAGCTGCTCCTCAGACAAAAGCCAACATCTTTCGCTCATCAGCGCTACTGCTCCCTTTCCCTTTCTGTGTTGGCATTGCCCTGGAAAGCGCTGGTCGCACCAAGCTTGACTACTATACGATAAACACCAAATTCCTGCAGAGTCTCTTCATCGCCGTCTTTCCCTATTGTACAATTTGACACGGCTGACTGTGCGCATCGCCGGCATTATACCGCCAGCGACACATCAGCATGCCGCTGCGGCGATCTCGTAGTAACGCGCTATTCTGGCTCACCTTGATCGCCCTCATCATTGCGTTCGAAGTGCCAAGATGTGGAGTGAGAGCTGCCCCAGTAGTCTCTTCTGCCCGGCGCAATTCGACAATGGCTCGACACCTCGATCAGCGAGGTTCGACTACGGCGACGCAATTTGCACAGCAACCTACCTTCGCCGCCTCGGAGCTCGATGCGCGGACGCGGGTCGCACAACAATTCGAGCGCAGCACCGCAATCTTGCGGGCGCGCGAGCTTTCACAAGGGCGGCGTGGGACGCGGTCCAGCTCGACGAGCAAGAATGGCCCTCGCTGGAGAGCGGCAGATGCGCGACTCGACAGGTCGCGCAAGAGCGGTCCCTCTTCTTGGACTAGAGAACTGCGGGCCGACATGACGAGCACCCACGTGCATCGTCGCAGTGAGGACGACCGTCTAGGGAGAGGAGTCATGCTGATCGATGATGAGCTTGGCAGGAGAAAAGTGTTCCAGCCCGCTTCTCCTTCCCCCTCCTTGCATCGACGCAACATTTTCAAAAAGATAGGTCACGCGTTCAAAAAAGCTGCCGAGACGGTGGGAGGCGGCATCAAAAAGGCGGCCGAAGTGGTTGGGGGAGGGGTGAAGAGCGTTGCGGAAAAGATTGGGGATGGGGTCAAGAGCGCTGCTCAGAAAGTGGGGGGCGCGGTGTCGGATGCGGCCAAGGTGGTGGGTGAAAAGGTCGTCACTGCTGCGGAAGCTACGGCCAATTTTGCCCAAAGAGCTGGAAGAGGCATCGCCACGGTTGCGAGCAGAGTCCCGGACACGGTAAGTGTAGCGGAGCCAATCCGCCCGAGTGGGCTTTGTCTCTGTCTCAACCCGACGTGTAGTATCTTCCCTGCTGCTGACATCCATGTCTCTTCGTGCACAGGCAAAAGCCGTAGCCAACGCGACTGTTAATGGTTTCAAGCCTAGCGCGCTGGTGCAAGAGGCCAAAGCGGGTCTCACGTACGGAGCGCCAGGAGCGATGATCACCAAGTTTGGAGGAATAGCTGCAGCTTTCGGACATTTGGGAGGCAAGAAAGCGGGAATGATGGCGGACGCTTATGCACAAGTCGGCAAGAATTTGTTGGCAGGTGACAAGGCGATCAAGTATGTTGGAAAGCCAGCGAGCTGGAAAGAGGTGGGCATTTGATATGCTTGCTCTCCTCTCCTCAAACCAAATCCGAGCCTTTTTTCCGCTTTCAATGGAATCATTCGAGGAAATTTTCGCTCTCGATTTTGCTCCTGCTCATCGTTGAGACTGGCACAGTGTGGATGTCTGAACGCAGGACCCCGTCGGTGAGTCAGCTCACGTCTGCAAGTTCTGGCAAGACTTGTACGGATGCGTAGCAGGGCATCTCTCAACCACAAGCCGCACTCACGACAGACAAACAAAGGTCGCGCTCGCGATGCAGTCACGAGTGTGAGAGTCGAGATGATCGTTGACGTCCCAGAGTGACGCAGAGACTGGTGTCATGACTCGATCAGTGAGTGACTGACGTGCAGAGAGGCATCCAGAAGTGGACATGTGCGCCCAGCTCGATGACTTGCGCTCGCAATCGCATCTCCCTCTCAATCGGGCCCCACGTGTCGAGAGCTCTGCTGTTTCTGCTTCTTCTTCTTCTTCCGGTCCAAATCCCGCCCCCACCTCCTTTCTAACTGCCTTCTCGCTCTCTCGCGCCCCAGACGCGCGTGCCAAACGCTCCAGCTGGCATCTGTCGCGCCTTTTTCTGTTCCCTCTTTCTGCGCGCAGATCGCTCAGCTGCTGCTCGGTCTGCCGCGCGAGAATCCTTGCTGGTACGTCTGACAAGCAGACCCAGCGCGATGGTGGTGCAGAGCAGGCGGCACAGCGTCATGCTGCTGCTGGTGCGCTCGATCGATCGAATGTGCGATGCAAGGGATGTCTGACGCGCGATCTTGATATTTTGGGTACGGCGGGCGCACAGCTAGGATGGCTTCTTGTCTCGTTGATGCGACGACAGCATCGAGGGGCGGCTGGCGCGCATGGCTTGTGTATGTACCGGTATATGTACGTTCCGGTATAAATACCTGCGCGAGCCCGCCGTGAAAGAGCCTTCTGAGTGCCGCCGGTCGTATATGATGATGAGCGGCTGGCGCTCTCCGCATCACATGAATCAAATGAGGCAGTAGATGGGCTGAAGCGCGCCTTCATTAAAATTCTAATGGCTACGCCGATGATGAGCGCACGAATTTCGATGCGGACCGCGCGCACCTTGTACGAAAACAGACGGCCGCCGAGACTTGCTGGGTGCGTGGTTTGAGCATTCATGAATAGTCCCGAGTGTTGCGACCGTCTGCTTCAGTTCCAATCACGATGTCCAGCAAGCGTCAAGTTGTGATCAGCGAGTCATCATTGCTTGCGCATTGGAAAAAGCTGCTCAATCGTCGAGATTGCGACCATCTGCATCGAGTCAAGAATAATGAGGAGTGAGCAAGCCGAACGAACACACAAGTTGGACAACCTGCAAAGGAGCGCCATCCCGACTCATCACACGTAGGTCGACTGGGTGGCCATGCTGCGTGCACTTGCACTGGCTGGCAAGCACGGAAATTTGCCACCAGCCACCAGCCGCCACGCGCTTGCACAGAGTCGCGAGTGATGGAGAGGTGGACCTTGAACATGCCAGTCGAGTGGCGCGGTCTTTGAGCGCGGAGCGGTGCGGTGCGCCTTCTCCACCACATTTGCTCATAGACCACAGCCACGCGCATATCTGCAGCAGCAGGGTGGTGCAGTACGCTACAGCCACCGCACAGCTCCGGACGAGGTGTGAGGCTAGGGCCAAGACAACGAGTGGCGACGTCGGTCAAGAGGTGGAGATTGCAAAACGAAGCTGCGGAAGGACTGACAATGGAAAAGCAACAAGAGGGAGGAGGCTCAAGCGAATGAAATGGCCTCTTGATGAGACCCTTGCTTGTCGTGCGCTTTCTGTCCGACTCAACAGATTGCCCTGCTCGTCGCTGGTTGACAAAGGTGATGAGTGGGCTGATTGAGCTTTCGACTCACTGATCTTCAGCAGTCGTACATGTTAACCCCTCTCAAGGCTCTTCGCATTCATAGCTCTTGCCAATCGCGTCACTATGAGTAGCGCTCTCACCTCCAGTTGCACTCGAAAGCGGCGGCATTCGGGCGCGAGCTTTTTTCGGCTCCTTTGCATCTTGCAAGTAGCAATCTGCGCAGCTGCTTTTATCGTTGTGAATATGCGCTGTGCAGCTAAGCCGCTAGCCACTTTTCCTGATGCGTTCTCCTCTTGTTTTTCTGCGCAGAAGCTGGAAGCCTCGGCGGTAGATGCGAAGTTCGCTCTGCTACCGAGAGGCAACGTACCGGAAGAGCTTGGAAGGACAGCAGAAGCACGAGCTTCACAGCTGCTTGGCAAAGTGCGACCGTCCACGGTAAAGCCTGTGCTGGGTCATGCATCTCAAAGTGAGTGGAACACTGAGACACTCAGTCTTGAATAGCAACGCACTGCGGTCTCTATGCTAACACCACTGCTGACTCTTTTCCACCGCGCGCGTGTCCTAGTGGTTCGCATACCAAATCTCCTCGACGTCCATCCAGGCAAGGATAATTGGAACTCCCGGGCAGCTTTGGCGGCCTTGGTGAACAAGTACCATCGAGACTGTCTTGGGTGAAATGTGCTCCTTTCACATACTCGACGGAGGCGTGCACAAAGTCGTGGGCGACGCGAGCAGGGCGGGACGTTATCAGGTGCGAGGAAAAGCGAAGAACGGCAGAGGGACAAGCCCTCACGACGGGTCTAGCAAGACATCCGCCCATCATCTCGCCCGCCGCATCCACCCAGCCCGATGAGCAGACTTTGGAATTTTCCCGAGATGATCCGGAGGTGCATACCATCTACTTGAAGAAGGATTGGAGTCCTTCGAGCGGCAATAGGAGTGCCGAACAGATGATGCGACGCCAATGGATCAGGAACAAACGCAGAAGGCTGCTTATGAAGGACCGCAGAGCGGCGTACGCTTCCGAGGTTCGCTCCACGGCTCACCATGACGCAAGAGGGCAGTCCGGTCGAGCCGAGCCGTACATGCGCTCACAGAACGGCACTCTGGCGCCATCTCGAGCTCGACCTGCCAAATTTGGAGGAGCTCAGCAAGACCAGAGAGTCCCCGGACTGGGAAGAGGTAGAGATCGCTCTTTTGGAGAGCGAAGCGCATATTTCGAGCAAGCGATATGCCATGAAGGGCACCCCTACTGCGATGAGACGTCCAGCGTCGAAAGCGTGGCACGGTAGCGCACGAAACTCTCCTGACGATCGATACTTTGCGCCTACCCCTAGAATTGCAACGGATCGCCGTGTGAACCACGCTTGGCCCGCTACGAGTCGGTCTGCTCGAGCTTGGGCAGAGTATCTGGCCAAGAAGAAATCCATGCCAAATGGAGGCGGAAGCCGCAAGCGGGAGCGGGAGCGGGTGAACAATGATCAGCTGATGGCCAGAAGGAACATTGCGCTGTGACAGACGAAGTTGCCCATTTGACGCTACCCAGAGCAGACGCGAAGAAGAGCAATTACATAGATTATTGGCAGTGAGGCGCATGTCTTGAGCACGTACTGGGAGTGTCATCACTCCACCACGGCCAAGTATCGTCGTGATAAGCGAGGCTGGCTGTGCACATCCAAAAAGGCATTGGAAGCGTGTCGACGCTCGTGTCAAGAGCCCAAGGCCTGACCCAGCTTGGGCACCAAAGCCAACCTAAGGGCAAGACGTGAAATTGGACCCAACCATCATGTCAATCAGCCTGTGCCTATGTATATTACGACGCTCTTTCCACACTCACCCTCCCTCGACGCTTCCAGGCGCTTGCAAACCGCCCGTATTCTGCGCGTCTGCTCTCATGCTGGGTACGCCGGTGACAGGGACTGAAGTGGTGAGGAGATCTTGCATGGCACTAGGGGCATTATTGGCAGAGCCCGGCGCTCCAATTGCTCCTCCGTCGACATCCACTCCCGTGTCTCTTAGAGCAGCGGAGCCGGGCGGAGCAGCTGTGACTTCCAGAGAAGACATGTCCAGGATCACCGCCTCGCCCGATTGAAGAGCTGCTGTGAGAGCATTCAGCTGCACGTCTGGATGTTGCGCCGTATTCGGATCGCTGATACCTTCCGCGCCGCTGCTGACCTTTTCAGTTGCGCTGTGCAACGGCAGCCCATCGCCTCCTTTCGTCGAAGCGCTCAAGCTCACGCTCGTCTTTCTACCTCCTCCTCTCTTGACCTTTTTCCTGATGACGTACAGCCTGCCTTTACTACTACCTCCCCTACTCGTGATCCTGCTCAAAGGGTTCTGCGTCGTCGATTCCGCATGATCCGCATCCTGGCCAAATACAATCGTGGTGTAGTCAAAGGCTTTGAGAGCAGTGTAGAAGCTGACTGCTATGAGTGCTCCGATCAGTGGCCCCACGTGGTAGATCCAGTGATAGGATGGGAAAGAGGCGGACACTACGCTCGGACCGAAAGCGCGAGCGGGGTTGATGCCACAACCTGTCCAGAGAACTCCGAAGAGATGGCAAGCGAAGATCGTGAGTCCGATACCGATGGGTGCCAAATAAGTGCTTGCAGAAGCCCGGGGGGAGGGAGGATGTCTCAGTATTGGGGGAAGGGGCTTCAAGAAGCGTTTCGGTTGTGCTGTGCCCCCCCGCACCCCTCGACTCACGAACGGTGCTTCTCGGCAGCTAGCATGAGCACTGAAAAGACGAGTATGGCAGTCAAGAACGCTTCGATCATGAGACCCTGACCGATATTGATGCCGGGCTCCAACGTAGTCCTTGTGCTATCCGCTCCACCGAAAGGCGTGAGGGCAGCGACGAGGGCAGCGCCGGCAATGCCGCCCAATAATTGAGCAAGGACGAGCAGTATGGCTCTGAAAGCGGGAACGGCGCCTACGAGCCACAAGGCGAAAGTGATGGCTGGATTGAAGAGACCTCCAGTGATGCGGTAAAACATCCAAGCGGTTATGAGCAGTGAAAGACCAAAGGAACACGCGATAAAGAGGATGGTCTGATTGCCTAGCGTCGTCTCCAACCCTTCGGTCTGCGCTGCACTGCGCGAATACGTCGCTGTTTTTGCTCCGCCTAGCGCCAAGAGCAGGAAGAGCGTGGTGCCTACAAACTCGCCCAGCGCTGCCACTAGATCTTGCGCAAAGGTCATCCTGCCTGCCTAGCAAGGGGATTGTGTTGACGCAAGCGCTGTAAAGCAAGGTGAGTGCCGCTAAGGGCGTGGGAATGTATGGAGAAGCTTGACGCGCCAGAGGTGGGCGAGCGGGCCATGCAGGAGAGGTGAATGTCGCACTTATATACTTTCACGCCTTCGCCGAGTGAGATGCGCCAGCCTTCTTTGGACTGACTGACTCGAGAGACCAGCACGCAGCCAACAATCGCATCAATGACGTATGCATAGCCACAGCTTCGACCTCCGCACCTCCATCCACGCTTCACGATTCGTGATGCGTGATGCGTGATGCGTGCGAGCCTGGGCAGGGCCTGTACCGGTACACGGCATCGATGCTCGATCGCCCCCACTTCACCTGCCTGCCTGTAGCGGACCTGCGCGGGCCCAATCTGGATCACAAGCCACATAGCACGACTGACTGAATGAGCAGACGGCTTGGAGTTGGGGCAAAATGAGCTAGAGGAGGGGGGGTCTTTTTGCTTTTGCTTTGGTAATTGGACGAGAATTGAAGCCCCGCAGTCGGGTCTGTACTCACGGCTGTCGGAGCTGGAAATGCATATCCAAGCAAGCAAGCAAGCAAGCAAGCGCAAGATGTCGCGCGACTCACGACTTGTCACGCGTTGGCTAGACCCTTAATTGCTCGCCCTGCATGCATGCACGCACGCACGCTATATATTCGCACCTTCTTTGATCAAGTTTCGGACCTGCATTCTTGATTCTTGATTCTTGATTCGGATAACATTCACGATGGAGCGAGTGACCACGCAACAGGACTCGAGGGTCATACAAGTGACTCATCGGGAACTCGTCTTGCAAGCTATAGCGCCGCGCCTCGCGTTCCTGATGTTGACTATACGTGCTGTCACGATGCTGGTTGCGTCCCGCACTCGGCCAAGCCCACACTGGCGTCCCTGTGATTGTGATATGATGTTGGACATTCCATTGTGCTTGAGGGAATGTGAATCTTGAATGTGTCAATTGCATTCAAATTCGCGATTCACGATTCACGATGAGGGCCGGCTCGAGTCTCAAACTTTATGACGTATGCGTGTGATTTCCCCGATAACACACGTGTGGCTTTGCTCCGAGCGAGCGACTTCAAGGTTGGTCTACATCTGCTGAACTCGTGACTCTCGACTCTGGTGACGCTTGGCTGCGCACAGCGATAGCGATGGCCATGGCGATGTCGATGTCGACGTCCAGCACATCCATGTCCAGGGCCGCTCGCCGAACAACAAAAAGTCCCAAAGCTTAGCTCGCGAAGAGCTGCGAAATCGGAGAAATGCACGAGTTTTGAGCAGTAGCAGCAGCGCATGACGTCAGCGTCAAAAAGACGATTCACGATTCACAATCTGAATACACACGATTCAGGATTTTGATTGGTGATTCAAGATTTGTTGTGAGAAGGAGCGCATGAGCCCACAGCTGCATGCTGCACGTGATCGAGTCAGGATTCAAATTCTCGATTTGATTAGTCTTGAGTGCAGGGATCGAATCGGAGAATCAAATTGAATCGTGACTCTTGAATGGTGTGTCGAGTTGCTGAAATCGGAACCTTCATTCACGATTCTTGATAGTGAATGCCGAATCGATTTTTCGTGGTGCAAGTCAAAAGATTTTGAGTCGAGGTTCAATTTGAATGAATGCAAGATCGTTGTTGGTCTTGAGCTGTGATACATCAGATTCAAGATTCGTGATCGCGATCTTGAATTCGCCGACTGGGCGAACGGTGCACGCGGTCGAATCCAGAGTAGCTCCTCCAATTTGTACCGTACTACTGTATACAATCAAGTCACCCGTCTATTCTGTATAGCTGGCATGCATGCATGCTCAACGGCTTGCACGCGCGCGCACGCACGCACGCACGCACGCACGTTCCGTGAGCTGACGGAGGCGGCGCGCGGAGAAAGCGCAGCGCAGCGCAGCTTATGTTCCTGCTTGCCTTGGCGAAAAGTGCGTGAGTGCGGTGGTTGCGGGACTCACCGCTGATGACTGTGACTTTGCTTGAACAGTCTGAGTGACAGACGGGGCTACACTTGACTTGCCCCTCACTCGCAATTGCATCCCTTCCCCCTCCCCTCATCCCTTGATGCCTCACTGCCTTCCTCCGATCCGTGCATCCTTCACCTGCTCCCATCTCACCCTCCAATACTCCACGCATTCGACAAAGACGGAGCAGACCCTTCACATTTTCAAGCAATTCCCTCTCCACGCGCAAGGAGCAATGCCTTGTCTGCGCTGGACCGAAGCCTTGCCGACGGAGCAGTCGCAGTCAAGTGCGAGTAGGAGCACGAGCACGAGCGCGAGCGCAGACGAGAAGAAGAAGAGCAGCGCGTGCTCAAGCGCACTCCCCATCCAAGCCTCCTCTTTCCTCTCTCGTTTGCCCAACCACATCTCCCTATCCGACTTGGCGCTTCCAGGCACGCACGAGACGCTGGCCCGATCCGGCTGGCCCGTCTCGCAATGTCAGACGCGCAGCGTGCTGCAACAATTGAACGGAGGCGTGCGCTTCTTCGACATTCGGATCGGCATCAAGCGCTTCCACTCCGCATCCGCATCCGCATCCGCACTCGACTCGGCGCATGCGCAGCAGTCGCAATGCGGCGCGACTGTGGGCGCACGTGCGGAGAAGAGCGAGAGCGAGAGCGAGAGCGGGAGGGCGGCTTTGAAGGTGAAGAGCCCGTTGGATGAGCAGAGAAAAGATTGGAGAATGTGGGCTTTTCATGGCATCACGGATCAAAAGATGGACTTTGGAAGGGTGCTGATGGATGTCAGCCAATGGTTGAGCGCAGTGGGCAAAGGAGGTGAGCAGCCGCGACTGCGACCCTACAATCACGTCAATTCTCCACGCACACTCATGCCCTCACCCTTGCCCATCCCCTCCCCGCGGGGCCATCTTGGACGGCAGAGACTGTAGTTCTCTCGCTAAAGCCTGAAGGGGGGATGAAGGTTACGCCGGACGAGTGGGTCGACTTTTTGTACGAGGCGTACATCGATCCGAACGAGGCGTGGTGGTACTTGAAGGATGAGATACCCCGATTGAAGGATGTCAGGGGTCGGATGGTGTTATTCTCCAGGTTCGGTAGGCAGGAGGGCAGGCAGGATAGACTGGGCAGATGGGGCATCAATGCGAGGAGATGGCCAGATGGGCTAGATGACGTGTGAGTGGGGGGGTGTGATGGTGATGGCGAGGGCGAGGGCGAGGGCAAGGGCGGTGGCCATCACTCATGTGGGCTATGGGCTTTGTGTGCGTGCGTGCACGAGCCTCGTCATTCATCGACGCGCCCACCTTTCCCACCCTGCACGCAGCTTCTCCTTCCACTTGACCAACCCAGCGCAATCGGTGCACATCCAAGATGCGTACAAAATGTCCGGCATCATGTCCAGCTCGACTGCGCTGCGCAAGGTGGAGCTGATCGGCACGCTGCTGGACAAGAAACGAGCAGATGCCCCTTCCCTCGCTCTCAACTTTTGCAACGGCAGCTCTTTCCCTTTGGCTCTTCCCCCCATCGTCGCGCGAGGCATATCCAATCCTCCCTGCTTGAGGGTGCAAGGCATGAACCAGAGGCTCCTCTTTCTGCTCCAGCAGCATCTCGACGCGCAATCCGGCCCGCCGCCGCCGCCACCAACGAGTGAGGGCAAGACTTTCGCGGCAGCAGCGAAAAGGGGATTGGCTTGTATCTTTGCCATCGACTTTTTCGAAGCGGACCTCATCGCTCAGGAAGTGGTGAGGCTCATCATTCTCGCTAATTTCGTCTGAGGATGGAGCACTGCAGCATGAGCGCCCGATCCGAAGGGTTGAGTGCGGGTCACGCGCCCATCTCTCTCTGCTGGTACGAGCATGCCGAAGCAGCACGCAAATTGCAGCCCGAGTCAGCGGAGCCACTTCAACATCGCACCTCCGACACAGCACCCATAGCTCTGACGGGGCTTTGGCGCGAGCGGTGCCCATCTCGAGTGGCACAGCCTGTCGCTCCGAGCGACCAATCTGATCGAGTCTTCGCTGCAACGTCCATCTAGCGCATTGCTACTGGTGGCGAACGGCAAAAGAACCAAGGGCAACAGACGAATGGGGAAACAGGAGCGACAAATGACGAACGGGCGGACGGGCGAACGGGGTCAACACGATCAATTATACTCTTTCCCTTACCCACATTCCGATGACTCATCCCGCGCTACCAGACGAGACAGAATGAGGATTTTGCCTCAGGGGAAAGAAAGGGGGAATAGGGTGGCGAAGCTGGGCGCACGCCACGCGGAGTTTCGATGTGCACGGTGGGCAGGCACAAAGACCGCTAGCCTGGGCTGGCTACGGATCGCGCTGAACCCTCGCCACTCGCTGCCCGCGTGGGTGGCCAAATGTGGCCGGCGTTGTATGCGGCACAAATGCCCGTGTGTTGGTCGCCTCTTCCATGCAAAAAGAATCCGCGTTCGCCACAATCAGGGGGGTCTTGTTGAAAAGCAGTCCGCGTCAATGCGAATGGACCACCCGCACCCTGTTCCCATCTTTGGTCTGTTCTTCCACACCCGGCTTTTTTTTCCCCTTGTGGGCATCGACTTTCTCGAGATTGAGCTTTTCCTCTTCTCTCTACCTCGCCGCATGAAGCGCGCTGCTGCCGTGTCAGCTGGCCTGAACACAGAGAGCGATTTTCGTCAATGCATTACGGCCTCATTCTCGCCTCCTGACACCTTTCGAGGCTGCGCAATCTCGTCCACCAAGAAGCGAATGAAGGCAATGCTTTTTCATGCACGACGTTCCACACCGCTCCTTCCGACTTTGCTTTTGCATTTCTTCATCCTACTCGTAACTCTCTCAGACGGTGTGCAGGGAAATAGCGTGTACAAACGAGAGGTGGCAAACTACGAAGCAACGCTCAATAGGCTGCTAGCGCATCCCAATGGTGTTACTTACCCACACCCATTACCTCTGGGCAAGGAGCCGGACACTCGGGAACCGTGGATAGGCAGATATCGACACTACTGGCAACAGGATGGGCCTCATTTGAGGGAGGCAGTTAGTCACTGCCGCGCAACAGCCTGCCCGAATGTTGCCAAAGTCAGAGTGAGTGGTCGCTCGAAAGAATGTCTCGCGAGGGCAGCTGCGCTGAGTCATGACGTGGACGTGCTTCTTCTTCCGACAGCCCCGTGGAACTTACGTTACATCACCACACTACCGCTGGAAAGACCAGCACGGCAAGGTGCAGCAAAGCGCTTTTGTTCGAGCTGTTCTGATGGACAGTGACACCAAAGTGATCATGCCTCCTCGAGAGCACGCTGATGTGAACTTTCCGCACAATTGGCGCGTTCAGCTCGCCCCTGGTCGGACGTATCGGACAATGGCGGGAAAGATCTACAAAGGCCCGCCCGAGGGTCATCCGCTGCGGACAAGTCCACCAAACCATGAGCGCGGGGAGCCCAGACGAATCGAGCACGAAGTTCTGCTTGCCAAATCGAAGCTTTTGCCTTCAATCAGAAGGGGACCCCGTCATAATGGCTGGAGCTCTTTGCAAAATCATGGGGTGGCTGATGGTGCTGAACTATCAAATGGGCTCGCAGGCGCTCGCAGCGCATCTGTCGCCTCCAAGCCTGGTGATGTCCGCCCCTCGACTTGGACTTCTGCGGAGGACCTGCTCCATGCTGACAGCAAGGCAGACACCGCTCCGAGCCGCAAAACGCATTACAAGACCGCAGTGTACCTGCCCACGGGCGAATGGCGAGAGCTTTCCAAAGAGCAGCTGTTGAACATGCGCCCTCGTACGTTGCCAGGTGAACCAAAGCATCAACTCTTTGTCCCAGTCTCACACGAAGAGGTCCTGCGGAATCTCCCAAGGTACGATGTGCAGCGTCAGCCACAGGTGCACCCTGATCATCTCAAGAACTCTACGCCGACTTCGCACGGGGCTGCTGTGCTGCAAACTTACGATATCGATAGACAGCAAGGAACTTTGATGCGGATGCCGGAGGATGGAGCCCGCAACTCAAGCATGGGCAAAGGTGGCGGCGCGTCCCTTTCTCGTCGGGGTCTTGCTGGCGCGAATTGCGTTCCGGCCAAGGTCGAACAACCCTTGGAAGTGCTAGACGCGACGGTCCACCGTGCCCCAAGGTCTCCTGCATTGTCGCATGACGCGGCCGAGGAACGTGCTTCTACCTCTGCATCTTCCAGAGCCCGGCGCCCCAACGAGATTACACCGTTTGTCAAGCATGACACCAAGAGGCCGTTGCTCTACAAGCACGCGCTGGATCAAGCTGTGGATTACGCTTGCAAAAGTGGCAAGTGTCCTGGCGCGCACCACTTTGGGGTGAGTACTCGATCGCCACAGGCTGCCTCGAGTCGCTGCTGATGCGAACACCTGTGCAAGCAGTCATTGGACGCTTTCGCCACCTCGAAACAGTATCATTGGAATGACGAAACGGGGGGCACGAAGAAGAGCGGCTTCTTTCGTGTAAAAGCCATAGGTACCAAAGGGCGACGGCTGATGCCGAGCGAGAAGGATGCAGATCCAGTCCACAAACACAATTTCCGCCTACAGCTTGCACCTGGTCAGAAGTTTCAATACGGCAACGAGAAATTCGAGGGTGCGCCAGAGGATCATGAGATGCGACATCGACTGCCTTCCAACGACTGGTCAGAGTTGCACCTGGTGGGCAGAAGACCTGACCGAAGCATGCCGAAACAACCCCGACGGGTAGAGACTGAGTCCGCTCAGGCTTTCTCTGAACAAGAGCTCTTGCGCAAAATTTCGAAGCATATGCACGCTTGGAACAGGGAGGCTCGCGATCGGGATGCTATCGAGCTGACTCCTGGGATAGAAGGAACGGTGAAAGGTCCAGCGCGATTCTACGAGTATCAGAACCACAAGCTTCGAAGGGGCAAGCCGATGCCGACGATTTCACTGACGCCACATGTCACCGATCTGAGTGCGGAAGATCTCGCAGCGGCGATGCGGGCAAGGGCCGCAAAGAAAGCTCGTAAAGACGCTGCGCAGAGAGCTGAGCAGCAAGGCACCTCGATCACGACTCACGAGAGTCTCGATACCGCTGAAAAGCCGCTCAACCAGAGATTGCTGCGCGCAGCCAATGCTCCGGCATATCATCCACTACGGGCATTGTATGGCAGCGACCTCGAACATGCTGGACAAGGATTCAGACGCTTGTCGTTGTCAGCTCCGCAGGAACCACACAGTCCCAAATTCAACCCGGTGCCCTACTCGCCCATCGCCAACGCCCCGCCCAACGCCAAGACAAACAAGCGCACGGAATTTGCTTCTCCTGCGACTCTCGCGAAAAGAGTATTTCATGGAGGCATCTGCACGAGCAGCGAATGCTTGCTGGAGCGCACCCTAAAGGTGAGACGGTTGGTCGTGATGTCTAGCGCTGTGTTCTGACACGCTTCACGGTCTCGTATTTGTTTTCCGATCCAGCCAGCTCGAAAGCTCGTCTTTGCCAAGGAAGGACCCATCGCGCCTTCGTATAATCTGATGAGGAAGACCGTTCTGCCTCCGCGTACCACTTGGAAGCACAGGCTTCAGCGCCGTGGAACCCCGATGACGACCATCGAGTGGAGCAAGTCGACGAAATATGAGCCTTTGACTCAGAGTACCATTCAGAAGAGTGTCAACTACTGCCAAAAACACGTGTGTCGGGACCTGAAGCGATTCAAGGTGCGCTTGCGACGGCTGCTGTGCGTGAGCGCGGCTAGACGCTCAACAGTCGACGGATCTGCCTTTTTGCACCTAGCCTGAAGGACCGATTCAGAAAGTCGCGGAACCTTACGCTGTGCATGGTGGCAACACGGTCATTGACACTGGCGTGGTACACGGATACGGTTTCGATGAGCACAATCGGCCGCTGCCTACGGGACGTCTGCGTCGAGACGGAACCACCGATTATCGCATGGCCATCCTGATGTCTCCCAATACGCTACATCAGGACGACTTTGGAAATACACTGATGGGCTTAGCTGCTGGAGCCGATGCCCGACAAAAGAGAAGCCGGCACGCTCTTACCCTAACCCACGGCTTTGACTCTAAAATTCGAGGACCTGCGGACTATGCAGACCACCAATCGCCCATCGTGTATCACTCTCGCAAGCGCACCTTTTTCGACCTGACTCCACACAACGGTCAAAGTATCGAGGGCGTATCAGGTCCTGCCCCTCACTCATTGAAGACGGGCCAATGGGTTGCCCGATATGGCGATACTCCTCATGCCGAAGACGCAAAGGGTACGCTCAGAAAATTCGACCGCAAAGCGCGTCAACAGAAATTGTTCCAAGCTCGACCCGAACAGCATCTTACAGGCGAAGGACTCGGTTTGTCGCATCCCGGTCTTGCAGGTTCTGCGGCTGATGGGGTTAAACAGCCGCACCATCGTGCGCTACCCCCACCAGACCCCAAGTATGTCCAGCTCAAGAGCCCAGAGACCGGTGCGCAGGATGCTGGACGAGAGACTTCAGCGACACATCATATCGGAACTCCTCCGCCTCTCAAGAAACTTAGCCCGAGCGCAAAGCCGTGGTCGCCCGCGTCATCTGGCTCGCTGCATGTTGATCAGGTGGCCACCAACTTCCGCTCGCTTAGACTGGATGAGCATGGTAAGCCCGGACGAGGCATACACCCAGGAAGTGGTGTTTTGGGGCCCCATCCAGAGCTGCCAGAGGATCCCTTTGGCATGCACTCGTCTGTCGCATCTTCAAGCTCCAGCCGCGAGAGCGATGCCCACCGAAAGACCTCTCTTCAAGCTTCGTCACACTCGTTCGGCACAGTGCCTCGAAAGTCTTGGCTTGCAGCGAGGGGAGTGCACTTGACGTTCGCAGACGGTGTGTTGCCGCATTGGTCTCAGCCTCTGGAACGTCAGAATGCCTACAAAGCTATACAGAGAAGCGCGGAGGCATACCAAAGGGAGCAAAATCCAGACATTGCGAGCATACATGTAAGTGTCTAAAATGCTGGTTGGATGGATCGAACAGGATCGGGTATTCACTTGCGATGTAGCTCGCTCATCGTTTTCATCACGCAACTTGAAAGGTGACGAAACCTCTTCGTCTACTCAGGAGACCGTTCTACAATCATGAGGTAGCCTTCAAGGGCCGTCCGCAGATGTTCTCGGACGGGCAAGGCAGCGATGGACAATCTGAACGTCATCGGTCCCTCAACATCCCTCTAGCTGCCGGCCAAAGCTGGACACACTCGCGAACAAATACCGTATATCATGGTCAGACTCATCTGGACCCGCCGCGCGATATGTACAGCAGCACAGAAGGGTCCATGGCTTCGCGCAGCGCAGAACAAAGCGGGCAACAGATCCCCCAGCATCGAAGAGCAGAGTCGGTCGGGTCAAACAGCACGGATGACGGCGGCGAGCATCACCGAGCATGGGAAAAGCGTGCCATTGAGGAAAAATTGCCCTTTATCTTGCTTACCACGGAAAGCAAGCGTACCAATCTGGGAAAGAATCATGCCCAGAGACCACTCATCCAAGAAACTTTGGGTCAAATGGCTCATGAGCACCGGTTGAACGGCGGTCCTTTACGCAATATGCGACAATTTGAAGTATGTCGGTGATCCCTCCCTTATTACGGATTGATATGAGCCTGACGGCTCTCAAAGCCTTCCCTCAGGTCACGCAAAGGCTCGCGCCCACACAATTCGACCACGGTCAGCGCGTGGCTTTCTTTGGTATACCGAAAGATGGGGTCGGAAGAGAATTGAAGCTGCCAGAAGACCTCCCGCAAGCGTATGAAATTGTGCCGCATGGTGTAAAGCCGGACAAAAAGCTGCACCGTATAGGTATGCCAGTCGAGCTTCGCAAAGGCTTGATGCTTGTGGATCACCGTTCTGGCCAATTGTGGGAAGGTGGTCGGGCGCCGCGAGCACTGGCGCCTGCCAGCGTCTCCACTACGTCACGATCAGAGCCGCACGCATCGTATTACAAGAGTCCAAACGGCAAACCAGATGTCAGCCTTGAATTGCCTAAAACTTCCGAGTACGCTGCTCAAATCATAGAGAAGCAAAGGTCCTTGCTTCAGGGAGCTGCGAATCACGCGCGGGATCTGCAGTGTCCCGACATGGCTGTTGCGAAAGTAAGTCATCGGCTGGCGCGGCGCTGTCGGAACGACTGGCCTCACTCAAATCCTCAATTTGCCAGCTGAGGGGTGGCTTCTACACGTGTGGTCCGGTCAGTCAGAAGCGACTAGAGACTGCCGCTGATGCCGTAAGCGAACGCGGCACGAATCTTGGACGCGTGAAGCTCACCCTCGCGCCCGGCGACAAGTATCGGGAACCTCATACTGGCCACGTTTTCTACGGGCCATCGAAGGACGTCGGCAGTCTCAAGGCGAGCTCTTCGCCAGGATCTCATCCGCGCAAGCTCGATGTCAAGCACTTCGCCACAAATCACCATGAGGCCAGGAGCTCACCTCGAGATCATTCTACCACGGCTTCAGCGCTTCGGATGCAGCCAACTATGGGCTCAAGGATGAATTTGGTGGGCTCTGCAAGTGCTGGAAGGCACTCTGGCACGAAAGAAATGCGTTCTCGCGACCAGGCCAGAGTGACGAGTCGAATGCTTGCGTTCAGGCCAAGAGAGGCCTACAGGAATCATCGCTCGAGCCTCGCTGCGAGGCCGACAGCTAGTGCGCAAAGAGTTGAAACTTCGCGCTCGGCACACGCTGATGACGGAGACAATCGAGCACAGGCACCAAGCAACGCAAATGTCAGCGGAGGCAGTGGGCGATACAAGCCTGGCTTTCCTGGAGAGACCACTCAAAATTCTGCAACGGACCTCGACCATTCATCGGCCTCTGACCTGCCTCGAGACCGAAAGCGGATGAGACAGTGGTCGCCTGATAGTGAGGACGAGGACAGACGCAGGCCGACACATGCGACTGCACGCATTCAAAGTGGATTGCAGTAGCCCATGGGTCTATTGCTCGGTCTGCGCTGCAATGAAGGCCCCAGCAGATTGCGTTGCCCTCCGCACGCCGTGAGGCTGCCCGAGCACTCGCGGAATTTCTCCAGCTGGGACTCAAATGTACTAAGCTGCCCACCAGTGTGCATGGAGGCGCTCGTCTTGTGTACTGCGAATCAACGCGACGAATGAAGCAGGTCGGACACGACGCAGCGCCATTTGATTCCTCGCGCGGCACCAGTATCTTTCTGTCAGCGTTACTAGAAGGGTTCGGTTGCTGATAAGCCTTTCCTGGGCTGCCCACTGTGAAAGCATCAACACCTTTCGAGCCACGGGGTCAGCACTTTCCTGATAGCCGCCACAGGATACACACTGTTTTGCGGGCAAAAATCAGCGCACCGAGAAGATTGGTCTCTCCCAAGCGTGGTCATGACACCCGTAGTTCAAGCGTGGACACTAAGGAACGTCGAGGAAAAGCACTTCATCGAGCACAAACATCACCGCACTTCGGAGCAGTCGCTGGCAACGTACTGGGCGACGCCCATCGATGAGAGCAGACAACTGTGGCAGCTTGAGGCTAGCACCCACTCCGAAAGTCTGTCAAGTCTGAACTGAAGGCGTAGGGGTTGGTTGCCCATCTTCGACGTACATGACTAACAGCTGCGCAGAGCCACCAGAACGGAGCGTGTTTTTGTGAAGAGGCGTCATCACACCGGTAAGACCAACAGTAGTGGTGCTGGTGTGCATTGCTCGTGTTTCCGTACCTCTCCCTCCAAGATCTTGGACTTGCGATCAAGTGTTGTCATTGGAAAGTCACTCCTGCTACTGGACGGATGAGGCTTCAGCATCTCGTGCATTGCTGGCAGGTCGCGACCTGGCATCACTTTGCTCTTCAGGTCATACCCACCATGTGCTTTGCGCAGCGCAAGTCATGCTCCCGGTACCTCGGGCCTTCTGGATACCCCCGTCTCCTCTGTGGTGGTTCTGATCACAAGCTGATCTCCCTCTGGTATCAACATTCCGCTGAGCCCTTCAGATTCAGGGTGCCGCACGAATCGAATCAGCCTGATCCACAAAAGGTAGCGGCGATGTTTGGACACATATGGCTTACACTAACGGATCGCGGTGACCTTGACTATGCCTGCCACCCACGCGTTGATTACCAATTGGTACTCGCAGCACGGGACCTTTCGTCAATTGGATCCCGACGTGCAGCCAGTCGCCAGTACGGGCATCCAAAGGACTCACTCAAGATTCATCTATATATACTTGATCATTCATCTCGTGACCCGAAGCTTTCATTTGACCTTTGGAGACAATCCGAACGGACAGGAAAGCAGCCAAAATTGAGTTGCGAATGGGGTCCACTCTGGTCAAGGGGAGCTTGTCATGACGAGCTTTCGCTGTCAACGCAAATGTTCGATGTTGGTGCCTGCACTCGTGATTGACCTTGGAGTTATGACAGTCTACAAGATCACCATCAAGGCAAACCCAAGTCTCGTGGGGTGTATGCCGTTGTACAAGATGACGCAGGTATAAAAGGAGGTTGCACTTGTGAGCGACTCGAGAGGGGCTCCACTCCTGATATAACCTTTCATCCTCTTGCCCTCTTTTCTTTCAATGAGCCGGATGATCTTCGGCGCCATGGGGCGGGGCCGAAGTACCTTATCATCTCCACTCTTGATGTTTCGCACGCGCCCGACAACAGCAATTTGGCTCGCCATGCTGATTGCGCAGCTGCTATTTATGGCACGCAGCGCCTTTTCGATCCCGCTGCAAGATGAGTATGAGCGTGACAATGGTGTGCTGCCTCTTCGTGAGTCCTGTGATAGCGAAGAGATCCTTGACTATTGTCATCACGTCCGGCGGTCCACTGCTGAACCGGCGCAAAACCCTGCTTGCAGCTCGCGGCGAAAGGCAGGTGTTGCTCCCTGCGAATGCTCGCGGATTGAGTCGGCCAGCGACAGCAATAGCAGCAGAGGCGTGGCAAGGCTCGATCGTGACGGGCCTCGCGACCAAGGTTGGACCGGCAGATCATCACAACTTAGCGCAGCCTCAGCCTCAAGAACTGTTTCATTCGCCCAACATGCTTCATCGAGTCACAACTCCCCAGCTTGAACAGCAGCTCGGCGGGCTCGGTGATTTAGGGTCCTCAGTCGACGATGACGCAGAGGATTCCCACCGTCGCAAAGCTGGCAAGATGAGGAGCACACCCAGAATGTCGCGCCGGTGGGGTATAACAGGCATGATCACCCTCCACCCCGTCAAAGAGAGTTGGAGGACAAAGAAGAAAGTCCATGGATGATACAGCAGCACAAATGCAAAAACAAGCCCACAAGCGTTGGCAAGCATCAGGCGGCCGAAGCCGGACGATGAGCCACGGCACCACAATTTCTTGGTCGTCCCAATGTTAGGCTCACAAGCGCGTTTCTACTCTTTGAGACTATGGTTGGCTTCTCTCGACTACCCAATTTGAGAAGAAATGCATGTTTTCTGCACTTTCCCCTGTCTCCTTTTTTCGTCACGCCTCCAACCAAGTACTATTAGAGCCCATCACTCGTGGCAGTCCAAGGATTCCTCACGCCACAGCCAAAGAGGCTGGGTCCTACCCGCGGGCGAACAATCGTGATGGACTGGCAATCACGATTTCATTGTGTCATGTCAACATCACCGATGTTGATGTGTTTGCAACAACACCACTTTGACTCAGACTCTAAATCTCGCTCTGTCCTTCGAGTGTCTGCGTAAGACGGGCCTCTAAGGCGGGTGATGTCGACACCTTGCGCAGGCCCACGAGGTCTGCTGAGCCTTCGACTGTTCAGGCGCCTCTCAAGTCTGAGCCGACTGGGTCGCTCCGAAGACTGCGTAAATTCGCCTTCGAGAGTTTTGCTTGCGCAACCCCGCGCAGACTATCATTCCGGTCGAAAGCGCTCACAGACGCTGGCAGGGGGCAGCTATCATACCTGTCCATGACATCGTCATCACTGTCAGGCCCATTTCATCTATCGCTGGTGCTGATGTTGTGAGGAGGTTTCGATTTCTTACTGAGTAGAGAGCGGAGCTGATAATTGAGCAGAGATATGAAGAGGCCAGTGCTCTATTCGTTTAGACCGAATAAGTGCTTGGAAGCTCGAGAGGCTCGAGCTTGCAGTGCTCGCAGCTTCATGAATGCCGACTGCGAAGCGAAATATCATCGTTACTCTCCTGCAGGCGATGCGGTGTGTGCGTGGATCTAATAAATGAAGATGCTGTCGGCAGAAAAGTATGAATATCCACACAAGCTTGAAGAGCTCTGCAACCAGTACGGCCCACAAGACATCTTGTGACTAATTTTAGACTCACAATCTCCGAGTTTTGCGTCGAACGGCGTCGTCCTCCGACTTCTGACCGAATCTTTACCTTTACAACCGTGGCGTGTCTGCAGTCTTTTTCTCGTCATGCGCACACCGAATCAGCGGACCCATCCGAAATCGAAGAGCCCAAAATGGTCTCCCGTTCTTCTTTTCTGCAGTTGGCTTTTATTGACTAGGCTCCTTCTTTTGGGGACTCCGGTGGCCACAGCTGGAAGTGGCTGCAACCAGGGCCGGAGCGCTTCTTATACTTGTGAGTCTTTCGCGGATGTTGTAATCTCTTGGAGTCGCTTTGACTTAATGTAAGCACTCTTTCCGTGACTGTGATCGGTCTTTTATTCGCTTGGAACAGCTAGAGTAAAGTGCCGAAAGCAGACATCGACCTCCGCGTCGAGGACCCCAATTATGGGTCGAGAATTGCCGGACTTAGAAAGCCACTCAATGAATTTGCTTGATTCATTTGATGGTCAGGAACACGCATCGAAGAATCTACAGGACCTCAAGAAAAGATGGGATCTGCCTGGAGGAACATCAACCGGCGACCCAGATGACCAAGCTGACGATGATACAGACTAGAGTGATTGCACTGCACATTCGGCCTAGACAAGTTTGCCGCATTGTACTCCGCCCAACGAAGTTCACTCGACCAGCTTTTGGAGGATATCCATGGGATGCACTTGCTGTTGCTGTTGCGAGTTGACAAGGATCCCACTAAAGATCGAAGTTCCCAAACATCAAAGCGAGAGCGCATCTGCTCTCTGATGGTCATGACGACGCAATGTACATCGGGGCAACACAAAGTCTGCGTGCCTGTGCTGATCGCTAGTTGACTCCAAAGTGATGGCTCGGGCACTTCTGCTCAGACGCTACGTCTGTGCCAACGCTGCTGCGTTGCAGGGACCATTCAGCCTCGCCAGGCCCGACAAACACCAAATGGAAACGCCACGATAAGGTGGCTGGCAAATTGTCAACAGCACAAAAAGTGTGACTTTGCCAGAATTGAGCGGCCATAACTCCCATCGATGTGAAGCACCTCGGCTCTTTATCGTTCGTCGAGTGACAATGACCAAAGTGCATGGCGACTGCAGGAGAAGGGCACCCGATTATAAGTACGCGAGCGATGTTTGCCCTCCCATCATCTTATTCATGCTTCATGCTCCGACCTCCAATACCCAGCTTTCCCCATCATCCCAAAGGCGTAAGGAACCAGACAAGAAGAAACTCATCTCCAATCAGCCCCGACGCACGACATCTCCAAGCCCAAATGGTCTCCCATCTCTTTTGGTTGTTGGCAGCGATGTCTACTTTCACCATCCTGTCCTCTGCTACTTTGGCGGCGCCCATGCTCCCGGCGGAAGAGCAACATGAATTGAGCCGCACCACAGAGTTTGCCAGTGAGTGACCAACTCGCAGACAGCTGCCTTTAGAGCGCCTTCTTTGTTGGACCTCACTCTCACACTACAAATCTTCAAACTAGTTGACAACGACAAGGGTAAAGCAGCCGTCGCTTTTTCAAACCTCGGAAAGCGGCTGTATCGACGTGGGGCCAAGGTTGGCCTGAATACGGACTCAGCCTTGCGTCTGCAACAGCGACATTCTGATATGATCTCACCAAGTAACATTCACAAGAGGTGGGAGCTTCCAGGAGAAGAACTCTCGTGGCATGGAAACGACGTCGGAATCAAGCTTGAGAGACGCGAGTCAGAGCACGTCAAGAGTGTGGACTGAGGTCCGACAGCGTTGCATGGCGCCAAAAGAGGTTTAGGCTGCAGCAGTGAAAGGCAGACGTACCGACCTTTCCACCTAGCTTATGGCACGATCGACACAAGGCATCTGGCCCAGAACTCTAATCACCTTTCTCTGCCGGCCCTCTACACGTGCTACACTGAGCTACCCTTTGCTGGTGAACGTGCTATCTGCAATCCTTCTCCTGTGTAATCTGACCCGTACTTTTACATACGGTCTCTCAGTAAGAAGTGCAATGATGACTTTTAGGAGACAGAGTAGCTGTGTTTGGTAAACAACACGCTCAAAACGCACGGTGACTGGCATTCGCAGGCGCGAGTGCACCTTGTGCTACCACAACCAGCTAGAGGGGCTTCAGCATGAGCTCGTGGTAGCCTGAACACGAGAGAGATGTGTTGTGAGAGGAGATTGAATTCGTGACGAGTGGGAGCTCCATTGAAGGAACTGGAAGAGACTTATATACGTGCACAGAACGGAGGCCCATGCCCTGTCCCGACCGTTCAGGTACCTCATGCAGCAAAGGGGACGGTGCGCTTAATAAGATGCGGTTGATGATATACCGCATCCATCATTATGTTGAAAGACCAACAAAAGTGATCCGACTTCGAAGGCTTTCGAGCTCGATGATGTGGGGCATCCACGTGCGGAGTTCGGGCTGAAGCGTTCCCAAAGTAACAGGCTCAGGCGTCGAAAACACGCCACAAATGTGACTCCGACGCGAGGGACGGTGCGATAAACAGTCTCGTGTTTGTAGCGCTCCGAGGAAGAGCTAGAAGCACTCGTGTTTGTGAGCGTTTCTCGTCAAGGTACGCTGTTTGGTGTATGTGCGAAGTGGGAGCACAGCATAGATGAGCACACGGTGTGGAAAACAAGGCTGACTCATCGGAGCCATCTCCTCTACTGACAATGACACCTCAGTCCATCTGAGCTGACCGTGTTTTCGTGTGATGACCGTTCAGCACGGCAGTCTCCTGGGTTTAAAGCGCGCTTTCCCGTTCGGAGGTATGCCATGTGTTTTCATTCGGCTGAAGACCGTCTTCGCTCCACCGCTCTCTTCGGCACTTCGATATGATAGTACGTCACTGTAGGCCTTTCCAATCACCAGATCAGCGCATACTAGTGCTGGTCCGTTGCGTTGTTGTCGGCGTGCTTTGGCAGGCGGCAATGCGAAGCACAATTGAAGCAAGCTGTATAAGTTGGACGTCTGATCGAGTGCTTCTCTTGCTGCGATATGTTCCCACAGCTCCGGATCCAAACAACTCACCAAGCCAAGCACTGTCTCACGGACCTTCCACACTTCACATCGCTCTGCATTCAAGACACTTCTGTCTCGACACGTCGCAGCAACATGTTCGGGCTTTTCAAGACTGCTTCATTCTATGCGGTTTCAAGTACCGTCGCGCGCAGTCTGTTGTCTTTCTTTGTAGTCATGCTGATGCTATCGGTGGGCCTGTCGAGTGCTGCACCTGTGCAATCTCGCGAGTCGGACGGACAGCTTGCTGGCCAGTCGCAGCGCCGTAAGCCACGTGAGTCTGGAGTGCGGTAGGCGACTCTTGAGACGAGACACGTCAGCAACATCAGTTCCGACGAGATTGCTGACACGACTTTCCACGCACAACTCTGCTTCTCTTCTGTCGGCTCCGATGTGCGATGGGCCTCGAAAAGTGTCGGTCAACCTCGATACTGATCTTTCGGACGGCACGTTCGGACTGGAGGTCGATCTGGGTGGCGCCGATTGCTAGAAGCCTGCACTCAAGCGAGACACATCATGGGTAGTACCAGTGCTTCGACTCTTGTTTCCATTGTAATCAAGAAGGAACGCAAGCATTTGACAATAGCTTTTGCTTTGGCTACTGCCGAAATGTCCGCACAGACAATCACAACATCAAGACGGACCCAGACTCTTGACTTCTCTTCTTTTCGTCACTCCTTGCCTTCACTGTCAACGACCTATCAGGCGATCAGAGGTGATGATGGTGGATTCCTCTCAGTAGGTCACATCTGTCGATCGTCTAGCTAAGCACATGTGTGTATGCATCCGAATGCGTGCGCACACCACGTGACACGGCCTTCCTGCTCTCACTCTAAATGACATTTTTGCCACATCTCACATCGGCTGTTGATGCTCACGGAAATTCTTGCAAAAGGAGTCTTCATTCAATGCATCCCATACCGCATGAGGCGTGTCTCGCCAGCGCTTCGCGTGGGGACCGAAATATGGCCTGCTCTCTCCCAGGAGACAAAAGAAAATGTGAAGTTTGCCCGACTACCCGGGCGCCCCGTTTCAGACTCTCCGAGACTGCTTTGTCTGTGCCATCTGTCGAATGAGTAGTGAGATATTAGCAAGAAATTGTATCTGAAGCCCAGCGACGCTGGCTTGATTTGTTCAAGCGCCTTGCAGATGCTATGTCGAGAAGGGTGAGTCGTGCGTGTCAGTCGACGAGGCTTGAGCGCAAAGGTCGAGCGAGATCGAGATCCCAAAGACTCGGGTACGGGTCTGACCCACAACTCGGAGTTTTAGAGGCGTTTTGATAGGTCAGCGCTCAGAGAGGCAGACTGAATCACTCAGGGTACATTTTATGATGACCATAAGATGGACATTGAGTCGAGCGATGAATGGCGAGCAGTCCCACGGGTGGATGCGCATTCCAGGCACGCGTTAGCGTCACAAGTCATACACCTGAAGCTGCCCAAGGACATAATCGAACTCGGACTCAGGACTTCTGCACGGTGCGGTCACAACACACAACGATGTTCATTCCCCAACACTCACTCAGCATCAACAGCTCGCCCGTGCCTGCCCGTTCCGAGACCGTGTGTCTTCACAGATGCACCAGGCCTCCTCTCAGCGTCTGCGTTGCAAAGCCTTCGCTAAGCTACTCACGCAGACGGCTTTCCGGGTCCCGAGTGCACTTCGTGCAGAGCCATCGAGCCCTTTTCGTGCTCCAAGCGAGAAGGCTCATCTGCGCACTTGCTGCGCTGGAAGTGAGTGCAGGGTATGTACCTTGCTTGATGCTCCAACGGACGGACGAGACGCTGCTGGACGAGTGACCCGATATTTGAGCAGCTGACCTCAGCAAGTGGTCCTTGCCGAGCCGAATTCTTTTGAATCAATCCGAATCAACGCTCGGTGAAGTAGAAAGTAATGTGCGCAAAACTTTACCTGGATCGGACATATTGAGAGTGCCCGAAAGCGTCGAGAGCAAAAAGCGCTGAAGAATACCTTTATTTTTGTTCAGCCCTTCCCTCACTCTAAAATTCCCAAACTTCCACAGCTGGCCATCTCGTCTCAGTCTCCACACACAAGCTGAGCACTCCGTACCACCAAGCACCCAGAACATTGCGCGAACGAAGCTGCATGCATCACCATGATCACTTTTGTGAAGTCCGCTGCTAAATGGACGAGACGCGCACCCCTCTCCAAAGTTTTTCTTGGCCTAATGCTGGTCCTCTGCATCAGCGTAGTGCGAGGAGCTCCGAATCATCCTAGCCGAGGTGACGATTGTGAGCAGCTGCAGCATGGTGGCACAGGTTAGTACTAGACTACCAGATGTTACCACGTCTCCATCGCAAGGCGGCAGGGTGCAGGGCGTGCTGATCGAGAAGCAGAGCAGCGCTGACTTTTCTACCCTTCGGACGCTATCTTGCTCGCCTGACTCTGCAACGTGGACGCCAATACTTCCCGAGCAAGCCGAGAGCTTGGAGGGGAATAACGAAGGCGCTTGCCTGCTTCGTCGTGGACACCACGACGATTGCACAGATCTCCGTGTTCGTTGAATACATCTAAGGAGACCAACTAGATGGTCAAGTGAATGCGCATCGTGCAACACTGTCGGACTGCAGAAAGAGGGAAGTCAGGCTTTAAAGCTGACCTCGATTCCATCTCACTCGAAGATGTTTGACGTGCTTGCACTGCGAGCATCAGAGCAACAAGTCCTCGCAGATTCTACACGGGCATGTCCGAACATGTTCGGCTAGTAGCTTTTTGTTGCAAAGATCTATCTTTGTCCAACTTGTCGCCATTCCTCGACCGCTCAAGCCACCGACCCCTCTCTCTACACACATGATTCCCTCTCAAATATGTTTTGGCCTTCTTGCGCGACGCGTCGACCGCTCAAGCCACCGGCCCCTCTCTCTACACACATGATTCCCTCTCAAATATGTTTTGGCCTTCTTGCGCGACGCGTGTCCCCTTTACTATAGCGCCTTCACGAGGCCAAGACATCTTTCGCTCTCGGTCGAAATCGTGAATGTTATACTTGCTCAATTTGCGAGACGCGTGCGATCCTCTGACAGCGGATCAGGGTAAACGTGTAGACGGCGCGTGAAGACTCGCTGTGCCAGTAGCAAGGTGCCCGTGTGATTTGTATGCTGGATGGGCAGCGCCGTGACCTCCCTTGGCCAGCTCAGAGCCCTGCAGAGTACCAATGACTCAAGGTGGACGTCAGTGTAGCCTTGTTCTCGTTTGCGTTGTCGTCGCTGCGTGTGGGCATGCACTTGACTCACAACGCTGCAAGGAAGAGCCGGGCTGTACATGCACTTGCAATACGCAAGGCCGTGCGAGCCGTTTCCAGGAAGTGTAGAGGAGTGGTACACCGACTACAACGATTACGAAGGGCAGAAGAAGGCAGCGCCTTTGACCCTCGGTCAAATCGATGCTGTGCCTCAATTGCCAACCTGGGGGCGAATAGTCTAACGACGCTGGTATCAAGGGTTGCTCAAATTGAAGCAAAGTAGATGCCCATATATCGCCCAATGCTCTGTGAGCGAATCCGCAGTGAGCGCAGCAGCGCTCCTGCTATAGTGTGTTGATATGTGAGACTGCCACTTGTCAGCGAGCGAAAAAAAAGTATAATAGACACTCAAAAAACCCCCTCGCCGCCCGAGCACGATCCCATCTCCTCATCCTAGTGCACATTCGCAAAGGCAGCAAGCTCTTCACGCAGACCTATCTAGCAAGACCCCGAAAGCGGATCCCATTCGATCCCTGTCTCGAACAAGCAACATGGCCGTCTTCTTTTCTGCCCGCACCCTCTCTGCTGGCGTTCTGCTGCTTCTCTACATCGCTTCGGCCGCGGCAGCGCCCACCAGCAAGGAGATGCGTGTGCATCAAGAGGCTAGGGAGCTTCGTGAGTTTGCTCGCTCTTCGTACGTGGCTCAAAGCGCTCAGCAACAGACAGCTCAGTCTCTCTGTCCCCACCCATCTTCTTTCCGGCACAGCTTACGTGCCATACGGTACCAAACCCAAGAAGGATTCGCAGCACTGCTTGACCTTTACCGCAGACGAGGCAGCAGCTTGTCATGCAAACGGCAGTGGCTAAGCAGCTCACGGCCAGGAAAGGCATAAGCTGAGGAAGGTGTAGCAACGACGACGGCTCTGGATGCAGGCAGAAGACCATCGAAGCGGTCGTATCTTGGAAACTGCCCTCACCTTGACGATGCCGCTGAGAGTCGGCCCAGTCCCCTGCCGCTGCTTGTACCATTTGCACTCCCTATGCACGCCACCACAATCCTTTTCGATGCTCTTCATTTGCTGCCAAGGCGCTTGCCCCACGCCTGGGCTCCTTTCAGCCTCCATCTCACTCCGCCTCACTCCGCCTCACTCCGCCTCACTCCTTTGCTTCATCACCCCTCGAACATATCAACCTTTGCACACCTGAGAGCCAGCTCGATGGAACGTCAGGTCGCGCGTGATTGTCTATGGTTATCGCGCGGCGATAGTTGCATTGATGATGGACCCCTGAAACGTAATGTTACAATTCTTCGTGAATCACTTCTCTTGGCGTATGGTCGGAGTTGTGCGAGTGCGTCGTGTCGGCGTGCTGATGCCCAATCGGATCGTCGACAGCATGCGTAGTAGAAGCGGCTTGGAGCGCCTGCGCAGCCTTGTTGATGGCGGTGGTGGAGGAGGCAGCAGCAGCAGCGATGAGCGCCTCTTTCGAGCTCCTGCTGGCCGACGACGCGCTGCTCTGCAATGCCAACCTGCTGGCCTTTTCCTTTGCAGCCTCTTTCAACTTGCCTGCCGCCGCGCCGCCGCTCCTTCCCAGCGTGACCACTCTCCAGACAAAGGAGAGAAGGCCTACGCCCCTATCCCACACCCTCACTTTGACAATGTAAGCCACGCAGCCTGCAAAGAATAGGGCAGCCAAGAGGAGCAGGAGAGCATCGAGCAGATCCTGCCTCTCCATGCTCTGAATCAAGCCTTTGGAATTGCGCAGGATATCGCCAAAGGAGGTGTAGGAGGATTGCAGCGTGAGCAGAGAGTTGGAGGATTCGTCCAGCAAGGCGGAAGAGTAGGATGATTTTTGAAGCTCAAAGGACATGAGCTGCACTGTGCGCTGCAATGCATCCGTCACTGACTGCGATGCCGTGGCCAGCTTGTCATCGCCTTGTGCTTGCGTCTGTGCACTTGAGGAGTTGGCATTGTATTGCGAGCTTGGGGGGCGGACGTGGGATAGTGAGGTGTGAGTGATTGCGCAAAAGGAAGCAAAGGTGCGCGCATCACATCGACTCACTTTGAGTCCAAGCCCAACTCTCTGCGTGCGGATGCGGTGTGGGAGCGAGAGATGACTTGCCTGGCCATCAACAGTGCTCTCCTCCACTCTGCCTGTGACCTGTGGTGCGTGGTGCGTGGTGCGTGGTGCGTGGTGCGTGGTGCGCGGTGCGCGGTGCGCGGTGCGCGTGCGCGTTGCAAGCAGACTCGCAGCACAATCAGCAAAGACGGCAATCTCATCTCGACTCTCATCGCAAACCCCATTCTTGACGCCCGTCGCGCGATGCGATGCGAGGCAATGCGATGGCTCACCTGTCCAGCTGTGCCATGATCTCCCCTATCCTCTCTCTCCACTCTTGCGCTTCGCTGCCTTCCAGCTCATCGCAATCCAGCCTCATCTCCTGCACCAACTCCCTCGCCTCTCTCACACTCGCATTCCCCTCTCTTTCGGCCGCTTGCAGTTCTGCTACGCTGTCGCATGATCGCAAGCGAGGAATCTGATGCGTCGAAAGATCGGACAAACGACGCTCGATGGATGTGCGCGATTGCTGCAGCGCAGAGTGGGTGGGGGTCGACATGGCGTGGGCAGAATGTGGGGCAGCTGCAGTAAGCAATGGGGATGGGGATGCGTGCTCGATGGTAAGCGATTCGCGGTCGATGCGTGCTCAATGATGCGCGACTCGCTGTGGGAGCGTGTGACTTGGATCACGATGCGCTGTGCTCTGCGTCATGGGGGTGGCTGCGTGTATGGCAAGTGGACGGGATGAAGTCGCGTAGGGTGAGTTTTGAGTTGAGTGGTGCAGGGAGCCAAAAGTCACGATCGAGTTGTGAGTCAAAGTGTTTGGGTCGATGGGGCGCAGATTGAAATTGATGAAGCTGAACAGCTATCCATAGCTTCACGCATGCAGCGCCGCGTGCCCCGCGTGTCCACTCCACTCGATCGACGCTCACGTGACTGGTGATGCTTTCGTGCGAGACGCGATAACCACGTCCCATGCGATGCGCGCGCGCTATTTTGGAATTATTTTTGATTCGAATCATCACTTTCAAGGCCGGTGTCACCACTTTTTTTTTTTCCCCCCTCTTTGAGGCGGCGGCGGTGCAAGCTGCAGGCATGCAAGCAGGCCTTTTGGATGCAGTTTGACAGAAATCACTCGGTATCACACCAAAGTCACCCCCACAGCCACACCTTCATTCAAAGGCTCCCCTTTCCTGCACGCTCGCGCTCGCGCTCACGACTCCGCTCCAACTCTCAACCAGTCTTGCTCCAGAGATCCCTTCCAGCAACAATCTATTCCATTCCCACTCTTGGCCCAAATCCTGCATCGCTTCGCGCGCCGCACTTGATCTACGGGTCAAAAGGCAGCAAGTAGCATATCATGACCGTCCAGCCCTCCAACAGCAACAGCAACAGCAACAGCAGCAGCAGCTCATCCGGAACGCCCTTGGCTCTGTTCTGGCAATTAGCCTCACCCTCGACATCTGAGCGTTTAAGCAGCTCTTCCAAACTCGTCTCCCTGCTCGCCTCCTCCTCCTCCTCCTCCTCCTCCGATGCTGGTCATTCTCACGCGCACGTGCACACATCATCCACAATCATCTCCTTGACGCCTGATGAAGAGGCGCTACGAGCCACACAGGATAGGTTGCAAGGTGCGCTGGATGGCGATACGATCTACACCGTCAAGAGGCTCATCAGAGGTTTGGCCAGTTCGAGGGAGAGCGCGAGGATCGGCTTCTCCGTCGCACTGTCCGAGGTGAGTCAGCGCACGCGCACGCGCACTCTCTCTCCCCTTTCATCGCCTTGCAGCCGTGAGAATGACATTGTATGCTGACAAGAGTCACAATCACAATCCTAACGGCATATGCCGCAAGCTGATCGCTCAACTGCCAGCGCTGGGCTCGCAAGATGTGCTGCGACTCTTGCTGAGCTCTTGCCCGCTGGAGAAGAAGCAGTCGGGCGCAGAGGAACGCAACTCGCTGTTTGCCAGATTGTTCGGCGTGCTCGCACTCGTCAGATCATTTGCGCTGCTTCGAGAGTCCAAAGCGCAGGCGCAGGCGCAGGCGCAAGTCGAACAGAGCGTTCGGTGCTGCGTTCAAGTGCTGTTGGATCTGTACGCTACAAAGAGCTGGTTGATGGAACCCTCTGCTTGGGTGGCTCAGCAGCTGCTGCAACAAGCTTTTCAGATCTCTTCCGCGCTGGCATGCGAGCTGACCAAACAGATGCTGCTAGGTCAAGTCGAGGGCAAGAGCAAGAGCACCACATTTCAGGGTCCTGATCGCATCGCCATTCTGCTGAGCGTGCAGAGCTTGATGGAGAAGCGCAGCTACGTGCAGTGTCTTGTGCCGCTCACAGGGCCCACGCTGCTGTCCAGGCATAATCTGCCCGCCCTCGCCAAGTTGCTGCGATACGTTCAGCCTGCGGCGAGCACACGCGACGACCCCCAAGACGCCGACGGACTACGTGGAGCCAATCTGGCTCCAGCTTCGGCCGCAGCAGCAGCAGCAGCAGCAGGTCACTCTCGAACGCAACCGCACTTTGTCTGGAAGCAGATCATTAGCGAACACTTTGATGCTGATGCGCGTCAGGGCGAGAGAGTGGACCTACCGCATTTGCTGCAAATCATCCTCGACGACAATCTCTTCTCTCCCACAAGCTCGAGCGAGAAGAAGTTTCAGGGATTCATGGTCGTGGAGAGCTTGATTGAGCAGATTTGCCAAAGGGATTCGGGTGCGAGCGGGGACGCAGCGAGCCTGGAGAGCGGAAGATTGATCGGCAAGGGCTTCCTGAGGAGCTGGATCAACGCGCTCGGTGGAAAGGGCGGAGAGGAGAGGAAATTGAAGGCTGCAGCGGAAAAGACTGTGAGTCGGTTCCGAGTGCTCCAGGCCGCGCCGGTGTGCGTTGCACAGCCGCTCATCACGCGACGCATCCTTCCCAACGGCGCACAGACACTCAGCATTCTGCGCCTGGTTCGCCATGACTCCTCGACGGGCTACCTGATTCTTTCCCAGCTCCTGAGCGCCAAATCCAATCCGCCGCACGTGCAGCGTCTGGTAGAGCAGCTGCTGAGCTCGATGGATCGCGCAGGCGTGCAAAAGTACGCAGATCATCTGATCCAGCTTGCTTGTTCCGCCGATAACTCTGTCGCTGCGGCGAATAGAGATACACACGTTGCGGAAGGAAGCCAAGCAGATGCGCAAGGAGAAGCGAAGAGCATGAATGCGAAGAGATTGTGGGCGTTTGATCAGCTTTTGAACCTGATTAGGAACAGCAAAATCGAAAAGCCAGAGCAACTCGTCAGACAGGTGTTGGGCTTCTTTGCTGTTCGAGGATGGTTCGAACAGGCGCAGGCAGGCGGCAAAGACACGATCGACACACAATTCCTGCGCACTCTCAGCGAGACCAGACCCGTCCCGGACTTCTCTAAGCACCTTCGAAAGGAGGCGAGGAGTAGGTATTATAGCTGTGCGGATGCGTTGCTAAGCCACATCGTCTTGTTGGGTGAGTCCGCATCGCCTTGTCCCCCAGCCTCGAGTAGCAGCTCTCAGCATAAGCTTGCCTCCATCATCACGTTTGCTCGCCGACGCGCAGAAGATGCATCGGGCAAGAAGACGCGTAGACAAGGCTACGCTGCGAGCGGTAGTAGATGGATGGACTTGCTCGTGTCCGACTTGCGATCCATCGAGTCCTCTGGCACTTTTGTCCCAATCTTTGGACCTTCTGGACTCTCTCCCAAACGCGCAGATGCTAAAGATGCACATACACCTTCAGAGAGGAGGATCGCGGCGAGCAGGGAACTGCAGAGATTGGAAGAGGTGATTCGCAAGACGCACGATGGGGAGAGTCAAAAGGAACATTTTGCCGCCGTCCGCGATTTGATACGAGCGGCGATGCTTTGGAGCTGGGGAGAACAAGCTGGGGAGGAAATGCTGGAGGTGAGCTTGGAGACGTTGCTTGGTGAAGCTTGTTCGATAGACAAACTTGCGCTCCGACGATTCGGATCATCAGATCGCATGGGTGTGAGAAGGTGCGCGCTAATACACGTCTCCACATCACCCGACCACCGCGCAGCCGTTGGTGGATTGCTCTACCAGACTCATTTCGCCGGATCCAGCTGCACAGCCGTCGGACTCAGCAGACGAACCGACTGCGGTGGAACTTCTCATCGACACGCTAGTCAGCATGCTGGAGCTGCCTTCTGCCTTTCTTAGGAGCATCGTCACCTCCGTATGGTCAGCATTCATTCCTGAAGTGGATCATAGCGGGCTGCGATTGTTGTTCAGCGTGAGTCCGCAATACTCACCTTCGCGTAGCGATTGGACGTCCCTGACCGACTCGGCTACCGCGCGATTGATCGCAGCAACTTGGAGTGGACGATGAAAACGCTGCAACAGAAGACGCAATGTCTGTGGATGGTTCTGGAGAGGAAGAGCTAGACTTTGGTGCAATCTCTTCCGGTGACGATGACTCGGAAGTGGACGAAGAAGACGACGACGATACGTCAGCAACCTCTCAGAGCGGTTTGGGGCTCGACTCGGAAGACGCGAATGCAGAGGTGGACCCTGTGCTTCGCGCTGCGCTCGAATTGGCTCTCAAAGAGGGCGGGCTGGCTCCTAGAGAGTCCTCCAAAGCACAGCAGGAGGAGGGTGAAGGAGACGAGAGCGAGAGCGACGAGGAAGAGGAGGAGGAGCTGCTGGACGATGATGCGATGCTCAAAATTGATGAGAAGCTGTCTCAAATATTTAGAGAGAGGGCAGGCGCCAAGAAGGAAGATGCTGGTGAGTCTGCATACCCTGAGCGCCCTTGGATACGAGCAAGCAGAGTCAGCTTAGACTACGATACCGCTCTTTGTGCTTGTAGAGGCGAAACGAGAAGCCGTCGCGTTCCAGCTGCGAGTCCTGGACCTTTTGGAACAGTATGCGAAAAGGGTGTCGAGCAACCCCCTTGTTGCGAGCATGGTCGGACCTCTTCTCCAAGTCATACAAGAGACGGAGAATAAAGAAGGAGCCCAAGTCATTGCTCGCGCTTCGAGCATTTTACGCAACACCATCGCGAAGAGCAAAGAGACTCCTGGCAGTATCGCTGTCGAGGAGCTTCTGCCGGTCCTTCAGACTATTCATGCCGATGTGCTTAGAGCGCAGAGCAAGGAGACGCAAGAGCTGTTGAGCGTTGCCAACGAGTACCTGACGCGATGCGTGTTGTCCCGAGCTACGGACGCTCTGCCGTTGGACGCCTCGGCACTGACGGGGCTGTACAAGCAGACTTTGACCGCTTGGATCGACAAGAAGAATAGTCCCGTCAAGCTCGGCTTTTTCGCCAATGTGCTGAGAAAAATGCCAGCCATAGCCTTGGCGCTGCGAGACGACTTGTTTGCCGCCGTCGTTCCTGCAAGCACGGTTGGAAATTTCCGACAGGGCGAGGTGTTTGGTTTGATCTCTGCACCGATGGCCCAGCTTGCTCAAAGCGTGAGTGACATCTTGTGTGGCGATCGAACGCGTCCCGCTTCGTGGCTAACGACCGCTCATTTTCCCTTCAGGAATCTGCTGCACTGGCTCAAGAAGGTCTTTTGTACGTTGCGCGTTTGCAAGACTTTATCATCGATTACATCCGGGAAGCTTGCGCGCCTTCGACATTCGAGCCCAAGTCGGATAGGCTCAAAGAGGTGCTCAAATTGGGCCTGACCGCTGCTAGGACGACGCCTCGCCTGCTGGAGCACAGTCGAGCCGGAATCGGCTCGAACGCTGCAACGCACAGCCTTTGGAAAACCGAAGCGTTGGAGCAATTGTCAGTGGAGCTGAAGAATAGCCAAAAGTACGGCGCTTCTAGCGCATTGAGGGATCTGCTCAAACAGCTGGTCAGCGTGACTAAGAAGAGCACCAATGGGAAGCAAGTTGGCGATGCTAGCTCGACCGGTCACAAGGAGGGAAAAAACAGCAATTCCGAGAAGAGGAATAGAGAGCAGGGAGCATCGGAGACGCAAAGCAATGGCGCCAAGGCGGGCAAAAAGCAGAAGAAGCAGTAGAGACGGCAGTGCATGTTGATGTCACCGCATGTCAGCAGTGTAATGTCAGCAAGCTTCGCATGCAAGGTCCAGAAATAGATGAGTGGGCATGGTTGCCATGCTCAGTTGCGCCCTTGGTGCTGAGAACATTTGCTGGTGCGGCACGATGCCTGCGCAAGATGGTCATTGTTCGCGACCGACTGCATCAATTGCGTTCTGGATCCGCATTGACAGCTGCGAGCTGCTCCCGAAGAGCCTCGTTCTCGTGCTTGAAGCATTTTACGGCTTCTTCGGGATGATTCGGGAAGCGAATAAAGAGGCCTTGCAGCTCGGCCATCGATATGCCACCCTTGGACGCGGGCAATAGCGTAGGGTTGAGATTGGAGCTGGTGGATGGCGTACTCACGGGGCTCGAAGGCCCGTGGGTGGTAGTAGCAAAGCGTCCTGTGGGGTCCAGCCCGAACAACCGCCTCCTTTTGCTCGTCTCCTGCTTCACCGCCGTGGCCAATTCGTCCTGCAAAATTGTGAGGCGCCCATTGCGATTCTCTTCCTGTACGCTTTCCGCGTAGAATTTTTTGAACATCAGCCTGACTTGATGTTCGTCCGCATCGCCCAGCTCCAAGCTGAGATCCACTCTGCCAGGCCGCACCAGGGCAGGATCCAAGCGTTCCGCGTGGTTAGTAGTCATGAAAACAATACGGCTCTCGCTCGAAGCTACGCCATCTAGGGCATTGAGTAGGCCAGAGAAGGTCACGCCGGGCACGAAGCCATCCCCCACATCCTCCCCGCCCGATCTAGTGCGAGATGGGAATGCGGCGTCTATGTCCTCCAGGAGCAAAATGGAAGCGTCGGGAAGGTTGCTCAGGAGATAGGTCAATTTGCCGTCTGTCAAACCTCGCTCAGACAGATTGAGCAAGCAGATGGACAAGTCCAGGGAACCGGCCAGCGCTGTGATGAATGACGACTTTCCTGAGCCTGGAGCGCCGTACAAGAGGTATCCTCGTCTGTACGGTATCCCTAAGGGGCAATGCATTGAACGATTGAGCTTGGAGAAGGGCGCTTCAAGGTGCAATCCCTGACGCACCTCTTTGCCTGTACCACTCTCCCCTATTTAAGAATGCCTTGACGTCGCCTTGTATCCTCTCTACTTGACCGTCCTTGAGCACCACGCTGCTCAAATCCCTGACTCTCCTCGGCTTGCCAAAGGGCTTCCACTCAGTGCCCCACGCGGTGTAGATGATCGTCTTGCCTTCAATCGACTCCTGTGCTAGTTGCTTGGCTTCAGAGAGTAGCGAGGGCAAGATGTGGGAGGTGGAACGCAGAGTGGTGAGGGTGAGCGTCTCCCAGGGAGCGCCTGTGGACAGATCGATCATCTTGGTCGCGCGTTCGCGATGCAGCTGCATGGGAGCGGCAATGAAGGGCCCGAACGGGATTCAGAGTGATACATGGCGGGTGCAGTCTGACGATTTTTCCTTCGTAGCACGACTCTCACCTTGATCCAGCAACCCCTGTATCTGACCCAATGGCTGCCGGGACCAGGCACGAGGTTGAACTCCATCTTGTCTCTGCGCTGCTGAGGAGTCGCGGATGATTTGCTCGACTCTGTTGCTTGATCTGCCTGCTTCTTGATCTCACCCAGCGAAGTCTCGACAGACAGTTCGTGCGACCAGACTTTTGTGGCAGAAGCGTGGGCCTTTTGATTCAGCCCGAGCAGCACGCTCAGGCTTTCCTGCTGCTTCTCCTTGCCCTTGCCGCTGCCAAGCGATTGTCTGCGGGCAGCAGCAGCAGCAGCGTTCTGCAAGCTGGCCTGCCTGCCGAGCCAGCCGAGTACCCAGGCGTGACTCTTGTCCTTTGAAGGAATCTCGAGGGAGATGAGGAGCCTTCTTTGCGCTAGCGATGCGCCCTTCTTGATGCCACGCTGAGAGACGGCCAGAAAGGAGCCGAAGATCATCAGACCTAGTCCAGCGCTAAGGAATTGGTTGGAGCCGCCGAGATTAGACAGCGCAAAGGCAGAAGGGGTTGATGATGATGATGATGATGATGATGATGATGTTTGCGACGTGGGAATTGCAGATGCGCCAGGGTTGCCATCCATTGCGAGACTCGATCGCGCATCGTTGTCGCGGGAAGGCGCAGAGGAGCCCCCTGTAGCTTGTTGCTCGACGGATCCCAACGTCATTCTTGCTTACAGGGCAATGCCCCAAGTCCTCGCAGCTTTATCGCGGCTGCTGGTGCTGCGACGTCAGCCCTTCGAGCAGACCCATCGATTGTGAGATTGGTGACTGAATTCGACCAGCTCGAGTCGGAGTCGCGAGCAGAAAGTAGCAAATTCAGATGCCGACTCCCTCGTCTGTCAGATCTGAGATTGTGATGGTCGTCGTGGTCGGTCGGGTGTGTTGGTAATGGTGGTGCTGGCTGGCTGGCTGCCTGCCTGCCTGCCTCCATACACCCGCCGAGCTTTCTTCCGGCAAGGCGGCTTTCCAACGACTTATAGCAACTCGTGACTCGCGACTCGCGGACTTGATGCTCACCACCTCACGTGATCACTCTTCTGCCTTGCGCGATGGCCGGCCAAATCGTGGATCTTGAATTCACCGTACGGGAAAGGCAACGAACGACGCGTCGAGGTTAATAAACGCGCGGCTGGGTCGATTCCGCACCGAGTAAGGCCTTGACCCTCTGCAACCAACACTTTTGACTGCACCATGCTGCGACTGCGACTCTTGGCTTCACTCCAGCACTGCGACCACCAACTCTCGCGGCTTGGCATTTGCTCTCCTGCCAGCTCTGTGTCAATCTCTTTCTCATCTCGACGCGCTACTCCACCTCGGCGCCATTTGGCACTGACCATCGACTCGAGGCTGCGCACGCAGCCCTCTCACGCGTCGTAGCACCTCCGCTAGTCAACGGAGGCCTCCTTGTATGCTCCCTTCGTCACACCTCACACCTAAACCTCGCCAGTCTCAGCTGCCAACGCGGCTCTCTGAGCGACAGCACGCCCACTGATCCGGCCTCGCAGCATGTGTGCCTCGATGAATTGTCCTCTGTTACAGTGTCGGTAGTGCCCAACGCCCAAATTTCGTGCTGCAGAGGGCTGACACGATGAGGGTGCTGTGTGTGGCCGAGAAGCGTGAGTGGGCTTGGCGTCGGACATCAAATGGAGCATCTCGGTCACCAGCAAGATGGCGCCAGGTGCGCATCAGTCAATATCCCCCCGCACAATCAACGATCACACCCGATCGGTGCATCGCGAGGGAGAGGTGCAGGCAAATACGCGCATATAGTCGTGTCACAGTGTCATTGACCAAGTCGCGCTTGCCGTCTCGACAGACTCTGTCGCCAAATCGCTCGCAGACATACTCAGTGGAGGTCGTGCGCAGTCGGTGAGTCCTTGTACAGACGAACGAACGCAGCGCGCCAAGCTAGACTAGGCGTGGCGAACAAGACCATCGCACTAAAGCCTGGCGTATCGCTTTCCCCATTCTTTTCAACGACAGCAACCAGCGCTGGATCAGTACACTCGCAATCTCAGCTTTCCCTACACGCTCAATGGCAGGGGCGTCTCGGTGGTCATGACGTCCGTGCGAGGTCACCTCTATTCCCACGACTTTCCTCCCTCCTACCGATCCTGGCAATCTTGCCAACCTTCTGCACTGTTCGATGCTCCTCTTCGCACATTCGTCACGCCTGGCTTGGAAAAAGTGGCTCAAAATCTCAAAAATCTAGCCAGAACCTCGGACGAATTGATCATCTGGACGGATTGCGACAGGGAGGGCGAGATGATTGGCAAGGAGGTCGAGATGGCTTGCAGGGAAGGCAACCACAGGATCATCACCAAGAGGGCGAGATTTAGTGCCATTGTAGCAGCGTGAGTTGTGCAGCACCGCTGCCCTTCGCATCTCCTTGAGCAGCGCTCACCTCCACCATCATTGCCCCTCGCAGTCAAATCCACGCAGCTATGCGATCCCCCGTTGCGCTCGACCACTTGGCAGCATCTGCGGTGGAGGCGCGCATCGAGCTAGACTTGCGGTTGGGTGCAGCTTTCACCCGCTTGCAAACTCTGCGCCTTCAAAAAGAATTTGGAGAACTCAACAAGGCGGTCGTGAGCTGGGGTAAGTGCAGGGAGGCGAACAACGAAACGCTCCGTGTTCACCCCGTTCCTCACGCCCTCTTTGTCGCGCGCCTTGCGGTCTTTGGGGGACAATTTAGGCCCGTGCCAATTTCCAACCCTGTCCTTCGTCGTGCAGAGATACGTCGACGCCATCACTTTTTTGCCGGAAGCCTTCTGGTACCTCTCACTCTACCATCGAAAGGACGGCGTCGATGTCACCTTCAAGTGGGACCGCGGTCACCTCTTTGAGGAAGCCGATGTGCGCAGGCGGCTAGTCGCGTGTCGGGGACAAATGTGCCGCATCAAGGATGTGAAGCGCAAAGAAGTCAGCAAGTTGTGAGTCCACAAGCAGTGACAGTGAGCGCGCAAACGAACACTCACCGGACAGCATGCTCTTCATTTCAGCAAACCATATCCGCTCACGACGGTCGAGCTACAAAAGTCAGCCTCACGCTTGTTGCGCTTGTCCCCTAAAAGGATTTTGGATGTGAGTCTCCAGTGTCGCATTGGAAACGCACGCTGACCGACCCAAATTTGGACCGCTAGGTGGCGGAAAAGCTGTATCAAGGAGGAATACTCTCCTACCCTCGTACCGAGACTGATCAATACGATGCGTCTTTCGACTTTCTGAGTCTCATACGCAAACAGTGTGGCGACGCCTCGTGGGGAAACTTTGCCCGCTCGCTTCTGGGCGTCGGCTCGAACGCAGAGCCAACCGATGCCAACGCAGAGGAAGGGCCAATCGCTGTACAACCCGGAGGAACTTTCTCTCGACCGCGTAATGGCAAGAAAAATGATCACGCACATCCGCCGATCCACCCCACCAGGCACGCCAGTAATCTCTCGGGGGACGAAAAGAGAGTCTACGAGTATGTCACTAGGAGATTCCTTGCTGGGTGTCACCTTGACGCCAAGGGACTGCAGACGAGTGTCGCTCTCGAGCTCGGTACCGAAGGTTTCAGCGCTTCTGGTAAGTGACAGGCCACCTGGACCGTGGGGCCAATAAGCGCGCAAGTATGCTAACGCGTGAGCGCTATGCAGGCCTCCAAATATTGGCTCGAAATTATCTCGATGTCTTCACGTACGACACTTGGTCGACGTCCATTCTTCCTGCTTACACCGTGGGACAAACCTTCTCGTCTGCTCCCCCGGACGCCGATCTCAGCATCAAGGAGGGGGCGACCACAGCGCCCAAATTGCTAACGCAAGCTGATCTCGTCGCTTTGATGGACCGCAACGGTATTGGGACGGACGCGACAATTGCTGAACACATCGAAAAAGTCTGTGAAAGGGGCTACGTATTCGAGACAACTTCGAGTGAGGATGCAGAGGGGGGCTCAGATGGCAGGTCTGGGCGTGGGAGAGGCAGAGGCAGAGCTAGAGCAAACGCGCGAGCCTCTGCGCGTGCGACAGGAAGAGGAGCCAGCAGTGCTGCATCGCGGTCCGGCGAGCCGAACGGTGGCAGGGTCACCTATCTAGTTCCTTCTACGCTAGGCATGGGCTTGGTTCTTGGTTATGACGCCATTAGATATCCAGCGACGACCGGCTCAGCGCCCGGTGCATCGACTTCCGACGTGCCCAATCCTACTGGAACTGGAGGTCTTTGTGGGCCGCAACTAAGGCGTGAGGTAAGTGCAGACGTGCTTGCTCCATCGAGAAACACCGTGCGACTCGTCAGCGCAAGGGATTCTAACTGCTTTGAATCGCTGCAATCCAGACCGAAGCAAGGCTCCTTCGCATTACTACCGGCCAGTCGACGAAGAGTGAGATCCTTCAGGAAAGCCTGGCCCAGTACAGGGAGATGTTCATTATCTCCACGCGCGAGCTTGGCACCGTCGTTGCGAGTGTGCGAAAGTACCTGAGAGGTGTGGAACAAGGGGACGAAGACGCCGCCACAGAGGGAACTACTGGTGGCGGATCCGACGGTCCGCCAGCTGGCCCCGCTCCGGATCAGCCCAGGGCGCCGAGCACCAACCAGAACCTTAGTCCAGTACGGTCACGCTCTGTCACTGTTAGTCGCTCGGAGCCTGACGTGACCTATGCTCCGGAGCACAGGCGCTCGTACCTTCCTCCCTCATCGACCGGATCTGCAGCTCGCCATGCAAACTTACCTGCTCCTGTCAGGACTGGTTTCAACCCGGAGACTGCCATTGTCTTTGACGACGACGACTCGGACGATGACATTTTTCACGACGTCTCCGAACCCTCACGGGCGTCCGCGGACACCAGCTCTGGTGCTTCACGGCACGGCAGGACCAGACTTGCCATCCAGGCTAACGGACACGTGCAAGCGGTCGCAGGTCCAAGGTCGACCCAGCGATTGTCGAATGGTGTCGAGCGCCTCGGATCGTCCGCCGGCAAATCATCCGTTGCTCCTCCGCGACGTATTGTATTTCAAGACGAGCTCGACGGTTCTCCGCCCGTCGACGATGATGGATTCGAGATGCTAGACGAGCAAGCTATGCTAGAAGCTTTGATCGAAAATGACGACGCTCACAGGCATCCCTCCCCAGTCCCTTCGTTCAACGATCAAACGGTCGATCACCGCGACGGCCATCTCGAAGGCTCCGGTCCTGCGAATGGTCCCAATCGGCCGGAGGCTCTACAAGCCAGCGTTGCTGATCGTCGGCTTGACAGAACCACCACGGCTCTGGCGTCTAGAGCCACTCCCAGCAATGTTCAACGGGGTCATAGACGGCCAGAAGTGACAGCTCCTGACCTCTCCGATCGGTCCTTTGCCTCAGCTAGTTCTTCACGCTCGATGAACGCCTCGACCTCAACGCTAGCCTCGGCGGCGTCCAGTCGGACTTCGGCTGCTTCATTTGAGACACCTCATTGTCGATGCTGTCGACCCTCTGTGACGCGCACAGTAAACAAGACGGGAGCAAATCAGGGGCGGCAATTTTACGCATGTTCAGCACCGAAGGAGGAAGGTGGTTGCGGATTCTTCGCATGGACAGATGCCGACGGCGCCGGAGCGTTGGGGTCTAACGCTGCTGATCTTTCTCCAGTGAGGCAGAGATCTGCGGTGGCACCGCCAGTCGCCTGCTGCGGGCGCGCTGACATTTAATTTGCCCTGCAGAACGCTCAGATCAGACACTTGCGGCGTCTGGCTGAGCCTCCAAAAGATCAAACTCCAGCAGTCAGGTGCAGATGCGATTTGGACGCTAAAGTGTGCCAAGTCAACAAGGTGAGTTCATGCTGCATCTTCGACAAATCCCCGGAGGTCGGCAAGCGCGTTCGGACTATTCTTACTGATTTTCACGCGTCCAGGACGGTCCGAACAAGGGACGACACTTTTACACTTGCTCGAAAGAGTCGACCATCTCCCGATGCGGTTTCTTCGAATGGGTTTCCGAGGACGGCGCCATATCCGGTAGCCTCGGTATCACCTCAGGATCGTCTGGCGAGTGTTTTCTGTGCCAGCAGAAGGGCCACTGGGCCTCGGAATGTCCGACTGGCAACAACTCGCGCAGATCAGCCTCGTCCAAGTCAAGAAACAGACAAGGCGGTTCTAGCGCGACACAAGCCTGTTTCAACTGTGGCCAAGAGGGCCACTGGGCAAGCGAATGTCCGTCCGAGTCGGAAACTGCTCTGCGCAATCCCGGAAGCAGGTTTGCTCGCGATCAGCCACCCGATAATAGCGGGACGTGCTTCAGATGCGGTCAGCCGGGCCATTGGGCTAGTAGCTGCCCTCAGCAAGAAGCGGATGGATGGGATGTGCGGCACAAGGCAGGGGATCGCAATGTTCCGGGGCCAAGTAAGAAGAGGAAATCATGATCTCGAAAAGCATGTCATTTGTAGATTGAAAGCAAAATAGTGATCAGCGCAAATTAGTCACCTGTTCTTTCACTCGGCCCAGTTCGTCATTCGTGCAGCTGCTTGGGTCATGTCTGTCAGGACTAAAGAACGAAGGGTCACAAACATGAAGCGGGATTTTCAATCCCGTCCCTGTCAGCGCTTGAACGGCACCGTGCATGAGTCAATTTGCCACAGGTTGCTTTCGCTTCGGAGTTTGGTTCGTCAGTGAGCCACGCGCAAGACGAATTGTGCGAATGAATGCACAGCGCCTTCTTTTGGTTCCCTCGCCGCCCTTTGTGACTGGGCCCTCCTTAGCGGCCTGCGGCCACAGAATTACGAAACAAATGGCGCGACACACTTGACGTTGGAAAGTCTAACGAGAGAAGCCAAGCAATTATCCTTGAACCGGAAAAGCTGCGAAGCTGGCGAACGTGCATCGAAGTTGACCGCCCCTAAGGATGAGCAAGGAGCTCAGAAATTGTGGTACAAAGACCCACAATTTCTCAGCAACTTGCTCATCCTGTGTTCCATACTTAATTTTTTTCCATGTATGGCGTGAACGCTTTTGATTGATTTCCGAGTTTGTAATTGAAGTTGAGCGAACGCCAGCTGTGGAGCCAGCAGACCGGCAACCTGGCGCAAAATTAGCTCAAGCAAGTGAGTGCTCGAGCCAGTCGCAGTGTACGATGGCGCCTTCCAAGGACCTTGAGGGAAATTGGGAGCGTCTGCAATGCACCAAAAGCGCTTGCTCGACATGGATCAGCGCAGTGCAGCATATGCGATCGCTCGTAACTAATGGTGGAAGAGGCTTCTATAGAAATGAAGTTTCTTGGAAACGTTTCAATCGAGGAGTCTGACTGCGAAAGTTGCAGCAAATTTCTGATATCTCCATCTGCTTCCTCGAGGCGTTTGCTGTCACTAAGCCTAGGGTTGACGCGCTCTTCAACTTTACTTTTGATTCTGCTTTCGTTGCAGTTCAAGGTAAGCAGCAAACATTGGTGATCGTTAAAAATGTCTCTGAGCTTTGTGTGGATCTGTACAAGATGAGATCGGTTTGGCTTCTCGCCGTCGGAGGTCACCTATTCGTGCAGCAAGCATAGCTAGGGAAATAGATTGCGGCGAGCTCCAACCTTACTAGCTAGGGCTTAGAGCAAATGTTAGACGAGATTTGTTTTCTTAGTGCGCCTGGTCAAATCTTCACATCACGGTTCTGCTGTACCTCTCAAACGTTTTGTCAGTAGGTCGCTAGCCTCGCTACAGCCCAATGCCTGGTCTAATAGTGTTCAACCGCTTTGGAATTCGTTTCGTTCGCGGATTATATAAAGCTGCTGTGCTGTAGGGAATGCTTCCAACTAAGAAAACTCAGCGTTCGTCAACCCTCGTTTGAGCTGACGTCCGCTTGGACAAAGGGAAGGAGTCGTTGCGATCGTTGCTATTCCTTCGGCACTCAATTGCTGATTCAGTTTAAGGCGCTGAGCCCGAAAGTCAGCTCAAAAGAGTATGACACTGAGTGATTAGACGTGACACGCCCACTTCGAACAAGTTGGCAGTGTCGCAGGCTGCTTGGAGACCTTCTCAGAGCAACGAGTCATGCGCAAAAATCCGCAGGACAAGTCAGAGTCGAATGCTCGGTGCTATGTCATGATGACGTCTGGATCAAACAAATTTCAATTGGAAAATGAAGAGGAAAGATGAGGAGCCTTCTCTGTGTAAACTTGCATAAAGGCGTCCAGGGCACGGTAGGTCCAATTTCAACCTTATGGGACAGCGTTGCCTGCGGGAATGCTTTGCGTCAACGGGATTCTATGTGTCTGGCAATCGCCACCAGAAAAGTTGCTGCTGCGTTCTTTTGCTTCTCCGCAAAGCCTGTACACGTTGCCGACCTCGCCGAAAGCTTTCAAGGCAACTAGTGTGCCCTAAATTTGCGTTGGGCGCTCACTCTTGAAACGAAAGCCGCTCTTGAAGCTACTTTGAAAGTGGTCGTCAACATGATTGAAGATGGATCGGCCCATCGGTGAAGCCGAGCGAGACCGCGATTGCAATGGTCGTTCATCGGAGCTTTCAGATTTCTGCCTGTGATGCTTTATACCGTCAAGGCGATCTACGAATCGTCTTGTGTCAACAAAGTAGAGCCCAGACTTGTGCCCCAGCGGAGAGACTATCACAAACCGCAGAGAGATGACGCTCGAGGATGTGCTATCAGAACTCTATTCGCCTGAAATTAGCCTTCACGGTGCGCCAACATTTGGCCCGACGATGCGACGACCTCAGACTCAGAAACTCTGTAGCCCCCGAGAACAAAAGGGGGCCCTCAGCATCACGAGCATTTGTAGGTGGCAAAAGCGATGACTACCCTGTAAATGTTGCACCATGGCCCAGGAAAGCTGTGTGAGGAAGTTTGGGTTCCCTGACGTCTTTGCCATCATTGCAAAAAAGAAACCATCTGACTGGGGGCTGGTCTCTTGTGAAGCCCTCACAGGAGTGCTGACACTCCATTGATTGTACTGGCATGTAGAGACCGTGTATCACTCTGTGGCCTTTTTTGAAAAACCCGTGGCACGGAGCTATCGGGAAACGCTTACACGCCTTAGTTGCGTAACAAACCGAAATATTTTGCCGCAAGAGACGATGGGCAACTAAGCAAGGCCGAAGAATTTTCGCAAATACGCACATGATGGTGCTTACGCTGCAAATCCGAGGTAGAGGCCTTGATTGGCTCAGATACACCCCATGTAGCCAACTACATCGGCTCTCAGTACTCAGTTCTGGTAAACGAAATGTCGCGCGGCGAAAAACTTCTCGCGATGCGCCGCAGGCTACAATATTCGCGTCAATTGGGGAGACTTGCCGCTTCGGGACAGCATTCGAGGCAGCGAATAAGCCAAGTAAGCTTCACACGCTCTCGGTGCTTCCTCGCCGTCTGCAACGCTCGTCCATATCTCGAACAGGATTTAGGAATTATCATCTGAGGGTGCACTACGACGATCAATCAATGTCATGGTCGGCAAAGACTTGATAGATTGCAAGCTATGATCTGATCGATAACAAGCAAGAAGAGGACTGAAATAGTTGACACTGGGCCAGTCATACTGAGTCAAACTTGTTACCAGGGAAAGGCTCGGCTCTAGGCCTGCAACCTCTTGGAAAGGCTGACACAACCAAAAATCAAGCGCAGAACAGCACGACGAAGAGCACTGGAAAGCAGGAACGATGACCGAGCTGTCAGAGTAAGTTCCGTCCACTACCTTCCGGGACCCCAAACTCACGCGCAGCCCTGCGAGAAGAAGAACACACTCAGGACTTAGTGAGTTAGACCAGGACCACCAAGTCCAAAGGTACATGTGCCTGGTCCATCATCGCAGCTTGGGGGTTTATCTCGGAGATGCTCATCGGTATGAACTGGTGGGAACGCGGGTCCCTTCTTGTGATCCTTGTTGGAAGGATTTTTGGGCATTTTGATGAAGGGTGTGTCTCTTCTGTTGAACCGACTCGGTGCGTCCCAAAGGCTTTGTAGCGCTCGGCCTATCCAGATCGGAAAGCTCTCCGCACGCGAAAGTGTTGGGGCCAAGAGTAGTGATGGTTTGCGAGTTGCATGAGGATGCACATGCAGCAGATCGCGCAGTTGCTCTGTGACGTTGAACAGAGTTGCAGCCGGCACGACATTGTTGATGCACAGATAAAACAAAGACTTTCTTTTTGAGACTGATGGCCAAAAAAACGCCTACATGCTCGGTACAAAGGCTCACCTGGCACTACTGCATCATATGGAATGGAGAGGCTTGACCGACTGTAGCTCATGACTAGAACGAATTTGTTTCCACAAGAGAATGACGTCAATTCTAGTGGCAGGGGACTGGCAGATGCTGCAAATGCGGCGAACCACACGAAAAGTAGCGACTGAAGGAGATTCATGATGAATGGCAGGTGAAAATTGTGGGGCGCAAGGGAGGAAGATGAAGATGTAAGAAGATGGAAAGGGGATGAAGAGCGGACGCAACAATTTAGCAGTGGAGCAGCGACACTTATAGTTAAATCAGGCAAGCGCTACAATGAGGTTCCGTCCAACGACCAATCGAGATGTTACAAGTCCATCAGCCTGTCAGACCCTGATGCCAGAGGCTGTTTATCGAGAATAGCTGTCTGGCAAATATCGAGCGCCACACAGCGAAGGACTTGATCGGTGAGGCTAGCACGCGAGAATTGTGAGAGGCGGAGCGATGCGCGCGCGCTGCTTTGTGCGGCGCGGATCGTGGTTCTTACCTCGATCTCATTCATTGGGAAATTGGACAGTAAGTGGATCACTGCCACGCACCCAAGGCTCACGACTGGCACATGTTGGACTTCAACTCGTGCTCCACGCTCTCGCAATCCCCTGACTCAAAGCGTTGACCAAAGTAGAGTTTGTAGTATGCGAAGCGCAAAGTGGTGGAGTCCACAACCTAGGACGAGTCATAAAGCTGCAATAGCAATTGCGTCGGTACGCGACTGAAGTTAATTTTTGGTCTGCAAACTTGTGTTTCGTTCTCACACTTCTGCGAGAGCTCGCAAATGTGGGACATTAGCGACTCCAAAATGCAATACTCACCTCCACACCAGCCACGGTTCAGCTTTTTGCGTAGACGTAGGTACCGAATGACTCAAAGTGTATTATAGACCGACACTACAAGCACAGACTTTCAAGGAAATCCAGCTGTCGCAATTCTCTGTTCGAGTCAGCCGTACCTTGTACCTAGTATGAAAACGTCGCCATGCTGTTATCATGTTAAACTTACCCACTGAGATCGGGAGACTGGACGAATCAATTGGGACCACATATGATTGGAGGTGCGCTCCACGCGGGGCAAATCTGGGCCCCCTTTACGTTGTGCAGCTCTGTGCATTCCAGGCAAGCATCAACGTTCTAGAGTCGCCTCATGCCGCGTAAAATAGAAACGCGCCCCTCCTGGCTCATGCGGGGCCATGACGAGTGCGGTTGCCTTGTGCTATATGTTGCGGCCTGAAGTCAAATTCGGAGCTCATTGACAGCATTGAGCGACCAGGACAGAGCTCTACACATGTCCGTAGGGGTCTCTGACCATCAAGGGGCCGGCACTTCGACTAGCTGAACCGGGAGTCTCCTTCCCTTTCGTCTTTGACATCTCCCTCACGCCCGGTGTCCGGTGATGTCTTCGCTTTGTCTTTGATACCTCTCTCGCGTCTGCCCTCCAAAATTGTCTTTTGACACCCCTCTCCCACCCGTCCTCCAGAATTGTCTTCGCTTTGCATTTGATTACCGATCCCCCATTCGCCTCGGAAATAGCCCCGCCCCTTCGCACACACACGTCTCTGAGCGCTTCCATTCGGCCCATCGTTGTGGTCTCGCACGGTCAGCAACTGCGCGGAGTGTGGGATGTGGGGAGCCTGCACAGGCTCATCTGGTCAAGGAAGAGGAGCGCAAGCAGCAGAGAGCAGCACTGCAGCCGTGGCAGCAGAGAACAGCACCGCAGCCGCAGCAGCAGCAGCAGCACCAGCAACCACCGCAGCAGCTTCCACCTACCCCTCCTGGCTGACAGCAGGCAAGCAGACCAACGCCAGCAGCCACCTGCGCCCCATTGCGGACGGTTTCGGCTCATCATCATTCCGAGGAGAGAAAGTCAGCTGAGCAGCACACGGTTGTGAGATCCGAGGCTGTGCCCACCCAACAGCCAACAACCAGTATGCTCTCGTTCTCTACAGAGGAGCCAGCCAGACAACTCTTCCCAATGTCTGCCCTTGCCCCCACTGCAGCAAAGCAGACCATGGGGCCAACACGTAGTCATCTGGGAAAGCCGCACCAGCAGCCGGCAAATCACTTTGGCTCCTCCTCGCCGCCCACCTCTGCTGCTTCCCGCGCCGCCACCGAGCCACCAACATTTTATCCTCGCTTTGGTCTTTCAAAGGTGTCCATGAGCCAGGTGGATCAAGTGGTGCGCCATAAATGTCAACTGCAGCGGCCATCACGTCCAGATGCACCATCACTGCCACCTTGCTCACCCTCCCTAAAGCACCAAGTGAGCGACCTGGGCCAACGCAGCTCGGTCGATGAAATGGCCAACCGGCGTGGCGCCAACCCGGCAAGTCCACAATTAGCAGCAAAGGCAAGCACAAAGAAGAGGCCAAAGGTCCAGCAGCCTGGCTTGGTGCCGTACGGCTCCTCTTCGCCACCAGCTTTGCCCTCGCCAGCACCCTCGCCTGCACCGCCAGCGCTCATCAAACCTGCTCGCCCTCCTCGCTGCGTGCAGCGGGCCACCTCTCCAGCACCCTCAGCATCTTCTGCTGGGTCAAAAAAGAGCACGAGGCTCAGCGCACGCCGGCTGGCAGCGCAAACGTCAACGCCAATGCTTGGCCTAGGGTCAAGCTCATCGACCCTCAAGCTTGAAGCGATTGACAGTTGCACCGACAGTGAGCAGTGGGCAGCCAGGGCCGCCTCATTCGTCGATCCTCCCACTGTGGTGGAGTGCGGCACTCTCCACGCAGCCCACTACACGGCAGTTGCGTATGCAGCCCTAAGAGCTCGCACCACCAAGCTCAACATGCGCAAATGCCTTGGTCGCTACCAAATCCACCAGCACAAAAGTGGCTACGAGTACCAGCATCCTCTGGGAACGCAAACGTACGCCACTCTGGAGGAAGCGATCGATGGGAGGGATCAGGCAGAGAGACAACCGGAAGGCGCCAGGTTCAGCAACGTGAGTGCTCATTGGAGTGGACCAGCACATCCTCTCCTAGAGCAGCAATGGCCCTTTCTGGCACACGTCCAAGTCCAGCGCACCGAGACGCAAATGTCCTTCGTTGTTGTGGAGCAGATCATCGGCACCGTGCCCATGCCGGCTGTCAGGTTCACAGCTCATCGTGGTGGTGCAGGCCCACGTCTGGCCCAAGTTGCAGGCAGTGGTGCTGCAATCCGCATCGAGGCCAAGCCACTCGGTGCCTGCTGGGAGATCATTGCCCGGCTGGGCTACACCTTGGTCCCTCGTCATGTGCCCCTTCCACGACCACAGGAAGCAAAAATGGTGCAACAAGCGGCAACACTGCAGTCATACCTGGAGTCGATTTGCTGCAAGAGGCTACAGTATGACCCTGCACCAGACGGGCACTGTGGGTTCAGAGCAGTGGCGCAAGCCAGCATGGGCAGCGAGGATGAGCAGCAATGGATACGCCAGCGCTGTCATTGCATCGTTTTGGACCACCCTGCCCTCTGGTCTGGCATCTGTGCGGAGCTCCTCGAACCTCACAGCTCTGCCACGCAGGAGCTGCTCTACGTCAACCCCCCACCAGGTCCTCCTGGCAACTGGGGCTGGTTCAACGCCCACCTGCACTCTCTGCTTGTGGCATCGGCCTTTGACTCTGTGGTCGTCACCATTGTGCCTGCGTCCCCGCAGGCTGCTGCTGCACCTCTGCCCACAGAGCAAGAGGATGACGAGGTGGTCATACAGCGCACATTCAAGAGCAGGCAAAGTGCTCACCAGCAGTGATGCGGGCAGGGGTGGCTCAAGAGAGGATGCTTGCAAGCGTGCGCACTTGAGTTGTATTTGTTCGTCTCTTTTGTCCTGTTTGCTGATTGTTTTATCCCTCTAGTACAAGTCATCTTTTAACGAGAGACACCTTTCCGCATTGTGAGAACGTGCCCGTACGTACAATGATACGAAGAACACCAGCGTGCTGAGCAAGCGCTCCATGCCACCTCTTCTACGCAGCCGCAATATATACGTTTATCTACTACTAGCGCGCAAGCTCGTGGAGGGGTTCGCGCGATCCAATCCGATCTTGACTTCCCGCCAACAAGCGCGCGAGCTTCAGTCCGTAAGATGCACGAATGCTAAAGGCGACAGTGTGAATAATTGCGATGTATGCGGGGCCAAAACTGAGTGAGTGCTCTTGGCTATAGTACACTGTGACTCTGCTTGTCTAATTTGGCTCATCCCGTCCTTTCACTAAGCAGCTACTGTGGCGCTGTCAGATGACCAAAGAGATGACCAAAGCGATACCCAAGTGCGTGGGACTACGGCGGCGGTCAAACTTTCTCGGTCGCTCCTGCAGTGCCGCCTTCTTGCGCTGCTCATTACTGTGCGAGTATCTCGCCGATGCGAGCGTATGCAAGCAAGCTTGCGAACAGCCTGCTTGAGATGTGACTCCTTCTTTGTGCCTTGAAAGCGAGCCTTCGACGGTTCTAAAGCTCGGTCTAGCCTGTTGCAGCGGGCGGTGGAAGAATGGAGGGGAAAACAGTCAAAGACATCAAGTACAGAAGCAGTCAGCGAAAAGCTACAGTATCGACACTACAATGAGTGATGGCGTTTGAGCACACGCCGTCCCTTTCACATTCGAGGTCGCTGAGCAGTCTACGTAGTGCACGGACCCCTCCTGATGCACGACCACATCTTTTTGCGACTCCTTTCAGGCCATCTTCGACTTGGCGCGAACTTGATCTCTTCTTACTACAATGGCTTCTGCCGACCAGAGCTCACTCGTCAAGGCGCTATTCCGGCCTGTCACAGCATGAGAGGGCGGCGCAAGTGCACTGTCGCTCATGGTGGAGTGTATCGCGGTTCTTGCATGCCCGAATGCGCAGACGCTAAAATTCTGCCCGACCTCCTTGGTCTTGTGTGTGAAGAGCAAACGTTGCATATCAGCAGAAAACAAATCACGGAACGTCTGCCGCGTGTTCAAGTACGCTCCTTGTAGGTCTGCAGCTGCTTGTGGGCACTTCATTGGTCGACCATGAGCTAGGGAAATCTCCACGAGAATGCCTTTCGGCAAAAGGATTTCAAAGGACATGCGCGACGACATTATCGGGTGACTGAGAGTTTGGGAGACGTAAAAGGCTGGAATTCCCGCAGGTGCACACCGAAGAAACCCCAGGTCGTAGTGTAGTGGGTATGCTCAAGCTATTGTGGAGCACTGCGCAGCGCCACAAATCACTGGCAACTCGTCTCCTTCCACACCTACTCAGTGCCTCGGACCGTCGCAAAGGCGAGCACAACGGACATTGACGGCTGGGCACGCGGCGCCGCTCCGTGGTGCGTGACACACTCACCATTGTTACTCCTCGCCCGTGCGCCACGGGCAGTCCTTCAAGTAAGCAATAACAGAAGGACCAAGATTCCAGACGCAGCCAAAAGGTACTTATTTCTTCACCAACTCAGCTGAGAGTAGCGGCGGTAGAACCTCAGCTCTTTATGTACACCGTGCAGCAGGCAAGCGAGAGAAAGGATTGAGACGGTTCATGACACAGAGTCGCCCCTGGCTCTGTCATTCAATTCACGATCGTACCTGCAATGTCGATCGCGCGTCGATCCGGGCTGTGGTGCCCTGTACCCTGGAACCGGTGCGCAGACTCCAGCACGAGGTTGGCCAGGCGTTTGTGCAGACAGACGCCCTTAAGCTCGCCGTACTGCAGCTCTCGCCACGGTCCGGAGCCTGGACGAAATATGACTGCTCCATCTCCGTCGATGGCATCACAATTCAGATGGTGGGACTACAAACCCAGGAAACCCGGCATAAAGCGCGACAGTAAGATTTTCTTCGTCGTGCTGCGACCCCTCGTTCATCTTTGTCCGACCTGCTGCCTCAACTTGTGATCAGCCCTGCTCCTCACATCTCCTCCGTTTTTCCCCCGCGTCACTACCTCCACGCCATCCGAGGACTCCTTTGTCTTTCGCAATGGTCACGCTACGATGCTTGAGCAGCGCTGCCACCCTTTGCATGATTGCCACAGCGATGCTTGTGAACGCAGCACCTGCACGACCACGAGTCGCTGAAGGGCGGAATTTGCTGCCGGATTCATGGGCGCTGGAACGTGTTCCCTTGTTTTCCAAGTACACGCAGCACTGTGAGTGGATGAGACACGGCTTCAGAATCACCAATGAAGTGCTGATCTTGTGGAGAGCCTTCGCTCCGAAACCTCCATGATAGCCGAGGCGTTGCTCTCGACGACAGCGTCATCGCAATTTTTGCGTGCCTCACTCATCCAGGATGTCGAAGCCGGACTGGCGCGTACGAGGACAATCTTAATCTTGCCTGTCACGAGAGGTGCTACCTTCAAACTTAGAACGTTCTGGAATCTGGGTCGAGAGGAACATCTCCGGTCACCCCACCGTGTGGAGCACGATGCCAAACCCACCTTTGAAAAGCGTGATGAAGGAACTCAAGCAGCGCATGGCATCGATTATGCCCATCTGGTCAAACCTACAAATGGGACGCGCCCCGAAAAGCACAGGCCTGAACTGTGGCAGGAAGCTACCAGAACAGACGACCACAACCGAGAACAGAAGCATTCTCCGGGTTGCAAAGGCCTCATTTGTTTTTTTGGCTTTGGAGCGGGCTTGACAACTCGGTGATCACTTCAGCTAGCGCAGCGCATCGAGGGCATGACTTCTTGCCGTTGCACAGCCAGTTTCCGTCTCGTCATACTCAACGAACACAACGTCGCATGCGTGACCGCCCACCAGTCAGCCATCTCGGGCCCTTTCATTACACCACTTGTGCAACATCAATCGATCAGCGTGTGCCTCGGGAAATGTTTGCCTACAATCCAATACTCCCAGGTCGAGTAGTTGTGAAAGTTGTATCGGGCCTAGGTCGTCGGTCATCCTGAATGCACGAGCGAGGTGCCGCCAGCGCTGCTATATGACTTACAGTCTGACACAGTCTCGTGCTGCGCTTAGAGACGCATCCATACTGATGACTGGTGTAAGCAACACAGATGCATGTAGATGTCCGTTCTCTTGACTCAAAGACTATTCACCACCGTATTCATGAGCGAAACGCTTTGTCATCGCACTCGGGTCGTTACGAACCTTTTCGTCTCAAGAATCAACGCGTCGCGTGCCCTTCTTTGATGCTTCATCCACGTGTCATGCACGATTGCGTCTCTGTTCAATACTTCTATCGTGAACACATTGTGCGCAGAGGGGAGTAAAAGTCACATGTCTTCGGTGTCAAGCGAAAAATCGAGTACAGCCAGCGAAGTAGCTCCGGCAGACGAAGTGAAAGAGAGTGTGCTTCGAGCGAATGAGAGGCTGAGAAGCGTGGATGGGCGAGGAAGACAGACGTGCTTGGTTAAGTGGCGCGTGAAGTTGTAGGAGTAAGGACAGGAAGCTTTAAGGAAGCAAGACTGCACAGAGGTCCTGTCGAGCCGCATTCAAAGAGATAGAAGCGCTTGTGAACCGCGACTGAGACTTCTACTGCGTCAATCCGTTGAATCCGAATCGCTTGTCGCACGGTTTGCCATTTGCGTCCTTGCATTCGCTTTGGGCAACAGTCACTGAGTAGGTGTTGACGCCATTCCCACCAGTGCTCTTGCCGTGACCGGGGATGAAGCGCTGACGCTTGAGCAGCTTGGTGACGCCAAACATGTTTCCAAAATTCAGACCGGTCAAAGATGGGTCGCTGTCGCTACCCGGGTTCGCGGACAACGTGATGGCGGGGAAAGTGACGCCGTTATCTGCTTTCATGCTGATGCGCTGGCTCGTCGCAGGGTCGAAAGAAGCCATGCTCGTGCCAAAGAAGATGTCTGTAGAAATACAAAAGGAGAGATCAGCGACCTCCAAAAGTATGGGAAACCTCAACACATGCCGCGTCTTCTGGACTCCACTCACCTACAGCGTGGCTAATGGTCTCGAGCTTGAACCAATGCTTGAGTTGCTTGATTGGGTCATCCACAGCAGACTGAGGGTTCAGGTCGTGGCAGGGGGCTCGAGCGACTAAGCGAGTCGCGCTCCCAGAGAGAGGTGCCGCTTGAGCTTGAGGAGATGCCAAAAGGAATGAGCAGAATACCACACCTGCAATCGTGCTTGTAAAAGTCTGCATCTTCATCTTGACTAATTACTGATGCGTTCGGGAATTGCAGGCGATTAGTGTGCTGGGATCAAACGCACAGAGTCGTCGGTGATGATTTTGCGTCGCTTGGGGTCAGAGTCACAAGCGGGCAGATCGGACAAGCTGTTTTATAGCCGAGAATTGGACAGCCTCACGCCCAAGCGTAGTGGTCACAAAACAAAGCGTAGCGCCTCTCAACGCCGCTCCTGCATTCTGTACACAGCGCATTGCGCTTGATGACATCGCGCCTTGGTTTGTAAACCCGTGTGCGTAGTGTGGTGCGCGGTGTAGGCGTTTTCGTGTACCTAGAGGTACATTGGAGGTTCAGGCCTGCGGTGAGACAGCGTCACGCACCATTCATTGCCTGAATTTGCGCCAATCGTGAGACGCTGCTAAAATGTCGCTCGATGGCGCCGAAAATGTGTGCAGACGCCAAGGCTAGGAAACGTCGAAGGTTCAGGGAGGGGTAGCCAAGTGGTCAGCCTGACTGCTCGGGCCTGTTTTACAGGCGAGCAAATAGTACCAGCAGAGACCAACGAGCAAAAAGTATCTGGAACAGCTGGGGGAGGAGGATTGAGCTAGCTACCGCCCGGACAGCGGCTCTTGGCTTTGTGCGTAGCCAATGATCGTTGGACACTCATTACCCTTCTTGGTACCTTGAAGTACAGGAGCTGGACGAGGTTTACGAACGCTGTTGAGGTCTCGGAACGGGAGGGAACCTACGCGGGAAGAGGTCGAGGCGGGTCCCATGTTTTTACGAGCGCCATGGGCGCAATCTTGAATCTTGAATGAGACGAGGATAAAATCAAGCAGTCTGAGTCACGAATGGCATCATCGTGCGCCGCAGAAACGTGTGACTGCTGACTCAAATTTTGGTTCTCGATTCAAGATTCTGATTTGATTTGAAGGTTGCATTCACTGAATTGAACCATCTTGCACGTGAGGCGTCATGCGTATAATATATGCATGGAAAGTCTATTTACCCTACTCATGACTTAAAGTGCCGTTGGCGCGTTCTTGATTTTTGATTCAGACCCGTGAGTCAGGTTTTGGGTCGCAATTTTGACTCGTGAGCGACAGTTCGACTTTAAATCATGTGAATAGGGGCGCAATATTGAGCAGAAATCCATTTTGATTAATATATGAAAAATGCGTCCACATCGGCACGGTCCGCATATATGTCTTTCCTATTTTGCAAGGCAATCACGCGAATCTCTTGCTTGGAAATCCCAGGATTGAGCCGCAATCAAAATCAATTAAGAACGGGCGGCACCGACAAACTCATGACTGACTCAACCTGGCTCTTCCACGGTCCATGAATCAGTCTTGCGTCAGTGGCTGATGCTTGCAGCACCGGGACATTGTGACTACGCACGTTTTTGGAAAGTCTTTGGCCGCAAGTGCTGTATGTAATTCAGGGTGTGGATTGCCTCTGCCACTCTGACTCTGACCGCAAATCTCAGGCACCGTGTAGTGCCTGTTTACTTTGCTCCTATGAAGCTCACGCTCACGTACCTTTACTCAGAGCTGATAAGCGTATGACTCGATTGAACGCGCAAGACTGCGGCTGACATGTACATACAGCACATTCTGTTGAGCCACGGGACCATTCAAGAGTCCGTGTGCTCTGCCACGCCGCTGAATTCGGCGGCGGCGGCGCCTCCTCACCCCGGGCCGCGGGCCTCGCGGCAGTCGCGGAAATGAACGGCGCCGGCTTGTGCTATGCATCAGCGCAGCAGCGTCTCTCAAGCGGGGGCAGGCCGCATTCAGATTCAAATTTCAGCCATTCGCACCCAGGACCCACGACTGATGACTTCAAATGGCATCCACCATCATGTAGCAGCACTACGACTAGAGGGAGGGGTTCAAGGCGTGGCGTTCCTGGGCGGCTGTCTCAAGGCGAGGTAAGCTGCATGGTCACAGCTACCAGTACCTGTGAAAGTAGTATCTTGTGTATGCAGCTCCCATCTATGATTCGCCCCTTGACTTCCCAGGCTGTACCCCATCAGCATCCAAGACGGCCACGAGTCCGCCAGCGATCTAGCACAATTGTGCGCCGTGAACACGCTTCGTCTCCTTTCCATCGAGATCGAAGGCGCTCGGTACGAGCTCATGTTGCATGTCGGCAGCACGCGTCCACGAAGCGCAAGAACGTACCTTGCATACTGTCCACAGGTCGCCCGCCATGAGCTCCTAGGTCGTTCCGTCCAGAATTGTGAGCGCTCATGGATTTGCCGCATGTGTGCATTCAGCATCCACGATTGCAGCCACTCTACAGCAGCGGTAAGGGTACCAGAAAAAGCCCAAATCGAGGCACAACTGAGGATGAAGATGCTCGCAAGGCGCACGCGCTTTTGGATCAAAGCTCAAACGACTGTGAGAGCCAATGTCTCCAAGAGATCCAAGGGAATCCTCTCTCTGAGCAAGCCTTGAGGTCCACGTGCTATTCGTCGCCGCATTCTCAAGATTCGTGTTCTCACGTCTGAACGTCTTCTTTCGACATTGGCCATTGTGTCTTTGCGAGGCTCACTTGAGCGACTCAGGCTACCTGGTTCAAGCATGCTGCTGCGCAATCGCTCCAATTCAAGGGTATGTTTCGGCGTGGCAAGGTGCATCGAGAAGAAGCATCGAAGAACATACACCGCTGTGTGGATCGTGACCCTTTCGACCATTCCTCTTCGGCGCAGGCCCGATGCGAAGCTCGGCTGCAAGACCCTGCTCAGCCGACTTGAGCATGCGACGACATGTGGACTGAAGAATACGCCGTTGCAACCGGCGCAATGAGCCCATCGGCTCTACACTTCCGATTTCACGCGCCTCTGTGCCGATGAAAGCGGCGGCGACGGCGGCCATCTGCTCGTAATTCAGCAAGGATCGGGACGCCGTCGCGATCTCGAAGGCATGCAGGAGCATGACGCGGGGTGATATCCCGACGTTGGTCCTTGTATCAGAGCATCTGCCCTTGACGGCGATTGGGTCCAGACTAGTCCAGCTGGTTCCTATACACGTCGACGTTGAGTGCAGCCGCATCAAACTCGACGCACGTGCGATATGTAAGGCACATGTCAGTAATATGTCAAAGTCGCTAGAGGCTGTCGTAGCGTCCCTGATGACCCGAAGTGGATGAGGTCGACATTTCACGGTCCGCCGCACACCCTGGACCATCAAGCATCGGAGGCCCTACTTTCTGCATCATCGCCCATCTCGCTCGTAGTCTCCTTCAGCTAACAAACGTTGCCGCTTATGCGAAATGAAGGGCAGCTTGACGGAATCGAGCTGCCGGACTCTTGCCAGGATTGATGGAGCCACTGCGTTGCTATAAGAGTGCGCCTCGACCTCATTCGGACATCCGGCCTGTCCTTATCCCTCTAGCCCTCTTCTCTCGGTATTTCGAAAAGTCCCCCAATACTATCTCCAGCTTGTCACATCTTGCGCGCCTACTCGTCAGCTCCACGCTGCTTCTTTAAATTATTCAAGTGCGTACCGAGCAGGTCTCCGAGTCGGCAGACCTCAGCTGACATTCGCGCTTGACTGAAGTACAACGAGATGAAGCTCAGCATTGTCACGGTCCTTGCCAGCCTGCTCGCGGTCTCTGCCGTCAAGCAGGCGAGCGCCGCACCGATCCGCACAAGCGAAGATCTTGCTGACGCTGTGCGTAACTCGGGTGGGCCTATAGACGCCGCAAAGCTGGCTGCAGGCCCTATCCGAGCCAAGCCGCCTGCCAAGTCGCCTTATCTTAGGGGAAGCCCCTTGGTGCATGAGGACCATGAGAGCACGTACCTCCGCACTGGCGCTAAGCCCGTCGTGGCACGCACCAGTGCCACGCCAAGCAAAGACGGCGGCAAAGGAAGCAAACGCAAGCGCTGCTCTGGATCTCTCCCGCGCGGTATGCACGTCAGGTGCGCCTGGGGACTGGGCGGAATCGCCAATTGGGGAAGAAGCATGCAGACGGAGCAAGTTGATCATCTAGACTCTTGAGCAGCTGCTCCACTGCGGCGAAACTTGATCTAGCGTGTACATGGTCAGTCTGAGCAAGAGGTTCTTGCGGATGAAGAGCCGCCGCTGACTCTGTGTGCTTCGCACCTTCAGCAAAGCCTTTGTGCACCCAGATCAGTCTGGCAGAGGAGCAGGATGGGAAGTGAAATTCTCCCGAAAGCAGTGTTGGCTCCATGCATTGGCTGCCGAGGCAAGGCAAAGGGACGCCCGGAAAACTTGGATTCTTGCCACTGGAAGTTGGCATTGCGACATGAATAAGTGCTATGTAGTTTTCAGGTTATGCTCCGAAAAATGACGAATGCCGTTGTGTCCTTCTGATTCAGTACGATCACGCTGTCTTCTTGCACCAGAACCCACGTGCGCTTCCGAGTGTGTGCTCGATAGACTGACTGCATTAATGCTTCTCGCCGTCTTTGTCACCCTCTTCCTCCTCGTGCTCCTGCGCATGCTCCTTTGCCTTTGCTTTCGCTTTGCCGAGTAGCTTGTCCCCGGCCAATACATTCCTCATTGTCTTGACACTCTCCACATGTGTGGCTCCTTTCTTGGCGTAGAATGGGACACCGATTCCTGACCCCGTGCTGAAGAGGTTGAGGCCGCAGTAAGGGATGGCGCAGGTGGAAAAGTCACTGAATTGAGAAGGGTGTGACCGTCGTGACAGCTGAGAAACGTTCGGAAGCAGTTCTTGCGCGTGTCGAAGAGGGGCAGTAGCTTGGCTAGTGTCGATAGTGATCCGCAGGCGAGAAATGAGCCTTGTCATGGTGTTGATGGCCCTGCCGAAACGCCGCGCCGGGTGCGTATTGGGCTCGAGACAAGGCCTTTGTAATGCTTCGTGAAGAGTCATTTGGAACCCCCTTGATCCCGGCGCAAACATCGACATCGCTGAAGGGGCTACGTGTCAGTGACAGCCACAAAGACGCGTTTGCTGAGGACGAGCGTGCGACTGACTTGCCTCGAATGCACTCAGACCGAGCGTCGGATGTCCTGCGAGATCTTCCACAGGTGCGTTTTCGAACGGCCGACCCATCCTGGATGGTATGGGTTGAGCTCTGCTCGAAGCGGCTGCGATGGCCAGTGTAAAGAGAACAACCTTGTGGAGCTGCATTCTGAGCCGGTCTGTGTGGATGTATGTAGGCAACACTTCAGACGAAGGACGGCGGATGCGACTTGCTGCGAAGATCGTGTCGGAAATTGCAAGGCGAGTTCGGCGGCGAGGGCAAAGGCAGAAGGATGAAAGCGAGGCGATGTTCAGGCTCCAACCAAGCAGTGGAAGACGAGAGCATGTGTCTCACAGTATGGTCGAATGTTCTGCACCTGATACCCTGTTGTGTTTGCTTCTTTCCGCACACGTGAAGATGACGCCCAGGCACTGCGTAGAATGTCGCTTCGATTTGCCGAGTGGGGTGGCGTATGGCGCCATCGCCCTTGGCGTTCAATGTGCAATCCGTAGACGATCTCCTCGGCGGTAGAGCCTCGAAGCCTACGGTACCCGGTGGTGTCTACATCGCAAAGTGAAACGCTGCTTCGCGTGAGCTCTTGTCGGGCGGCGAGAATATTCCCGCAGGTTGCAGCCCGCTGCCCGGACATTGATCATTATGCGCAGCAAATAGCCAGGAACGCAAAGCCCCGATGTCGAATGTGAGACTAGCTTGAGGCTCATTCTCTTCACATGCATGCCAGTCATGAGCAGCAGCATGAGGGTTCGCAGGCAACAAGGTGCTCAACTTCGAGTTGAGTGTGAGCGGCGTCGCTTTGCGCATAAAGCCGATTCAGGATTGGTGATGATCGAATACTCGGTCGAGATCAACACGGGAAATTGAGGTACACAGTCTTGAGTCTTGACCAACGCTGTGAATAGTGAAAGGACAAGTCTGAGACAAAAAGTCGAAACCTTGAGGATGAATCTGCGTGGATGCGCCGCACGTACACCCAGCTGCACGTACACCCAGCTGCTGCATGTACACCCACCTGCATGTACACCCAGCCGCATGTACACCGCACACCCAGCTGC